TATTTTGAGAAAGAGTCACCAGATATGGAAGGAGAGAAAAAAGCATCAGTAGAATGAGATCAAAAAAAGCACCAGTAAAATGAGATCGCTGGTTGGCACGATCTCTGGTCATCTTTTCCCCGTCCATCCGTCCCCTTTTGTCTATATCTTATGTACACAATCGCTTTTGTATAGAGAGATTGCCACCCCCCCCCCCCCCCCAATCCCCCCCAGTCCATATCCACACACAATGGTATCATCAACAACAACAACAACAACAACAACAACAACAACAACAACAACAACAACAACAACAACAACAACAACAACAACAACAACAACAACAACAACAACAACAACAACAACAACACGCCATGATTACCCCCACCAAACTTTGACAAGTGTATCAACGCAAAACCCCGCTCTCCGCTCTATCCCTGACGCCCAAAGGGCAGACAGGATCAAAAACACAGCAAATATCCTCCAGCCCAGCCAAGATTCCAGAAATCCCAAAGACGACGGGGGGATTGATCCATGAGGGGCGTCGAGTGTAAAAATGTCTTCATTTTTCAAAAAAGTCACACCACCGCCCATCCACAAACAACCAACCCATTGAAGGAAAGCTCGCCCACCCCAAAAAACAAAGCCGAAAAGATATAAACGCCGTATCTAATGCGGGAAAGAAAAAGAGAAAAAAAAAGCAGAAACAGGATGTAAGCGCTAAGTTCATGCCGTCTAAATCGATTGTGTTTCTGGTGGCGAGAGGATCCTCTCCTCGAGCTTCTTCATCAACTTGTTGGTCTGCTCGGCCAAGCTGAGCGTCAGGATGGTGTGCGGCAGGATCCTGGCCAGATGTGGGAACACGCCCTTGTAGATGGCGAAGAAGCCCTCCGTCTTGATCGTCTTGGCCAGGCAGTCAAAGACGCCCTTGTAGAGGTTGCCATTCTGGTTGTAGAGGCGGGACATGATTGTGTCTGTGTCGAATCTCATAGTCAGCATTGGCTTTGCAAGGGGGAGATCTGCAAAGGGGGCGGAAAAAAATACCAGGAGGATGCATAACAACACAAACCACAAACCCACTAGCCGTACTGCTCGCCAGATGCAGCGGCGCCCCCTCCTCCATCCCAAGGTGCTTCTGCAACCTCCTCTTTGCGAAAAAGTACGTAGGCAGCTGCACCGAGCTCCCAAACCCCGTCCTGATCATCGCCGCCCCAACACCCCTATACAACCCCCTCACCCCCTCCGCCCTGAAAATCTGGCTCAACCCATCCAGCGCATTCCTGTACCGATGCTGCGTCCCCACCGGCAAAAAAGGCGAGAAGCTCTGCAGCCTCGTCTTGACCAGAAAGAACGGGCTCCCCGCCGCGGCGCCCATGATGCCAGACGCCGCGCCGCAAAACATGTTGATGCCCAGGTTCTGCTTGGCCGCGTCGTTGAGCATCAGCTTCGCCAGCCCGGCGCGCATGGGCTCGTAGAAGCCTAGCCGGCAGCCGTTGAGGAGGACCTGGTAGATGTAGGCGCACCCGATGCCGCGGTAGATGCCCCGGATGCCTTCGTTTCGGACAATGACAGAGACGCCGTGGAGGGGGCCGCGGTAGTGGTGAGGTTGGTGGCCTTTGGTCTGGAGCTCGCCCTGGAGCTGCATGCGGATCTTGACTGTTTCGAAGGGGTGGGTGGCCGTTACGGCTCCGCAGGCGGCGATTCCGCCTGCTATGAAGGCGCTTTAGGACGGGAGGGGACATGTTAGAGCTCTCTTTCTCTCTTGTGAGGTAGGTATGTGTATGACGGAAAACCTACCCAGCTGTTGTCGACATTGTGCAAGCGAGTAGTGTTGGGCTATCTTCTTTTGTGCAGAAGCTCTACGAAGTGTTGTCTGACAACAAGTTTGACCGAAGGGTAGTGGTGCTTGGTTCGCGGTTATAATTATTTCACGGCTTGAAGCGGCCAGCGAACCTGGTAAGAACCAATGCCGGGTCTGGTGCCGGTTGTCGGAGCCCAAATACTTCTCGGTGCTGCGATTCCTTAGGGAAGGGGGGACGCGGGTCTAACGAGGGTCGAGGTCCCCGGGTGGCAGCACCACTCTCTCTTCAACTTCACGATAGGTACAAAAAGGTCGCGGGTAGGCTTGGGATGTCGGGAAAAAGAGTAAATAGAGATAGACTGATACTAGGACCTTTGAAAAACGGGCGGGTGAAACAATGCGGACTAGGATAGTGAGAGGACCGCTTATACCCGGAACATCGTCTGGACTCACACGCTGACTCGATTATGGTTAAACTGGGACTGCGTGTCACTGTGTCACTGTGTCACCGTGTCACGCAATGCTGGTGGGGGTTTCAACTGGGAAGGTACAGCTGTACCTATCCCGGCAGCTCGCCCCGAGTACCGGGATGACCGGCGAGATGGGAAAACTGCGGAGTCGGAGCTCAACAGGAAGGGATTTCGCGGGATTTGTTCCTCGCTGTCAGTCTTCGCGATGCAGGGTCAAAGACTTGGGAGCTCCGGCTTTCGGGGAGGGTTGGTGGGCGGGTGGACGGCTGTCGGACGGTTTGATCTGGGGAACTGGGAACCCTGGCCTTTGACAGGTGTGGATCTCAGGGCCGCTTGCGGTGTGGGGAAGAGATGGACGTTCGGTACTCCGGGTTAGGGTTTCTCCAGGACTGATTGGCCAATGCTTGCAGGTGCACAAGCCCGCTGCCAGCCGGTCAGACACTCACCGCCTTTATTTTGACCGCCTGGCAGAAACCGGGCAGTTGGTGGGGCCCATTTGTCGTGCTCAACTGCGGCCGTGTTTCTGTACTCGGTCAGCCATCAAAACATCAGTTTGCATACTCGACTTTACGTCGCGTTCGCTACATCCAAACATATTTCACCATGGCGCCCGTACCGATGGACCTCGACGACGCGTCTCCTGCCTTGCGGGGTTTAGGTGGTGTGAATGGCCCTCCCACTGCACCAGTCACCGAGGTGATTGCAAACTTCAGGCCAACCAAGCTGTTCAATCGTGAAGACATCGAGGACAACAAGTCGAATCCTTACATTCTCTCGATCGATTTCGACGACCCGGGTGAGCTTTGCATGACCTCTGAGAGCGATAGGACGATTCAGATCTACAATGTCAAAGAGGGTCGACATGACAAGATGCTCATCAGCAAGAAGTATGGTGTGAAGCTTGCCAAGTTCACCCACACAAGTTCAAGTGTCATTTACGCCAGTACTCGCGAAAATGGTGGGAATCACTGCCGCCAGACTACCCAATGGCTTCTAACAAGTGAGAACAGACGCGATCAGATATCTCGCAACCCACGACAGCTCCTTCATCCGCTACTTTGACGGCCACGAAGGCGCCGTGACCTGTCTCGCCATGCACCCGGGCACCGACAACTTTATCTCCTGCAGCCTTGACAACACGGTTAGGTTATGGAACACCCAAACCAAGAACTGGACTGGTACACTCTATCTCAACACCCCCTACCTGTCGGCGTGGGACCCGTCGGGCCAGGTGTTCGCGGTTGCTAGTCCTAGCAGCGGAAGCATTCTCCTCTACGACTATCGCAACTACCATAAAGCGCCGTTCTCGACGTTCGACCTCGTCAAAGCCAGAGGGCCCGCCGATCCAGAAATGGCTTTTAGGGGATGGACGAAGCTGGAGTTCTCCAACGACGGGAAGCACATCCTTCTTGGGTCGCGAGGCAACGGCCATTTCCTGCTGGACTCGTTTGACGGCAGCCTCAAAGCCTTCCTCAGGAAGCCGAACGGTGGTACAAAACGGCTTGCCGCCGGCGAGAACGACGGCGGACACGTGGAAAGCAGCGGCGAGTGCTGCTTCACCCCTGACGGTCGTTATGTCTTGAGCGGTGGAAAATCAGACTTGTTGATCTGGGACACGCTCATGACACCAGACTCGAAGCAAGTCTTGGAGCCGGCGCATATTTTGGAAGAGAAGAGAGAGGCAGCCGTGGTGGCGTACAACCCGCGGTACAACATGATTGCGACGGCAGACCAGGAGCTGCTGTTTTGGCTTCCAGACCCCCCCAATTCGTAGAAAGAAAAGTATGGGGTGAAGTCGGCAGACGAGTATTTCTTATGGCAGGACAAGATTCTTGGGACGACAATGTTCCAGAGGATGGTTAGGGGCGTGCCATTTTTTATTTATTTTTTGGTTGTAAAGTAGCAGTTATGATACCCATGGGATATTTCGGGCGTATTGGCGCGGGCAAAAAAGCTTTGTAGACAAAGGTAGTGTTGTTGAATAATTTGATTTGGGGTTATCTTTTGAGCATTATTTTTATTTATTGAGCTGCTGTGAGACGTCGATGCTGTTTGAAGTTAGGGGAAGAAAGCTCTCCAAGCGCCCCGCATTTTAGTCCAGCCAGCTTGGCCCCACCGGAAACTGTCGCTCAAGGTGTGGACATTCACCGATGACACCCAATTCTCGAAGCTTGCGACCTTGTTTGACCATTCAACCTTGACGACACGACCTCTCCCAGTCGCAGCGCGTGCGCAAATTGATTTTTTCTGTCCCCATTTAACTTTTTTCACAAACTACGCGCTGCGAATCGAGTGTCAGAACAACACCGTCAAGATGCCCTACTACTCCAAATCAGAAGACTGGCTGCATCACTCCTCCCTCTTGCTCGCCGCTCGACCTACCACCGTTTGTCTTCTCCCCCCCCGCCCCCTCCCCCTTTTTTCTTTCCTGTTTATTGTCCCAACTAATTTTGTGGTATGGCAGACAAGAATATCAACAAACTACCACCTCTCCCCCGCCCGCCGAACCCCCAAGTCTGCCACGCCCGAGCAGGTAGTTGAGGATGAGAAGAGGGGAAAGCGGGGACACTTGGTGATCACGACGTTTGATCCAAAGAGCGGGGTTAGTCTCAAGTACAAGACTAGCAAGGCGCAGGAGGTGGGGAGGTTGGTGCAGATGCTTGGAACGTTGGCGGGGAGGGCGGCTGGGAGGGAGGAAGAAAGGGGGGTGAAGAAGGAGGAGGGGGATGTGGAGATGGGGGAGGCGGCGGCGGACGGGGGAGCTGGGGAGGGACAGGGGAGTGGGATTGTTATGCCGGTTGTGGCTGCTGCTGAGAAGCAAGTACCGCAGGTGGGAGGGGCAGGTGGTGGTGGGGGGAAGAAGAAGAAGAAGGGGAAGAGGTAATGGGTGGGGGGATGATGAGGGAAGGTAGGGGGATGATGAGGGAAGGTAGGGGGATGATGAGGGAAGGTAGGGGGATGATAAGGGTGGGTAGGTGGGATGATGAGGAAGGGAACGTCAAGAGGTAACCGCAGAGTCGAAATCATCAAATATAATAAAGAAATCAGCCCAAGAGTTTCCAAAGGGCCACACAAGACGGTTGAACGCGCGTGATTGTTGGAAATGGGAAGCATTCGTTAAAGGCGCAGGGTGCGAGCGGGAGAGGACTATCAAGATTTCCAGACAAAATGGGCAGCATCAAGTCGTGGACAACATGGGTGAACGCCAGTCTTTCCCACACGACAACAAATGGCATAGTAACAACCGAGACATCAAAACTGGACACAATCACATTCGACACCAAGATGTTTCATGCGAGGAACAAACAGTGCAGTGTAATCCCTTCACTAGATGAGGTCCTACTCATACAATCCCATACTACTTATGTATGTCTCTTTCCTTCCCAAATATCCCACCTCATACTCAAGAGGCATCCATCATCCATCCCTAAAAGAACCCATTTCGTTCTTTGTTTTGCGCGTTCAGCAAAAACAAAACTCCAGACGCCTTTCAATGATGTGGAAATCCACGCCTGCCTACCGTAACCCGTAATAAAAAAGTCTTTGTTGTACATGACCTTCAGGGGATTACTATCCAACATACAAGATTTGTCCGCCCGCTCCGCCTGTATGACGTTATCCTTCTGTCTATACCAGAAGTTTATGAAAAGAAGAAAAAAAGAAATGCGTGAGGGGGTATTAGTCGTTATAAAAAGACAAAAAGAGCAGAGAAATCAGCAGCAGCGCAAATGACAAGACGCTCAAAAGTCCTCGTCAAAGGCAAAGTCGCCGCCGTTCTCGTTCTTGCTCTCCTCAGCAGACTCCTCAAACTTCTTGGTGCTGTTCATGACACCGGCCTTCTGGTACTCGCCGACACGCTTCTCGAAGAAGTTGGTCTTGCCGCCGAGGGAGATGTTCTCCATGAAGTCGAAGGGGTTGGTGGAGCGGTAGATCTTGTCGTTGCCGAGGGCGACAAGGAGACGGTCAGCGACGAACTCGATGTACTGCTTCATGAGGTTCGAGTTCATGCCGAGCAGGGCGCAGGGAAGAGCCTCGGTGAGGAACTCCTGCTCAATGGTGACGGCATCGCGGATGATGTCCTCGACGAGCTGCTTGCTGGGTCTGTTGTTGAGGTGAGAGAACAGAAGGCAGGCAAAGTCGGTGTGGAGACCCTCATCACGGGAGATGAGCTCATTGGAGAAGGTGAGACCAGGCATGAGGCCGCGCTTCTTGAGCCAGAATATGGAGGCGAAAGCACCACTGAAGAAGATACCCTCAACAGCAGCGAAGGCAACAAGGCGCTGGGCGAAGGAGGCATCCTTGTCGGAAATCCACCGAAGGGCCCAGTCGGCCTTCTTGCGGATGCAGGGAATGGTGTCGATGGCATTGAAGAGGTAGGTGCGCTGAGATGGCTCCTTGATGTAGGTATCAATGAGAAGGGAGTAGGTCTCGGAGTGGATGTTCTCCATCATGATCTGGAAGCCGTAGAAGCAGCGGGCCTCGGGAATCTGGACCTCGGCGCTGAAACGCTCGACAAGGTTCTCATTGACAATACCATCGGAGGCGGCGAAGAAGGCGAGGATGTGGGAGATGAAGAACTTCTCGTCATCGTTGAGCTTGTTGCTCCAGTCGTGGAGATCCTTGGAGAGATCGATCTCCTCAGCAGTCCAGAAGGAAGCCTCGGCCTTCTTGTACATTTGCCAGACCTGTAAGGGTTTTAATTAGTACGCGTGATCCAACTTGAGAACGCGTCAAAGTCGCGTCACATACCTCATGGTACTTGATGGGGAACAAGACGAAGCGCTGAGGGTTCTCGGTGAGGAGCGGCTCATCGAGGAGCTCTTGCTTTGGTTCTGGGGCAGCGACTGTCTTGATCTCCTCCTTCTTGTTCTCAAACTTGGCATCCATCTCGGCCTCGAGGGTGGTGAGGTCGGCATCGAAGGGCTTGTTTTCCTTGTCGGATGGGGCAAAGTTGAGCTTCTTGACGGGAGACTCCATCTTGAAGGCGTCAATGGCGGAAGCAGCCTGCAAAAGTAAAGGATGTTAGCTTTGTGGACGCGTAAAGTAGCCGACGCGCGGAAAGGTAGCTAGCTACTGACCTGCTTGGAAGGTGTGATTTCGGCGGCCATTGTGAAGATAGTTGAGGGCTGAAAGATGGGAGGTGCAAAGGCCACAAGAAGAAGAAATAGCAAAGGCAATTGCTGAGTGACGACTGTGGCGGGATTGGGAGAGTTGTTGTGAGTGTAGACAAAGAGAATTTCTCAAGCAAAATATGGGCGTCGCGAATTCTCTTAAATGCTGCACGTCGGGACGCGGCCCACTTTACTTAATCTGCACGGCAGGGATACGCGTCGACACGCCTGTAGTCTCTTTCCAGTGGGCCCAGGCTCTTTGTGCGGCGTCACTGATGCCCTCCATCAACACCAGCCTCTCATTTGGTTGTTCCAAGAGGGGCATCACCGGGCAATCCCACCAGTCCCTTGCTCCCTGTTCCTAGTCGGCCCTCTCGCTCTTATCAGATCCATCATCAGCCGCGCCATTCAATGCCTGTTCCAGCGGCCTTTTGGGTGAGCGTTTGTCAGAGTTTATTTATTCGGATGCACGTTGCAACAATTTCACCATGGACCCCACCATGACACACTCGGGCCCATCCTGCCTGGAACTGAACCAGCTGGGCTTCCACTTCCAAGAATCCAAACACGCGAACTGTTCGCAGCTCCGACGGGTCCCGATCTGTCCTCCTAGAATCGGCCTACACTGCGGTTCCCCTGTTGCAACTTGCAAGACTTTGACCCATCCTGCTGTTGCCCCGTGAGCAGCCATGGACCTCTCTGGGCAGAGGTGGGGTTGAAAAGATTATCAGATGGGATCCTTGACCAGATCAAACTGGGAGACGCGTCAAATCGCGTCTCTCGCGGCTTCATTATTAATTGATTTTGACCCAGCCCTGTCCCCGGTCTTGGAACATTGAGACCTTTTCTCGAAGAATACACATTCCCGCTGTCTAGCAGACGAGGAAAACTATTATTATTCAAATGCCCTTTGCCTCTGGGTATCCTGATGCAGTCTGTTTCCCAAAACTCCTCGCTCATGAAAAGCAACAAATGAAATATAAAAACACATCGCTTCAGCATTGCCCTCCTAGCACCATATCCAAGCGGCCCCTGACACCTCCTGACGTCACCTGGGCAACTACACTATCTCCGACCAGCCTTCCCACGATTGTCTCTGGGGTCCTGCTTTGGTGTAATCTGACGACCCGGAAGGCCTCCCCCGATCGGAGCTCGCGGTGGTGTAAGATTCCTCACGGGAGCTACCGGTGCACTTTGCAGGGCCACTGTCACGTCCCCTGTCTGCCGTCCAGAGCGTGCCGGCGTTACGGCGGCTGGAGTGGCAAGCGATGGCATCGTACCCGCTCTTGTGACACCGGTTTCGACATCCCGATCCCCCTCGGCCCCTGCAAGTTCGTCCGGCATCTCGACAATACTGCCCGTCTCTGGATCCTGAACGACACCAGCCTGGAGCGCCTTTGCCTTTTCCGTCAAGAAAGCGTCGAGCAGCCAGGCATTCTTCGTGTTGGCTCGGTAGAATACGTCCGCGATGTCGCCAATGAGAGGGATAAAACCGATTGCCAGATCGAGCATGATGTTGGTGAACATCATGCCATACAGACGCTTGGGAAGACCACCATCGACCTTTGAGGCCTTCTTGATGAGAGCAAGAGCCATGAGGAAATCTGCAAAGTCGCCAATGCTACAGAACATTTGTTAGCCCATGTTTGGTCACACAGAGACAGCTGCTGATATACTTACACAGGAATCAAACCGATGATGGCGGACCAGCCGAACCGGATGGGGATGCAGCAACAACTGAACCCCATGTCCCAACGATAGGCTCTTCGGCGGATCTTTCTGAGAATCTTGGCGTCATTCTTGGAAAGCCCTTGGGGAATAGGTCTCTCCTGAGTCTTGTACTTTGCGACCTTGCCGTTCTTGTAGACCGGGACTTTTTCGAGGTAAGGGTTCTCCGAGTTGGTATTTGTCTTGTCCTTCCCCAGTTTCTTGAGAGCCTTCTTCTCCAGGATTTTGATGGCCACGTTCATGGTGATTTGCGGTGATCGATGTCGATCAAAAAAAAAATAAAAAACTCAAAAGAATGTATATGAAATAAAAGAATGGAAACAAAACACACAGAGCACGAGAAACACAGAAAAAAACAGAGGCCGAGAGTTGATATAAAAGTCGACGCTTTGTTGCGGGCTCCGGCGGCTGTCAAGTTGGCCTCCGGCTGGTTGTAAGTGAGGTATTGGTCACGGCAGGCTCTTTGTCGGTTTCAGGTTCGCGCTTGTCAGACCCAAGTTGGAAACACTTTTGGCGCCAGAGTCAACGAACCAGAGGGTCGGATGTTGGTCTGGTGTACTAGAGAGACAAGAAGCGACAAGGTCAAGTAAAAAAGCACCAGCTGGACCGTGGCAGCTCCCGTCTTGCTTTATGTCTGCTGGCTGGCCCCATGGCTCAACATCTAGCCCGGTGCATCAAACGTCTTCTTTGTTTCCGCGTGATGACGTTCTTGGGCGACCTCCCTGCAGCTTCAAGGTGTAACCCCTGCTCAGCGTGCCCGTGTGGCGCGGGACTGCCACACACTTGTGTGTTGTGGTTGGCCTCTTCCAGATGCACCATCTTGTGCGGGGAGCGGGGCATTGCACCGCCACATCCGCTCCTGGCAGAAGCTTAACTGGAGCAGGATGTGGCGTTGAATCCCTGGACTGGTGGGGTGAATTGGGCTCTAGCCACAGTTGGGTTCTGCGAACATCTCCAGTCTGCGCCAGTGGAGACAAATCACTGCCGTCCACGTCTGCACACGTCTCTCCCCATCCCATTCAAGATTCCATGGTTGACCTGCCGATAGCGTTTGTCGACAGCTCCCGCCCAATTCGGCCACACACCTGAGCCTTTTCTCTCACCTGCCTATCACTGCTTTGCTTTGTATCTTTGCAAATTTTCTCTTGCTTGTCCAGTCTAGACTCTGAAGCGCACGCATTGCCTTGCGGTGGGGAAACTCTTACCTTTGCGATTTGGCGGTCCAAGCCTGAACCTGCCGAGCCAGTCCGCCAGCGAAGCCCTCGCCAAACAAACACAAATCGATCGACCAGAAACACAGACCACTTCCTTACCTCACTCCGTACCCGCAAACACCTCCGACCTAGAACCGCAAAGTAGTTCCCACGCAACCTGGACTGCCTTTTGCGCTGTTGCTGCCCTACAGACGACCACCCCTCAGGAAACCAGGCTGTTGATATGCCACACCACAGCACACTGTCATGGCCGAAAACAAGATGCAACTCGAAGATTGTATGTATCTTTTTTGGTACCGCTCTGTTGGATGACACCTGTTGACCTGTTTGCCCAGGGTTGGACGACCTTTGTGTCCGATTCATCATAAACCTGCCCAAGGAGGATCTGTCATCCGTGGCCCGAATTTGCTTCCAGGTCGAAGAGGCACAATGGTTCTACGAAGATTTTATACGTCCGCTGGACCCTACACTCCCGTCGATGTCGCTCCGAAGTTTCTGTCTTCGAATCTTCCAGCACTGTCCCCTGCTGGCCTCCTTCTCGGCTGAAAACCACATGCGAGCGTTCGAGGAGTTTCTCCAGTACAAGACCAGAGTTCCCGTCAGAGGAGCTATCCTGCTGAATGAGGCCATGGACTCGACTGTGTTGGTCAAGGGCTGGAAGAAGGGCGCCAACTGGAGTTTCCCCAGAGGCAAAATCAACAAGGACGAGGATGACTTGGACTGCGCCATTCGAGAGGTCTACGAGGAAACAGGTTTCGACATCAGGGAAGCTGGGCTGGTGCCTAGGGATGATGAAGTGAAGTACATCCAGATGTCGATGCGGGATCAGCAAATTCGACTCTATGTTTTCCGGAATGTCCCCATGGACACCAACTTCCATCCAAAGACCAGGAAAGAGATCAGTAAAATTCAGTGGTACAAGCTCTCTGAGCTTCCCGCGTTTCGGAACCGCAAGGGGAATCAACAGGATGATGCCGCTGCGGCTTCGAATGCGAACAAGTTCTACATGGTGGCTCCTTTTCTTGTCCAACTCAAGAAATGGGTCCAACAGCAAAAGCAGAAGGACGCAGCCCGCGGATCGCATGTACCTGTCCATATTCCTATCGAAGAACCTCTCACAGAGGATGACCTCGGTACCCAGACAGAGCCTGTTGCTGGGCCCACGGAGAGCATCGAAACCATTGAAGGGGCGACGGCTGAGCTTCAGCGTCTTCTCCAGGTGCAGCCTCCCCCTAGTGGGACACATGTGAACCCACACCCTGCTCCGGCGGCGACAGCCAACAAAGGGAACGCTCTGTTGGCCCTTCTTCAAAAGAATACTGAGACCGAGGCGGCTCATCTTCCTCAAGGGTATCACGAGCAGCCCCAGCATTATCAACAGCTGCCCCAGCAACATCACCAACAGCATCCGCAGCATCAACATCAGTATTACCAGCAGCAGCAGTACGGTAACCAAGTCCCGCACACGCCGTTGGAGCTCACTTACACGACTGCTCCGGAACCGCACACTCCGCACCATCATCATCCAACCAACCGGTTACCTGTACCACCTAATCAGCCGCCGCCCAACTTCCCTATCCAGCCTCACGGGAATCAAAATGTCTCTCAAGAATACTTTACACAACAGCGGGTCCCCCACCAGATGCCTACCCAGGCCTACGGGGATAACTCGTACATGGCTGGCCCGCGTCCAGTGCAGAAGGAACCCGTTCTTCTCCACCCGCAGCCGTTGCCCCCCCAGGTTCAGCAATCACTTCTCACCAGAAGCATTCTTCAGACTCCCAACATTCCAGAGACTGCCCACCACAATGGTATGCAAGCGCCGCAGGGAAGCCACCATTCGATCCCGGTCCAGGGGCAAGATGGAGCTGGTTATCAGAATCAAGGAGCACCTCCAAAGGCTGCTCCTCAGCTGACACATCATCACATGTCTCTTCTGAATGCTTTCAAGAGCAATACCTCCCGTACACAAGAAACAACGCCGGTGGCTACCCCTCAAAGCGATGTCGCTCCCGCGGGACAGCAGCACGCTGGCTATCATCCGTCTGGACAGGGCTGGCCCAGTGCTCCATCCCATACACAAGCTCCCAACCCAGCTGCGCAGTATTTGCCGCACCACGCGGCGAATGTTCCTCAGGGTTATGGTGAGCGGTATGGGCCTCAGCCGCAGCATGCAGTGGCTCCACAAGTGTCACAACACGCCGCCGCAAACCCAGTTGTGGCCCCAAGACCGCCGCAATCAACGGAGTCGCATCGCTCGGCGTTGTTGGACATGTTCAAAAAGCCAGGCCGTGGAAGTCCCCTAAGCAACGAAATCACAAGATCGTCCATCAAGTCGGACGGTGGACGGCCAGGATATGGGTCTAATAATAGCCAACCATATGGCGGACCTTCCAATGCGGAGGCCATCACCCGAGCTGTTGAAGCCAATGGTGCTCCCGTCCAGATGAATCCAGAGCTCAACCTTCCATATAGGGCCGTTCAGATCCTCACTCGGCCCAAGCAGCCCGAGTCGGCCCAAAGCAATGACTCAATGGACTCGCAAATCCATCGCCTTCAGAGACGCTTGAGCCCCCAGAGGAAGGATGCCAGGAATTCAGGCTCTGGTCTTCCGTCTCCGCGGGACCGCTCTTTGTTCCATCAGCTTGACCAGGAGACGAAGAGGTCCCCCCAGCTCCCGCCAGCCCAGGCGGCCAGCCTTCCATACGGTCAGCCTCAGCCTCAGCGCCAGTCGCCGTACGCAAGTCCTACTTTTCCGCCTCAGCAACCTGTTGGTCCGCCCCAGCAACTGCAGCAGCATCAGCAATATCAGCATCATCAGCGTCAACCTAGTGGCAACGCGGACCAGAAGCAGAAGTTGCTGTCGCTTTTCGGAAAGGCACAGCCCTCGCCCACTGGGCTTTCGGCCAACGGCAAGATGAAGGAGTCCATGGTGTATGATCAAGTCCGGTCTACTACTCCCAGATCGAGAGTTGCGTCTCTTGCGTCACAGGGCAACGCCGGCGGCATGGCTCCGTCAGTCACAGGCGTGGAGAATGTCCATGCAACCGGCAACAGTAGTCGGGTACCGAGCGCAACCAACTCTCGCCGGGGCAGCCAGACACCCATCTCCCCGGCCGATCGGAACTTTTTGCTTTTGTATTTGGAGTCGGTGTCTAATCAGGCGCGCTCCCAGACATGATATCTGGGTTTGAAGTAGGGCATAGGTTGTTTTTCTGTTTGTTCTTGGGGACTTTTAGTGTAAAGGGATTTTATATGGCGGTGAGGATTTTTGTGATTTCTTGCCAACAGCAAATGGTGGTTGTTATTTGGACCGGTGCATACATCAAAGCGAAATTTCCATCAATGGTTTACATTATTTGCAGCGGTTGCTGCACGAAGGTGCTTATGAAGCAGGCTCTTGCTAGCTAGCTACTTAGGTTATTGAAAGGATACTTGTATTATGATGACTCTGGTTCTGGATGGTGTTTGGGTCACTTTCTCAGTATAGTGAGTTGGCGGTTGTGTGATCATTTGGCTGTGTGTTGGTGTCGTGAGGCACGCAAGAAAGTGGTCTGATGTTCTAGTTTGAGAGGGTGTGCTCCCCCACGTAGAACAGACCACCCCACGAGCTTGGGGTTTGCTTGGCTGACCCCCCTTTTTTTTAATGGGGAGCGGGCTGAAGATGAAGTCTCGCCACGGCTGTGATGAGGAGTCAGGATGGATCATACCACTTTGTGGGCGTGGCCGGCCGCGTCGCCGTTGGTGTTTTTTTTCTTCTTTTTTTGTGAGTGTGATGGATATTGGAGAGGGAATTGTTGGGATGGGATGAGGAGAGAAGAGGTATAAGATAGGGGCAAGGTTCGTAACCTGGATTTTGTTTCGCCCATCTCAGGACTGAACTTGGCCTTTCTCTTCATCAAATACTTGATTGTCTAAGATATCTCGAAGATCGAGGGCAGCATTGAGATATTGCTGTTGAGGCTACACATCAACCAACCTGACTTACTACATCTACCTACTCAACCAACCTACGATATAGCACCCAAACAAAATGCTCTACACCCCCACCCCAGACACCCTCTACCACCCCCCCCCTCACCACATCGATCCCCTGGGGTACTCCCGCCTGGCAATCATAACCGGCTGCTCCTCCGGCATAGGCCTCGCCACAACGCAACTCTTTCTTTCCCACCAGTTCCAGGTCGTGGGGCTGGACATCGCACCGTTTGACTACGACCTTTTGCGGGTGGAAGACCACGGTAGATTTCATTTTCATCTAGGGGACCTAACCCTCCCAGGACAGATAGAAGAAGGTGTGAGAATTGCTCACCATTTTGGGTATGTCTTCCCCCCCTCCCCCCCCCGTTTCCCCCCTTTGGTGTTATCACTAATGCTTGTTTTAGCGGGAGAGTTGATGTGTTGGTCAATGTAGCCGGCATCCTCGACACCTTCTCCTCAGCCGACACCCTCCTCGATCCAGACTGGGACAACGTCATCGCCGTCAACCTCACCGTCCCCGTGAAAATGATGAGGGCCGTGATTCCTTACCTCAAACAGAGGCCGGAAGGGGGCGTGATTGTCAATGTGGCTAGCACCGCGGGGAGGAGTGGTGCTGTTGCTGGGGTTGCCTACACAGCTTCAAAGCACGGGCTGGTAATCCCCCGCCCTTTTTCCCCCCATTTATATCCCCCCCCCCTTCCCCTACTTCGTTTCCCAACCCAATCAAAACTGACGTGAAGTACCGGGCAGATAGGAGCAACAAAAAACGTCGCCTGGCGCTTCCGCAACGAAAACATCCGCGCCAACGCCGTCCTCCCCGGCTCAGTCGACTCCTCAGTCGGGAACAGGATAACACAAGAACAAAGGGTTGATCTGGAGGGGTACAGAGCTGTCGAGTATGTTCAACCTCATTATCTCATTAAACAAATCGACTGACAGTGACAGACCAGTCCACGCCCTTCAGGCAAACCCCATCGCAGCACTACCACCCATCACCGCCCTCGAGGTCGCCAAGACGATCCTGTTTCTGGTAAGTGATCAGGCGAGGACCATCAACGGGGTTGAGTTGCCTGTTGATCGGGCATGGGGCGTTGTGTAGATGATGCGTATAAATGCGGTTTTTCCTTGGGTTTTGGTTGGTTCCGGCGGTTGTGTTTCTTTTTGTCCCATAGCAAGTTACTTTCCGTAGTCAGCCCAAAAGTTGATTTATTTCTCGAGTACCGCATCTCATCAGAAACTTGAAAGCATTGACATCAGGAGATCGCGATAAGCTAGATACAGGGTAGCCCCATCCCACCCTGACGTAGCGAACAACCCAAAGCCCCACCTGACAGATGCGGGGAAGGTGGGGGAACTCAGCCCTATTCTGACCGTTCCCCCAACTTCTGGTCACCTGAAGATAGATAGATGAATTACTACCAGAACACAATGAGTGACAGGGTCAAAGTAACATTGGCTACAGGTGTCAGTTACTACTGCTACACTAGAAACAAGGTGCCAAGTGACACCGTCATAGGTTCCTCCACAATCTTGCCAGACGTCGCTCAACAATGTCTCTTGTATCTCCACTGAACACAGGGGTAAGACGTAACCATGGGTATCTCCAACGCTGGTTACAGCATCTCATAACTTTTCAGACCAAACAAACGTCCCAATTACAATCTCCTTCTGCAAATGACGAGCCCGTGGCCAGCTCAGGCCACCACTAAGGGAGTCTTCTTAGACCGAAACCCGGGTGGCGCGTTCTCCTCGTCCTCAGAATCGTCGATATTCAAGAGCTGGAAGCGATTGCTGACCGATGATTGCCTCTTTGGCTGAGGAGCTTCCTTGGTCTTCAGAACCATGGGGGCTGGGTAAGGGTGGGCACACTGATCCACGTCGAATTGAATTCTTCTGCCTTTGTACTTCCTGTCCAACATGTTAGCCTCCGCCAGTGAGAATCTGCGTAATGAAACATACATTCGGCTCAGCATGCAGGTGCGAGCATAGATGGCATTGTGCACCGAGTTGAGCTCGATATGACAGTTTCCGCCGATGAACTGTATCATGATCACAACCAGGTTGTGGATATGATCCAAATCTTCGCGAATCACCTCCTCGGTATGTTGACTGGCGTAGTTCATGATGACAAGGTTGCGACTGGCCCCGGCCGAGATTTTGCCCGCCACATGGCCTGGCAGCACAAACTGACGCTCGTTCCACTTGACCTCGACCTGTCCTCATGTTAGCAAAAGTCAACCTACTCAAAAACCAAGTTGCCTACCCTCTTGTTTCTGATATACAAGTCATTACGACGACAATAGTCATAGAATTTCTGAGCATCGGCCGCATGAAGAAACGAGACGGAAGCTGAGCGGTCGTGAGAGCGAAGATACACGTCTAAGAGCTGGCCGCCGCGCACGGAGTTTGTGATATCAGAATGAGTGGTACCCTCGGCGAGATGCACGATTTGAAGGGTACGATGACAGTTGCGCTCGTACTGATGGCGCTTCACTTCCTGAGGTGGTCCTGTGTAGTTTGCGCCAGGAACAGGGGACCCTTCTTCGATTGAGACATCTTCGTCCCCCTCGTCCTCCTCGTCATAGTCTTCTTCATCCCATGTCGAAGCGGTTTGCTGTTGGTACTGGCGATGAGAACGGTGGCAGGGATGGTCGTAGGAATGGCCGTAGGAGTTGCTGTTGGAATCAGTATGCGAATGCGAGTGCGAATAACCGTTTCCATGTTGGTGGGAAGAGGCATGATGACGCTGCGTCGTCGAAGATGAGGAGAGACCAACACCTCCATGGTCCGTAGTAGAGGCGTGTGTATCCTCGTTATTCTCGGATTGGAAAGCCTCATCACCTTGGCTAAGGAGCTGTCAAACCGTTAGCAACCCGCAACTCAAACTCAATGGCTATGGTGGGGACATGGGCTTACAGCTACTGTAGCCTCGTCTACGCCACCACGTAGGAGGTTGCGCTTGAGGTTCTCTGGAAAATAACTTAGCTTGGTTGAACTGATAGATATCGCAATAGATCTCACCATATTTTCTTGCAATGGACTTGAGCTGGTCATATTCAACCTGTGAAACAGACAACGAGTCTGGAGCATTGATGCTCTTGATGCGAGTCAGAATGTTTCTTTCCCTATGTCAAGTGTCGAATTAGTGTGTCGAATTTAACTTACAAGCTGAACCCTAGAAGCGGGAGATGCAGGTCAGCGTTAGGTGACAACGTTGGTGAACGGTTTCCCAAAGAGTCGGGTTCGGGATGTTGCGCAGATAAGGATAAGGCGGTAACAGAGACACAAAACATACCTTTGCAAGAGGAGATCAAGATCGGCACGAGCGATGGTGACCGTGTCAGAAGAGGACGACATTTTGAAGAGAACTCAGAATTCGCAGACTGAGGGTATCGGGAGCTTGTAAAGCGCAGAACCAAAATATTTAAACAAAGTATTGGTTGGTGGAAGCTGCCCGCGCCATGATATGGACCCTGCTGCGAGCTCTTTCCTTTTCATCCAATTCAAAGTGAACTGACTTTCCCACTGGGAGCAGCCTCCAGCTCTCCCCCCAATCGCACGCTTATCTTCACGTGTGCGGTGTGAATGATGCAGCCAGCTGCTTCCCAATTGCTCACCATCTCCGGGCTTAGCGTCAAAGTATCCCGCCATGGCCACCGCTTTTTTGCCTCTCTGTTGTCTTTGGGCCTGCAAATGATGCCATGAGGCTGGCTGGATGTCCCGCCATACGGCTGTCAGTGAGTGAGTGACTTCGGGATGATGAGATGGCAGCCGTGACAGCCAGATCCAGAGGCTGGGGACCAGGCGTTCATGGCTTCATGCAGGTCATTGGAAAAAGATGGGATGACATGGACACTGGCCCATACCTTCCCCTTGAAAACCGTTGGACTGGCTGTGACAGTTTTAAGTGTTTACATGGCACGACTGCAGCCATAATATTTAGACTGACTGGAATGTGTGAACAGCAGGAACAGCATGACTGACAGCTGCAACCACTTGCGCCATCCAGTGCCGTACAGGAGCAGAGGCACAACGATTCCTGATGTTGCCTCTTCACTCCGAAGCCACTGATCCAGCGCTCGGCCATTGCTTGGTCTCAAGTGCGATGTCCGGACGGCGGGGTTTTGGGCGGCGAAGTTTCACCTGAAAAAGACATCTCTATCATGCTGCCGGTACTCGAGCGTTGCACGGCCAACACTTCAACAGCCAACGTGCAGAGAAGAGGTGCGGAGATGCGAGGTCGATGGCCGACAGACCACCGACTGGTCGGTCCCCACAGTTTAAGCATCTGGGCGATGGTGATCGATCTGCGGTGGAAACAGCAAGAAGATATACCGGCATACGCTCAATTGTCACCGGCGAAGGAGAGATCACCTTGGGTATTTATGCGGTTACGTTGTTGAACACAACGATCAGGATATTTTTAGCCGTGCACCTGGACACGAAGCCAGGATACGAAGGAGCATAAAAAAAAAGCCAGGGTTGAGTGGGTAACGCGGTCTCCTGTTCTGTCGACGCCACTTCAGGGCTCCCGCTAAGCCCGATGCTGCAACGCTGTTAATTGGTTGCAGCATCGAGTGGAGTCGCTCGCTCGCCGGCCTGTCGTTGGTCGTGGAATGCACGCAAAGCCTGGAACTCCAACCCTCGACTTTCTCATTCCAGCCGCCTCCCAACTCCATCGTGCCTTGAAAGCGCTGCCTTTTTTTTTTGGCCTGTTCCATCGTTTTCTGTTCCTTGGGCAACCGGAACCGCACACTCGCTTTTCTGAACGCTCGCTACTTTTGTTGTCTAGCTGTCCCAAGTGACGCCTACTCTCGCTGAACCTTCACGCACATACCCTATCTGGCCAACCCTCGTTACTTTTACTCCACGCCCGTTTCGCGCGGGTCTCATTTTCGGCCAAACCGCCAATAGGGGTTACCCGCCGTGGCCCAGCAAGCAAACGCCCCCGTACCACTTTGAGAGAGACACCCGACGTGAACACCGGCACAAACACCACTGCGACCGAGCCTTTTCTCCGACGTTGAACAGACATCTTTACTTTCGCTTCCCTCTTCTCGGTACCTGGTCGACCTGGTCGCCTGCCCCTCGAGCATTTTCAGACGCGATCGATCCGAGTTTGTCAACATGAAGTTTTTGTCGGCCGTTGCCCTCCTGGGCCTCTCCTCTTCAGTCTCCGCGCTCGCATGGCCCGGTTTCTTGCCAGAACTTGACAGTCTGGTGGTAAGGCAGAACAGTGATGGTACGGAACACCCCAATTGCCTCGTCATTACTCGGCTGCGGCTAACAAGGACATGTAGAAACGACCAACTCCCCGAAGCCAACAAACACACCCTCGAGCAATGACAACAACAACGAAGAGGAGGAAGAGAAGACCACAACGGGCCCAGCCACACCACTCAGGACAAACCTCAACACAGCCGGCATTTCGCAATCGGGCAAGGCCACAGGCAGCGCAGCACCGAATGGCACCACTTCCGGGAAGCCCCGCCAAACCGAATTCAATCCACAAGACCCAGCCGGCGCCGTCGTCATGATCACCCCTTCGGTTATGGAAGGCTACCAGCTGTATAAGATTGGCGACTACATCACCTGGGCCTGGAACTACACCAACCTGCAAGGAACTCCCACCGCCATCGACGTGCTCGTTACCAACACCGTAGCCAAGCAGACGTGGACCCTCACCCAGAACATGACGTTTCAGGAGCAAGGAAGTTACACTTGGGACACGGGCGCATACGACCGGACAGCCGTGGCGTCTCCTCTGTTGGTGGAACAGTACACCCTCATCATCCACGATTCTGACTCGGAGCCCACTGGCCCGGCACCTGCGGGCATGCTTGCGCCCTTCAACAGCTTCAAATTCGGATTATACACCCCCAAGGTCTATACCCCCATCAGCGACGGCTGGAAATGCGCCTCTTGCAATGGTGCGGGTGGCATGTCGATTGACAGCAAGGCCGTGGCTGCCGCGGGCGTGATGAGTGTGATCACAGTATTGAGCTTCACGTGGTTCGTGGCTGGGTTTGGTGGGTTGATGTAGATGTGTCTGTAATTGATCTGAAAATGGTTGATTTCGTCACGTCGTACAGTGGGAGGAGCAAAAGAATAAAATGAAAAGGGGGGCGAGATCTACAGTGCTGTAATGTCTTTTCCAAAAGAGGTGAGGAATACTTACGCTTAATATGGGAAGACAGAAAAGTGTAATTTGGTTGGCTGTTTACTTTTTCTGTCTTTGGCACAGAGAATTGGTTCTATTTTTCGGGGCTGGGGGCGTTGGCTAGAAACATGTTTTTCGGTACGCTTGATTTGGTTTCGAAAAAGTCGAAAGCAGAAGCGGCAGAGCGGTTGAGGTATTGACTAAGGGGATGGATTTCTCATTTTCACCTGTATCTGTTTTTTTGGACATCTCACACACATTCATGGCGAGCTTTTTCCGGAAAGATGACGACTTTCATGCATACATACATATATTTCAGGTAGCTTTAATGACGAAGGGTATATCTTGACTTTTCTGTCTTGTTGGTCTTGTTGATATTGCATTATATATACAGCCGCCCCCTTTCCACGGCATTTTGGTATCCATGTGTCGCAGTCTATGTTCATTAGTTGCTATTACATCACATCATTATTCTCGTCCATGTAAACCACCTCCTTCTCACACCATCCTCAAAGCAAACCCACCCCCCCTCTCCTCTTTCTCCCTCCCAGCAAAAATCCCACTAAAGTCCACCGCCCCCAAATCCGCCGCCTTTTGTCCCCTAACCGGCGCATTGGGCGTCTCCCTCTTCCTCCTCCTCTCCTGGCCCGCCTTGCTCGGAAAAGTAGGAAACATGGCCTCCTGCTTCGGCTTGGGGTCCTGCCGGAAATACTCATGCTCCAGCACCTCCCTCGCCGCCGGCCTCCTCTCCGGATCCAGCGCAAGCAACCCATTAAACAACCCCACCCCCGCCGACGTCAAAAGCGGAAACTTTGTCCTTATCCTCGAGTTCGTCGATCCCGGCGTCGGGTTATTCGGCAACCTCAACCCCCTCGCGTTCGGCAGCCTCCGAAACGAAGGCCACGACTCCTCCGAGGGCAGCCCGCACAGCTCAAATATCCGCGTGAGCTCGTCCACCTCGTTCCTCCCCTGCAGAAGCGGCTCCCTGGCCAGAAGCTCCCCAAAGATACACCCCACGCTCCAAATGTCAATCGCGCTGCCATACGTCGTCGCCCCGAGCAACAGCTCCGGGGCACGATACCACAGCGTAACCACCAACTGCGTCAGTTTTGGCGGCGGATCGCCCACATATCTCGACATGCCAAAATCCGCAATCTTTAGCTGGCCCCTGTTATTCAACAACAAATTCGACGTTTTGAGATCCCGGTGAAGGATCCAGTTGTCGTGTAGATACGCCACCCCGGAGCAGAGCTGCAACATCAGCGTCTTGACTTCTGAGGCCAGAAACGGCTCGGGCATGTCCTCGAGGATAGACTTGAGGTCGTGTTCGAGGAACTCGAGGACGAGAAAGATGGATGGTTCCAAGGGGGTGGTCGAGTCGGAAACCACTACTTCCAGCAGGGGGACGATGTTTCTGTGGGAGCTGTTTCGCAGTATTTGAATCTCTCGCAGGCCGGTGACGGGGAGGCCGGAGCGGTCTTTCGGGTCGGTCTTGAGGCGCTTGAGGGCGACGATTTTGGAGGTGGAGAGGCAGCGGGCGCGGGAGACCCAGCCGTACGCGCCTTCCTCGATGTCGTTCAGCTTGTCGTAGTTTTCCACGCTGCGGGAGCGGGAAATGGTTCCGGGGGTGAAGCGGAGGAGGTTGGTGGTGGTTGGTTCTTCTGGGGGGGCTCCGTTGTGTGTTTCTTGTTGTTCGGGGGAGACTCGTCTTCGTTTTGGGGGAGGGCCGTTGGGGCTTTCTTGTGGTTGTGGTTGCGGTGGTTGTTCTTGTTGGGCGGCGGCGGCAGCTTCGCGGGTTTTTCTTTCAGCTTCGAGTTTGCGTGCCTTTTCGGCTTTGAGGCGCTTCTTTTCCTCTTTTTCCCTTTTCAATTGCGCTTCGCGCAGGGCGTCTTCTTCGTCGTCTGCCCAGCGGGACTTGGCTTTGCTTGCCATGGTGATTCACTAATGTCTAGGAGACTGGATCGGGATAAAAATTTGTGTTACTGGAGGCGCTGGATATTGTGTCTTGAATAAAAGAAGTGCTGTTTTCGCTGGGGGGCGTGTTGTCGCGTGGGATTCAAATGCATGCAAGAGCTTCAAGATTCAAAGATTCATGATGCGCTTGGTTTATTTGGACATTTCCTGGTTGGTCAAAGCTTCTTCTCCAAGCAACAACCACAGCTCAACGCCTGGGACCGGACGGCAGATAATAACACGGCCAGCGCAGCTATACCGTTCAAATATCTCTTCATACTTTTTGACGTGATGGGTCAAACGTGTTCCTTTTTTGCTTATTGGTATCTGCATCAAAAAGAGGCATCGAGCAAAAAGATGCGAATAGGGGGCGCTCTTGCCCCTTATTCGGTGCTGAGAAATGACATGATGTCCGTTCGAGGAAGCCGCGAGCGATTGTCTTGGTTATTTTTGGAGGAAAGATCTCATCAATCTTGTTGTCCGAAACATGACTTTCTCCTTTTTTTTTCTTTCTTTTTTTTGTTCTTTTTTTTTTTTTTTCTCTTTTTTTTTTTCCTTTTTTTCCCCACAATATGCCACTCTGGTCTTGCTGTTTTTTCAACAACACCTTCCCCTCCGGAGCGGGAGAGCTTCGGTGCGCCTTCCGAAGCCTCAGAGGATACGAGGCTTGGTCGAGCCTTCAAACTCCCAGAACTATGGAATCTTCTACCCACCTTTCTCTGCTGACAGCTCCAGTGTCTGCATCGTCCATCGTCATCCCAGTGGCATCAGCTTTCTCCCTGCCACTGTTGTACTCCCGGCCTGTCGTTACCATCCCAGGCCTTTGCTTTCTTTTGCTCTATGTTATCATCAGACTCCCTTGCCAGAATGGACAACCTGACTAGCGCCTCATCGGGGAGCTCCATGTCCCCAACGGCTACGGACAAGGAGACCAAGTTGAACCCCAAGTCTCGCGTTTCCATCTTTGCCACGCTTCGTCGCAAGACTTCCCGAATTTTTGTTACCAAAAACACACCTTCACAAACACCAGTGCCCTTTACAGATTATCAACCACAGCAAAGACGACGTTGGTTCAACTCTGTAGGTGGCCGGCACTCTCAACGGCAGAACATTCGGGACCACTTTGAGCGCGACGAAAGGACAGAAACCCCAACTACACCAACTACACCAACACCGTACTCGAACAGAGATGGCCCAACCCCTCCTCACTCGCCCGCCAGGCGGTTGTTGAGGACGACTAGTTCTATGTTTCTCTCGCTCCGTGGCAGGTTTCAACAAGAAAGCCCCGGCAGCCCCGAGAGTCACTATCAGCAAAGGGCTAGCAATGATGATGACAATGGCAGTGACCATGTCACCGGCGTCTGCGATCCAGTCGTACCAAAAGCTCCTGTCCTGGCTTTGCCGGCGGATGTCAAGACCAGAGCAGGTTGGCTAGGCCGCCGAAGCTCTTTTCAACTAGGCGTTCAGAAGGCTGTCCAGGACACGGTCGATAAGAACTTCTCTTTGGACTCTGCTTGTGACACACCTGGTAAGTCTATGCTTTCCTGCACATCACAACGGACATGGCTGACCAGGACCTACCTCCATAGTATCCCTTGGCCCACGAAGCCGTCCGACATTGCCACCGCTTGCTACCATAGCTTCGATGAATTCTTCGCTAGAGGAAGCTTCACGTCTGTATGACACAAAAATCGGTTTGCTGACCAGTGCGAGGGACGGTTGCCTCACTAGTCCAAGCATGTCAACTTGTGCAAACCCGTCGGAGACCCCTCGGGAGTTTTCCTCGGACTCGCCAACTCTTCCCAGCAGTAGCCAGCAAGACTCGGCTCGGACATCGCTGGACACGACGGTGAATGGCAACAGCAACTCGCTGAGCAGCCCCAAGACGTTTTCATCCAATGTCAGCATCCCTTCCCGCCAGCGCCGTATTCTGTCGGATTCTTCCTGGTCGCCAGAGTCACCAGAGGCACCGGTTTGCACCGCCTGCGGAAGCGCCAACCAGTCTCGTCTGATGGAGCGAAGCCTATGCGAGCTCAACCAACTCAGTGATGAAGAATTGGAGGCACTGTTCAGGAACAAACTTGGGGGGTTGTCACTGGTTTCGTTGGCCTCATCGAGGGGACATTGTGGTCCATATGGCAGCGGCAGTAAGGTTGGTGCTGACGAGGCAGCAGAGTTGGAGCTGAACAGAGCAGAGGAGCAAGATGACAAGAATACAACGGCGAGTATCTTGGAAGGGGATTCAAACATGTGTGCGAGCACTCCGAGGCGGTCTCTGCGGGAGGAGCTGTTGCAGGTTGGGGAGGCATCGCAGATTAGCTGGAGTACCTCACAGCAGCTTGAGGGTGAGATGGAGTAATGAAGCAAAGCATGATATCAGAGTAATGGTACGACAAAAGCGGTTTGGTAGTCAGATTGGAGTTGGAGTTTAACGGTTGGTGGTCTTATTGGTGCTGCTCTTGGGAACATTGAAAGGAAGAGAGTAGCTTGCAAGGCCGAAAGGCAAGATATAGTGTTTAGGCAGAAGTTATACAAACAGTTGGTCAGCCTTTAGTTTTGTGACCTGTGTTGTTGGTTAATGCACCTGGGAGACAAAAAGATGTTTCTCATGCCCAAATGAAAACAAAAAGAAATGGTCAAAAGGATTGGAGGAACTCTTTCAAGAGACCCTTATGATACTGACTTTGACCGACCCAGGGATCGAACCTGGCACCTTTTGTGTGTGAGACAAACGTGATAACCACTACACCAGCCGGCCTCGGATGAAGATGGCAGTTGCTGGTGTGATTTATAATGGAGATGCATGACGGTATGGAGTTGCGGGGACCGCGGAGGAGCTTCAGCAATTCCATGGCGAATGGAGACAGAAATAGGAGGGCCCCACCCTGTCAATATTGCGACCCCCCTAATTCCCCTGAATCGACCGATGCGAGTTTCGGTTTTTTTTTATCACAGTGTCAACAAAGCCCCGTCGCTGAGGAAATGGCTTTTCTCCATCTGACCCCTTTTTCTGCCCACACCAGGAAGACAAAAGAATTCTTCTCCCTTGACGCTAGAAGGCCGGCAAGAGGGGTGGAATGCGACCGTACAGTTACCAAACTACAAAAGATAGAAGCGATCTCCAAGCCCAATGATGGACGCTGGACGCTGGTGGAGGGGCATTCCCGGCGGGAGCGACTGCTAAGCAACCAATGGGCTTGCAAGGAGCAGGGAGTGGACGGACCACCTTCTCCCAGGGAACACCGCCTCGGGCGCCTCAGACCGCGCTAATCTTGGACCCGTGCACGGTGTGCATAGGCCTGGCTGCCTTTTCGTTAGCAACCTGGGGGAGGAGGGGGGTGATTTATCTCAGCTTCAACAGGGCCGATCTTCCATTCATTAACCTAAGAGCATTTCAACGAGCGACGACTTCTTGTGAACGGGAAGAGAAAGGAAAAAAAGTCACACTTAACTACTCTCACAACTTTTACACACACACACACACACCACCACCCGTCTCTCTTCGTTCTTCTTGTAATTCCTTTTCTTTCTTTCAATATCCCCTCTCTCTTTTTTTTGGTCAACAGCAAGAGCAAATAGCAATTCCAGATGGCTGGCCGTTTCGTGCGCGCGTCGAAATATCGTAAGCTTTTGAACCCACCTCCCCTACCTACCGAGAGAGAGAGAGAGAGACCGACCGACCGACCGACTACTCCGACGAGCAGCTTGTCGCATTGCGCAATCACCGAGCCTCATCAGTCGCGTGCTCTGGTGTTTTTGGGCAGTTCCCGACGCCAGCGCATGCGATTGCGACTGAAAGAGTGTTGTAGTAAGAGGAAGGATAATACTGACAGGCCGTTTGCGTTCTTTTTGTTTTAGGACACGTCTTTGGCAAGCCCACCAAGAAGGAGTTTTGTTATGACAACCTTCACATCAGCCGCAATGCTTGGGACACCAACTTGCTCAAGGTAGGTGTTGCTGCCCGAGAAAGAAACGGAGTGGTGAAGCTCACCAATGTTGGTTTTCTGGCTAGGTCAACCCCGAGTACATCTCCGTGAACTGGGAGTCGAGTGGTGGTGGTGCTTTCGCTGTCATCCCCGTAAACGAGCGCGGCAAGCTCCCCGACCAAATACCGCTGTTCCGTGGACACACTGCTGCTGTGTTGGATACCGACTGGTGCGCATAATATCCTTGGAGTGTTGGGGGTTCGAAAGGAGATGGTCTGACTTGCGACTAGGAACCCGTTCAACGATCGCATCATTGCCTCGGCCTCGGATGACGGCAAGGTGTTCATCTGGGAGGTGCCGCAAGGGTTCACACTCCATACCGATGCGGAAGAGATTGTTGATGTAGCTCCTGTTAGCAAGCTGGGTGGACATTCCAGGTAGGGAGTGGTGCTTTGGCTGCTTGTCGAAAGGGGCTGCGAGGCTGATTGGTTTCCAGGAAAGTTGGACATGTTCTCTTCAACCCGGCCGCCGAGAACATCCTGGCCTCTTCTTCCGGCGATCAGACTATTAAGCTGTGGGATATCGGTACCGGGCAGGCTGGTCACACTCTGAAGCACCCCGAGATTGTGCAGAGCTTGTCGTGGAGCGCTAATGGCGCCATGTTGGTGACTACCTCGAGAGACAAGAAGCTCCGCGTCTGGGATGTCAGGCAGGAGAAGCCGGTCCACGAGCACCCCGGCCACGAGGGTGCCAAAAACAGCCGCGCTGTGTGGCTCGGCGAGCACAACCGCATTGCCACTACCGGCTTTTCGAGGATGAGTGAGCGGCAAATCGCTCTCTGGGAACCTGGTCGCGCGCAACCCATTGGCGGCTTCACTTCTCTCGACTCCATTTCTGGCGTTTGCATGCCCTTCTGGGACGACGGATCCAACTGCCTTTATCTCGCTGGCAAGGGTGACGGCAACATTCGCTACTTTGAGTATCAGAACGACAAGTTCGAGTTCCTCGCCGAGTACAAGTCTGGTGATCCCCAGCGTGGTGTCGCTTTTGTTCCTCGTCGCGGTATCAACGTTAGTCGCTTTTTTGTTCTTCTTTTCTTTCGGCAACAGATTCTCTAACAGACAACAGGTTCACGAGAACGAGGTTATGAGAGGTTACAAGACGGTCAACGATACCTACATTGAGCCCATCTCTTTCACCGTGCCTCGTCGCGCCGAGACCTTCCAATCCGACATTTTCCCTCCCGCTACCGGTGTCAAGCCCGCCATGACTGCCAAGGAGTGGTTCGACGGCAAGGAGGGTCTTCCCAACAAGATCGACTTGGAAAGCATCTATGACGGCAATGCTCCTGTGGAGGTCGCTTCCGACTACAAGCCTCCTGTTGCGATTCCGGCTCCCGCCCCGGCTCCCGCCCCGGCCACCGCGCCTGTTGCCTCGCCCAAGAAGGAGCCCGAGCCGGCTCCTGTCGCCCGCGCCCCTGCTCCTTCGGTTGCTGACCAAAAGACCTCCATCTCGGCCATGGCCAACAAGTTCCAGGACGATGAAGAGTCTGGCAATGATTCCGAGGTCTCGAGCTTCGAGGAGATCTCGCGTCCTGCTCAGCGCCAGAGCATCATCATCAAGTCACCGAACAAGCCGTTCCCGATCGCGACTACTCCCCCTCCCGGCACCAAGCACTCTCCTAGTCAGGTGTCCCCTGTCAGATCCCCCGGCAATGTAACACCTTCTGTGAAGCATACCCCTACTCCCTCGGCAGCTACCGCCGCTGCTGCGGCTGCGGCGGCCACGCCCTCTGGGACTCCTATCGAAGTGTCTCTGGAGCAGATCAAGCACCTCTTGGTCCAGCAGGCCGTCATCATCAGCTCCCAGAGCGAGAAGATCACCTCCCAGACCAACGTCATCAACCGCCTTGCCAGCGACGTCGAGACCCTGAAGAAGCGGGTCGAGGCCGGGTCGCAAGAGCAGAGCGAGCGGATCCGGCTTCTGGAGCTAGAGTTGGAAGAGGCCCGATCTTGAAGGGTGAACTTTTTGACCGACCTCGAGTTGAAAAGATTGGCGTTGGATCTTTTTTTGGTTTTGCTTCTGGGAAGCGAATTTCACACACACAGAACAATGCATGTGAGATGTATGTCATTACGAGCGATATGGGTTGTTTGAGTTTTTTTTTCTCTTTATTAAAGACTAATTTGGGGGGGGGGGGAGAGGAAGGACTGGAGGGATTTTTTCTTTCCTGTGTTTTTCTGTTTGTGAAGACATGGTCGGATGGAAAAAAAGAGAAAAGTCCTGGTCTATCTCTGGCTTTTTTGATTTGATTTGGGTTGTTTTGCAAAGTCTTTTTAGCGAAGAATAGGGGAGGGAGGTGTTTGTTTGGAAGAAGACTACTGGGGGGGAGGAGGGGAGGGCAAGCAAGCAGGCAAAGCGAAGCAAAAAAAAAATCAAATACCCATGATTTTTTTCATTATTTTTCTTGTTATGCGTATATGTACATTTAATGTCCCCGTCTCTGAGACATGACAAGATCAATAAAGGGTTGTTTTTTTATAACTTTTGTACTCTATTCTGAGTTATGACTAAGTGTTGAAGTGTGAATTACATATTGAATCTTTGTCTTGTCCTCTCCTTTGTTTAACATGTGAAGGTGTCGTCTATCGGCAACAAGAGCAGGTATTGTAAAAGTTGATGTCATCGTCGTCATCGAACTCGATCTCATCCAAGATCTCTTGTGTAGTCTTTTGCTTTGCTTGTTGTTGCTGCTGTTCCGCTTCCCTTTTGCGCCCCATGACAAAAGCGTCGATATCCAACTGCTTCAGCTCCTCCTCCTCCTCCTCCTCGTCCCCTTTTGTCTCCTCCAGCAACCCCCTCAGTTCCTCCACCCTCGTGTTGTCCACCTTCCCCTCTGTTACCAACCCCTCCAGCACTTTCAAATCCTGCTCTGCCCCCTCCCTTTCCATCGACGTCAACTTTCTCCTTTGCGTTTCCAACCCCTCCCTCGCTTTCGGTTCCGTCTTCCACTCCCCCCCCTCACTCCCATTCTGATACCCCACCCCCCCTCCCCTCCGAACGACAACCACCTCGTGCACATGTCCCGGGTGCTCGTCAACCCACCCCGCGCCAGTAACGCACCCGCCAAAACTCTCATCATGAACACCCCTCGGCGTCAACCTCGGCGGCAACCCCCTGCTCATACTCTCCGGTAACCCCCGATAAAACCTAACCAACACCCCCAACCTCGAGAGGACCTTTGGCACGGCGAGGATGACTACCTTGACTGTGTACCCAGCCCCACTGAAAATTTTGACTATATCCTCAAAATCTCCCGGATGTCGACACGCGCTCTCGACCAAGACCGGGATCTGCGCTTCGGCGGCGGCGGAGCAAGCCATTGATAGCCAGACTCTGGCGGAGGGGGAGGCGAGGGCGGAGGCGAGGGCGGGATGGAGGGTTAGGCAGGGGGTGTAGAAGGGGTGGTGGGTTTTGTAGGTGTCTGCTATCAGGTGGCAGGGGGGACGATTGGGGGAGGGGGATAGGGAGGAGGATAGGGAGGAGGATAGGAGGGGGGCGAGGCGGGTTTTGCCTGAGCCGGTTTGGCCGAGGAGGATTATCGCTGTTGGTTTTGGGGAAGAGGGTAAAGGGGTGGGGGGGATGAAGGGGGTTATTTCTAAGGGGAGGATGGAGGTGGTGAAGATCTGGGATTGTTGTTCGGGGGTGAGGTGCCAGTGGGGGGGGAGGGAGGGTTGTTGAGGGTTGTTGTTGTTGATGTTGGAGGAGGAGGTGGAGGAGGAGGAGGAGGGCATTTTGAGGGTGATAGGTGGCGGTTGATGAGGTGAAATGGAGATGGATGCCCGGGGGGGAAGGATGAGGTGAATTCGGAGATGCTGAGCTGCGGATCACTCAGAGGTTCATGTGCTATTGTTTGGCGGGTGGGTGAACGGTCAAAGACTTTCAAGAAAAAAAAAACCTCACGATAACACAGAAGGAAAGTTTAGTTTATATATGTATACCACCTACACAGATACAACCCAGCTTTACGTAAGGCACCGCCGAACCGTGGGGCGAATCACAAAATGTCTTGGCTGGAGGTGCGAGAGAGAGACAATGTGGGAGTTAGGGAGGGGCAGAACCTGAGTTCGGTGCCCACTTTGAACGATCACGACATCTCGCTCTCTGGTGTAACAACCCGGAAGGATTTCTCTTCTACTATTATTCCAAAGCCAGACACCTCAACTTACAGAATCATCTCAGTATCAAAACAAGAAAGTTCATTGGCATGCCTTGGAAGTTAGAGAGTAATGAGTGTCAACTTAAAGCGAAGATAGCATCGAGATGATGGCTAGGCTTCAAATGATAACCCAACAACGGCAAATGCACTTGGACAGCTATTTTCGTAACGATTTTTTAATTTTCATTTTGTCGACTCGTCTACTAACTCCACCTCTTTCCCGCCCATTAGCTATTAAGTCATCTCCCAAGAGACATATTCTATATCCCCCTCCCATAGGATCGTCCAAACCTTCCTCCATGGGCCACATATCTATCTTGCAATCTTTCACAAAGCGCACATGAGTAATCACGCAAGGAAAACATCGAGAAGAAAGTCTAAAGCAATATTTCGATTGATGCCCCCAACACCACACAACCTAGCAAATCAACAAGATGGGGTAGAAGAGTAAGAAGATGACAGCAACAGCACTCAACGAGCAACAAATACACCTGTGTGCATAAATCTGAAAATATAAAATCTGTCGGTGAGGTAACAAACCCCAAATAACAACCAGAGCGAAATCAAGAGAACAGCACAAGGAAAATAGCAGCAGACATAAGAGACGAATCCAAGTAGAAAAAAAAAAGAGACGAGTTTAACCCTCGGCAACAGCAACTACCAGATATAGAAACAAGAAGAGAGTAAGAAACTATTTCCCCTCCCACTCTCTATCTTCCTTTGCCGGCCAGCGAAACACCCATCCGCTTTTCCATCATCCCTGCCATATTTAACCTCCATCCGTTCATCTTCGTCGTCAAGTCACCTTCCCAGCCCTTCCCCCTCCCAACAACAGAAAACCCTTGCCAGCCAACCTTGCCCTCAAACTCTGCCAGCAGTGATGTGTCGTAAGAGTGAAGAACAGTCCCCAAGGGACACGAGAAGCCAAGTCGAGACCTTGGAATGACCCGTAAACAACGAAGAAAGTCAAAGGAGTACGACGATGGTGATGAACAAAACGACTTTTGATAAGGCATCGTACCAATACTCAACATGAAAAAAGAAGGGTGATGTCGAGAAGAAAAAACGCCTGGAAAAGCAAATAAGCTGTTGACAAAAAACCGGGTGCTTGCCCTCCTCCTATGTCCGTAACTCCGTTGGTAAAAAAGAAGATCTCATTCCCTTCTTCGTGGCGGATTGTTGTCTTCTCCCCGATGACGAGAAGACTCTATTTGAGGTATCACAAACTTTTGGTGAAAAAAAAAAAACCGTTTTGAAGGCCCCCGTCGCAAATGCAAATGAACTAACCGCCGAGTCTATGCATACTCTTCATGAATGCGAGACTGATGCAATGAAAAGACCCTTTACTCCTTCTTGTCCGAGGTGACAGTCGAGTCGAGCGACGCCTTGGGGAGAGCGGGCGACGCGTGCGCTGATGGAGGCGAACCGGGGTGATCAGCCTCAGCAAGAAGTCTGCAAATACATGTGGTCAGTTATGGTCCATATACGGCGAGTTAAAGAAGCGAGTAAAAACTTACGCAAATGCATTGGCGTGGCCAACCGAGTCGCGCTGCGAAACTGGGGGTGTCCCGGTGCGTGAGGAGACACCGGAATCCTCTCCGGTACGCCCAAAAGCACCACCGGGTCCTCCCATGCGTCTACCGCTATTGCTTCTAGAGTTGAACATCGAGGTCGGGCCGAATGAAGCCATGTTCTGGCTGGAGCTGCGGTTGGATGAGCCCTTCAGACGACGGAGATCGTCGCTAGCCACCGTGTTGGGAGCCGCATTAGCGTACGAGAAGTTTCTCGAATCTTGACGACCACCCATGGGGCGACCACCAGGGGCACCGCGCTGGTTGGTGCGGGCATTTTCCGCTGCCTTTTGCGCAGCAGCAGCTTCGGCCTGCGAAATTGTTAGCAACATAGTCTCGAACACGAAAGGGAGATGCACGGCTTACCTCGGCGCGGACTTCCTCAAGGGTCTTGGGGCCCTTGTTCTGCTCCTTGGAGTGCCAGCCACTGCGGCGCAAGTCCACAATGTCCATGAGCATGAACTTGAGACGACTGGGAAGAGTCGGCAGATTCATCATGGAATCGATGCGCTGGAAATAGGCATCCATCATAGGTCGGCCCTTCTCAGTGCTATCCAGAGTGCCACCAATCGTTCTGAGCAGCTTGGTGAGAGATTCAATCTCGGCTTCATCAGGGAGATCCTGGTACTCGAGCAACTTGCGAACACACTCGTGCATGATGCGCTCTGTCAGCATACCCAGCTTGAAGAGCTCACCAATGAACTGGACGAGACCAAGACCGCGACGCTTGGCAGCCGCAGCAATGTAGTATTCGTCTGAGAGCATGGCCGCCTCGGCAGTCTTCTTCTCATCGCCCTCCTTGACCTCAGGAGGAGGAGGCAGGTTAGACTTCCATCCTCGCTCGAACTCAGTCTGGCAGCGGTTGAGGAGATATTTGCGGAAAAGGGGACCACCGCTGATAACGTTGCCCTGCTTGTCCGTGACAGTCTCATCGCGGATCTCGGGGCTCATCGACTCGAGCATGCGCTTGCAGAACTTGGCATACATGGAGGCCCAGTGGGCTTCGTCTGTCGCCTTCTCGAAGGTGAGCTGAATGACTTGGCGAAGTGTCCGACCGTCCTGCTCGTTCTTGGATTGCGCGGCGATGGTGAGGATTTGATCGGCAATCTTGTCGAATTTCTCAGGAGTCATCTTGTTCAGGGCAGCCTTGACCTTGCGCTGCACCATTTCGGGATCCATGTGGCCATTTTGAGCCACGGCGGTCGGGTCTTGAGGCTTGTTGATGCTGGTCGGTTTCCAACCCATCGCCGAGACTTGAATGGGCTTGAGCTCCATGCCTGCAGTAAGGGGCATAGTCTTCGCAGCTTGGGCCTCGGCCTTTGCGTTGTTAAAGTTCCCTTCTCTCTTGCTGCCTCCGCGTCTGCTACCGGTGCGGGGAGAGGGCAAGCCTCCAGCAGCTGAAGGGTTCCGGCTCATGCTCGTAGGGAAACCACCACGGCCAAAGCCGCCCATAGTGCCCATGGGGGGTCTTCCTCCCAGACTGCCTTGTGACATGGCAAACCGTTGCTCCGAGGTCGTACCAGGAGGAAGTGGTTTGGCGCCAAACTGGCCCATGGCTCCGCCTGAAGGGAAAGCGGACGACGCACCAGCGCGGGAACCTTGACGGCCGGAGCCGCCACCCGGGGTGCGGGCCGAGGCCGAACGATCCGAGTCGCCAATCAAAGTCTTGACCTGTTGGTGGAACTCCATAGAAGGCTGCTCAGTGAACACCTGCTTGAATTGCAGCAAAAAAGCAGCGTCGTATTTGAAGACCTTGCCCTTCTTTGACACCGCAGCGTTGAGAGCAGGATTGGGTGAGCGGACACCCTCGGGATAAATGTCCAACTTCACGCCTGGGAGGAAGCGGGCGGAACGAAGGGACTGCAGCGCGGCACTTGGCTGAGGGGCCTCGACCTGGGCAGTCTTGAGGGGCGCCAGGTTCAGAGCGGCAGGCTTGCCCTTGGGTTTGTCTGCGCCAGTCTTGATGGCTGGGGGAGCCGCGGCAGCTGGCTTTTCGCTGATGGCAAGCTCCTTCAAGTCCTTGCTGAGCAATTCGGCCACACTGGAGGAGCCGCCCTTGGCCCGCTCCTGCTCCCTCCGCTCCTCTAGGATCTCCATCTCGCGTTCCTTGGCTCTGAGAGCTTCTGGGCTATTCTCAGCCGCCTTTTTGGCTTCTTCAAGGGCCTTCTGGGCTGCCTTTTCGGCTTCCTTCTTGGCGGTGATCGCGGCCTGTTCGGCTTCACGCTTCGCATCCTCTTCCTCCATCTCCCGAATCATGCGCTCCATGTATTCCTCCTCAGTCTCCTTCTTCTCCTCCTCCGTTGCTGGCTTCTTGGCAGCCCCTGCCTCGGCTTCAGCCTGAGCCTTGGCTTCGGCTTCCGCCTTCTTCTTTTCCTCAGCCTCTTCGGCAGCCTTCTTCTCAGCGGCGAGGCGCTCCTCCTCGGCGGCCTTTTCGGCAGCAGCCTTTTCGGCTTCCGCCTTCTTCTCCTCAGCAGCCTTTTGCTCCTCAGCAGCCTTTTGCTCCTCAGCAGCCTTTTGCTCCTCAGCAGCCTTCTTCTCGGCGGCAGCTTTAGCCTCGGCCTCAGCAGCAGCTTGTTCAGCGGCGGCCTTGTCCGCAGCAGCCTTGGCAGCAGCTTCGTCGTCCTTTGCCTTGGACTCGGCAGGCGTGATGGTGGAACCCATTACCTTGTTCTTGAACTCATTTCTAACCTGCTCGATTGTCTTGCTAGAGGCGCTTTCATTGCGCACGTGGGATGGAGTCGCCGACTTGGGGGGCGGAGTTGGGGTGGAAGCGATTACGGGAGGCGTCTTAGACTGCTGCGTAACCGGTGGGGCGGGAGAGGGAGGAGCCTTTATAGAGTTGATGTCGAGAACATTACCGTTGGGGTCCTTGATTACAATGCCACCCTTCTTGGGACGAGCAAATGTCGAGCTGACAATCGCAGGCGCAACGGCGGCTCGTGGCTGGGGGGTGCCTTGGGTCGAGGGAGGAGCTGGGGCAGGGCCAGTGCTCGAGGCTGGACGATCTGAAATCTGTGAAGCATTACGGGACATAGGAGGGGCACCCGAAGGGGGCTGGTAGGGCGCTTGTGGCACAAAGTTTGGCTGTCCTGGGTTGAAGCCACCGGCCGGAGGGAGGTATGGGCTACCCTGGCCCATGTATGGCTGGAAAGGAGGAGCCCGATAGGGATCCATGTACGGCGCGCTCATCTGTAGTTTGGTTTCGGTTAGCAGCCTTTCAAAATTACGGCTTTCTGGTGATAAGTCGATGGGCCCCATGAACGGAGGACCCAGCATGGGCGCCCCGCGCCTGGGATCAAAGCTGTATGGGGCAAGCGGGCCATCCGAATACTCGGGCGGTGGGAGGCCGCCGTTGAACTCCTGATGGAAACCGACTCCTTGTTCCCACACCTTGCTCTGACGTCGAGACTTCTGGGAGAGCTCGAGGGCTTTCTGTTTCTGGGGAGCGCCATTGGGACCACGCATCTGCTGGGAAGCCTTGTCCGCCTCTCGGCGAGCTTGCTTCTTGTTTTTGTGCGGCTTGAATGAGGAAGAAGAAGTAGAAGAAGAGGGGGGGTTTGTGGGAATGAAGGGGGACTTTACTGGTTGTTGATACATGTTCATGGCGGGCGGGTAATAGTTGGGCGGAACAGGTTGCATAGTGTTCGGCTGCATTACTGGAGTTCCGTGGGCCATGGTGGGAGTGCCAGCAGGGCTAGCACGATGAGGTTGGGGAGAGGCAGGGTAGCCGCCCCGGTACGCAGGCATTCCACGACCGGCATGTCCAGCGTTGGGACCAGAGAAGTTCCGGTTGTTTGGGGGAAACCCCATGTTGGGGTTGTTGAAGTTATGGCCGTGGCTGAAGCTGCCACGTCCACCGCGACCACCTTGGAAGTTGCCACGACCGTGACCAGGGCCGCCGTGCTCACCATGGGCCGAAGCCTGGGAGTCTCGTCGAACATGCGGGCTCTGAGCCATAGCGGCACCGTGCTGCTTCATGTGACGCTGAGAGGGACCGGTAAGCAAGGGACTGCGGGAATAATCAGACATGTTCAGATATGTACTCACATCAGCGTCGCCGGGGAAGCTGCCAAAGACAGGACCCTGAGCTGGGGCACCAGCGCGTTGGGCAAGCCCACCACCACTCTGGTGGCTCTGGGGAATGGGCGATGGGGAGTGAGCAGGAGACGCCACTCTTGGGTTGGCACCACCCGGAATCGGGATAGGTGTCGCTCCAGCTGGCTGGGGAGTGCTGTGAGCAATGGCTGGCGACTCAAAGCCGAACTTGGGGATCGGGCCACCGACGGGACCACCGTTGGCAAGATGGCCGGCCGGGGCGTTAGCACTGATGGTGACAGAGGGCTTCCGGGTGTGATCAGCAACACTGCCGTTGGCAATGGTGGTTCCGCGAGCGACAGGCATGGCGGGGGTAATGTTCTGTCTGCCGTTCACCGGCTGGACATTTGCGGACTTTCCATTAGGAGGGACAGTCGAGCCAGCCACCACGGGCGGGTGAGAACCCGTCGCAATCAACGGGGTTGAGGTCGGCTTCTTGTTCGCACCGGCTGCGGAAGCATACGACGGGGCAGCTACGGGAGCGGTGTTGGAAGTAGCCGGCGTTTGGTTGGATTGACTCGCAGTAGAAGTCATTAAGAAATCGGTTGCTCGAAAGCTCTGTTCTTCTCGAGGTGCGCGGTTTGTTGTATCGGGTTGATTGCGGGGGAGGAGTGGTGGTGTGAGACTAGGGTCGAGATATCAAATCCGACGACGTTTGCTGCTGCGCAGAAGACGAAAAAAAAGTCCCAGCGAAAAAGAAAAAACCAGTCGCTCCAAAAGTCAGATAGACAGTGTGGAGTTGCCGTTGGCTTAAAGTTGCGTGCAGTCGCTTTCACACTCGAAGAGTCGGGTGGTTGGGCGTGCAGGGCAAGGCAAACTCTATCGTGAAAGAGTGTGGTGGTGGGAAGTGGGAGGTGGGTTGTCGCAACCGAAAAAGTTCGAGGCGACAAGAGAGCGACTTTGCCGGATCTGCTGGAGAGAGCCCACAACAAACTGTCTTGGGAGGGGGGTAAGGTATTACCTCTGCTCTGCTCTGTCAGGTCTGAGAGAGGGGCAGGGTGAGGTGGGTCGTAAATCTCTGCTTCTCGGGTGGAGAATATGAGAGAAGACGTGAATGGAGGTGCCCGTCAGTGAGAGACGTTTTCCTCCTCGAAATCCACAAGATGGTTGTGAAAAAGTGGTGGTGGAAAATCGAAAAAGAGGGAAAAATTTGGGCACTGCAGCAGCTGCTTTGATGGTTGGTGAGGCGAGGGAAGGGGGGCCCTTGCCCACGCATCTCTCGCCGCACCAAAAAGTTAAATCAAGCCGCCGCAAGTACCTGCCTGCCTGTGATTTGCTCCCCGTGGTACCTCTGCCCCACTTATGTCCACGTCCTAAAGCTTGGACCAGGTGAGTCTGCCACTCACTTAACGCTGACAACCTGCTGCTTCGTTGAGTGGATTCACTGATAAGTGCTATTCTCTAGGCCTCTAGGTATGCCAGACTCTCGGGTTGGCTATGAGCTTTCAGATATTGGCATGTGCATGAGGCTGAAGTTGCGAGCAAACCTTGAAAGTCACCTCAACCACGCCAGTGACATCAAAGGCTGTCAAGCTATGGACGACGGGAGCCCTGCCCTAGGCACTGGCACAAGCACCGCCGGCTCACTGCTCACTGTGAAATTATCCCGACACCTCATGGCAGCGCAGTGTGGTGCAAACAACACATCTGGGCAGGAACATGTGCTCATCTTTGTTTTTCTGTCCATCCATACCCCAGTGAGGATTGTGAACAAACATTCATTTCAGGTACACAATAGCAGACCATCGCGGGGTGCCCTAAAGAAAGTTGATGGGTCTGGATGCCATAGGTCCCCAGGCACTTCGACTAGAAAGTCCTATTGTCCCTGGGTTCTTTCCTATTGTCCCGACTCTCTTTGAGGCATCACACTCGCCTTGACAACCTTTCACCAAGGGCATACTGGTCTGTTCCTATCGGCAGAACCCAGGGTTTTGGATCATCTTCTGTCAAGAGAATGGAGGTGTCGTTGTGTTCATACATGAATATTCATCAAGTATCTAAGTGTACTTGTATAGTCCCCTTCCCCAGATAAACCCCCCACTATGACCCCTGCCCTCTTTACACTTTAAGATTCGAGACCACCCACCACTGACTCCCGATGACTGGCTTTGACTCCTTCATCCCATGTTCCCTCTCTTGCATGATCTTTTGCATGCATGAGCCCTGAAAGGCTCTCATCGCCCGGGTGACCTAGAACTCGGTTCAAGTCGGTCAGTCGGGATGGCGGCGAATCGGTCGCTGCCAGCGTGCCAGCGTATTGCTGGAGAAGCCAACAGAGCCGCCGCTCCACAACTGGGCAGCCGGGGGCATACGGGGTATGGCATCACAGTGAGGGGTTGCAGGAATGGAGATGAAGGCAAGCCATCGATGGACCTTTCATACATATCCTTCCTTCTACCAGTGACCCGCCAGTATCCGCGGGAATGCGTCAGCTTTTTGGACCGGTAAAAAGCAAAAAGTGTTGGGCTTGCTAATGAATGGAATCCGGGGTTGCTTTCTTGCATCTGGGCAACTTGCATCCCGTCTTTTTGGCCCAATTAAACAAAGGACGGGCTTTGTGCGACAGAAAACGATGCTTTGCCCTATGGAACTCTTCTTGACATAATTCCCGCTTCATTATTAGCCCGAGGGATAATTATTAGGTGCTCGTCGCATAGTAATCTCGCCCGTTTGGCTTCACTTCCTCTCCCATCAAGTCATGGTAACTGACACAGACGTCATCACAAAACGCTTAGACCAGCCATGAGTCGGCCCTCGAGTAACAGCCCGTCCTATGGCAACCATTTAATTCGTAATTCCTCCTTGGTCCTCTTGGACCTCCGCTGCTCCGGCTGCTTAGGTCTCGTCTCGGAGAGGTGGTGGCAAACCGGTGAAGAAAACCCTCCATATAGGGGGGCTCAGAGGCGACAGCAGACAACCAAGACTCTCCCCCATTTGGGCAGCTTGCAAACTCGGGTCCTCTTCGGTGCCTTCAGGACCACACTGATACCCAACCATTTCTGTAACTGTTGATTATCGCCCACCGAACGGCACACTTCGGGGCATTTACGCACAAATCAAAATCTCGCCACTGGCACATGCTTGTCTGTCTGGTCCAGGAAATGAGCTGAGATAAGGTGCAAAAAAAAGTTTACGAATCGTACACCCGTCGCACGGCACTTTTGTGGTAGGACTACGACGGTTGAATCTGACTCACCCAAGCCGGTGACGAAGTGGCTCATCTTGCAGATATTACCTCGGATATGTATAGCCTTGAGGGATTCTGTTGGTCACAGCTCAGAAAGATGTTGAAGATCGAGTTGTCAAAAAACACTATTCACCAGTGGAGAGGAAGTGAATAGATGGTGCAAAAGATATGTTATCAAGTTTGACCCCGACCCGATTTGAACGGATAACCTTTCGATCTGGAGTCGAACGCGCTACCGTTGCGCCACGAGGCCTTCGTTGAAGTTGACGCCGGCATTTAGCCATCATCTCGCCCGCTCTGCCCATTCCCATCATCTAGTCCACTCTGCCGATTACCCCTTACGTGCTCCTCCTCGAGTCTTAACATCCCAATCCAGCGCTGTCTCCCTTTTCCCCTTTTACAACCCCAACACCGCATTCCTCAACGCCCATCTTGTAAGGCCCCTATCACCCATACCTCCCCCCCTCAACCCCCTCACCAACCACCTCCCCTCCTTGCTCTTATCTCTACCCCCCTTCCCTTTCCTTCCCTTCCCTTTCCTATCCTAACCCCATGAATCCCTTCTCCAAATCCATCAACACCAAAGCAAAGCAGGCCTCGTGGCGCAACGGTAGCGCGTTCGACTCCAGATCGAAAGGTTATCCGTTCAAATCGGGTCGGGGTCATACCTGCACGAGATTCCACACTTCAGTGGAGTTACATCATTTTTTTGGGTGTTTTTCCCCTCCTTTCGCAATTCTCAATAGGGGTCTACTAGGTACATAACGGGGCACCATATATACGTTACATATAAAAACCCTTTAACCTTAGCTGAAGATCTTCGAAGGCAAGGATATGTAGAGAGGGTAGCTGCATGATGACGACACTGTATGCGCTAGAACACAGAAAGAAAAATAAGGCGGTCAGGTGGTGCCCAAGCTATTAGAGAACGATTCCCTCTTTTTTATGGTTGAATTGCATGTGATTGACTGTACATGACCAGTGCTTGACTTGGCTGTGTTCGAACCTACCATATCCTTTCGTTGTCTGGTACGGGCGTTGAGGTGGTGCAAAGCCAGACGATGATAACGGTAAGCCCCCAGACAGCCACATAGCCTGACTGTTATGGAGGATGAGAGGAGAAAAATCAATTCCGGAGGAAATATGTATGTGGGAGAGATACAAGCCCAACACTTATTTTCATCTCAACTGCAAAAAGAGTTCTCTTATCGAAGCACAAAAATCATGTACAAAACAAAAGCTCTTCATACACCACCTGTCTTTTGCTGCCTGCCTGTATGGAAAACCCGCAAGGTGCAAGGTAGCTAGTAGTCTCAATCCTCTTCAGCCTCAAAACCCTCCACTTTCCTCCCCTCCTCCTCTTCCTCCTCCTCCTCACCTCCGGCACCAGCTGCCCCCTCATCCTCCAGACCCGTATCCTCTAGTACATCCCTTATCTCTACATCAACAGAAGGAACAGTAGCCTGAGGCAAGAGCTTCAGCTCCTCAACCTTGGTCTTGGTCATCTCATAGACATACTGTCCCAAGTGCTCGACCCCTTGCATAGCAGCCTCGCCCAGCACCGCCGTTGCGACCGCGGTGTTGTCTGCGCTGCCATCTCCTCCCTCTTGCTGTTCAACAACCAGCGGCCGCTCCGAAGGCCACAACTCCCCAGTCACCAGCGTCAACTGGTCCGGCCGTTTGAGAAGCAGCTCGAAAGCGTCCCTCAGTTCATAGCACGCCTCGAAAACCTCACGGCGACCGAGAATGTACAATCCCAACCGCGCGCGAGATAGAGCCACCGTCAGGCGGCGGATATCTCTCAGGTAACCAACTCGGGACGTGCGGGTCAACGAGAGGATGATATCTGTTGAATATAAATTAGTAAAAGGAGCAATAGCCAGTGACAAAAAGGGGTTACTCAAAACGCACAATCATTCTGCTCTCCCTGATACTTATCCACCGTCGTCACGATCCTCGGCAGACCAAAGATGGGATTCTTGGCGCACCGATGCGCCAACACATCCCTGATCAACGCTTTCTGACCGGCATACGTGGCCAGTATGCTAATCTTGGAGGCTGGGTAGCCTAGCAGACGCATGTACTGGTAGATGGCCACCGCATACTCGGCCTCGCCCAGATTCTGGATGAAATGCGGCGTGGGCTCTGTCTCGCCCTCGCCCTTGTAGTCAGGGACATTGATGAACTGATAATCATACTTGAAGCCGGCGTTGGCGGTGGTGAACTCCTTCTCTGTCCGGGTATGCGGAAGGTCACCGAGCTGGGGATACCGCCATTTGTACAAGCTCGAAATAGATGGGCGGGCGCGGCCTTGCTGGTCAAGATTGATCGTTGGGACGCCGAGACGCACCAAGCGGGAGAAGAGGGACTGCTCTAGGTTCGCGTAATGGCGGAAAGCGAGACCCTGGATGACAGGTGAGTTTTGATAATGGTCACCACACAGGACAACTCGTTGAAGCGCCTGTTGGCCATCTTTTGGCTTCTGCAGAGCAAGCGGGATGAAGTTCCCAATCTCGGTGATTTGAGCGGCCTCTTCCATGATGACATTGTCGTACTGGAAACCAAGCGCCGCGATCTCGCCCCGCTTCATGGCAGCGTGAGTCGAAGTCATGGCAACGATCCGTGCCTCGTTGGTAAGAAGATAGTTGGCTTTGTCTTTGTCCCTGCGCAGAATCTCAAAAGGCAGAACGTCTGCGAGTTCAGAGAAAATCTTGGAAATGTGCCGATAGCACCCATTGGCAATTTCTAGGACAGTCTCACGATCTGCCCCAGGCGGGAACAGCGGCTGAGGGGCATCTGCAAAATACCCATGGAATGGGAACACTGTGACGATATCTTCTGGGGTAGCATCCTCAACCTTGATAATCTCATTGAACTTGGCCCACGCAGGTTCAATGTAGACAGAGTTGAAATAACCAGCCGTTTCCGCAGAGCTTCCGTGTGCACCTGGTGCGCCAATGCTCGCGGCGAGACGGTTGACTTCATACAAGAAGCGTTGTCGGTTCTCCAGGAAAGATTCTACCCGTCCGTGCTTACTGAAACTGCCCTCGGTCTCAAGCTCTTCCTCGCCATGACCCAGACGAAGGAGATGACGTTCGTCAATATCCAAAGCCACGATCTTGGCAAACAGCTGGTTCAGAGCTTGATTGCTGTGAGCTATGAGAAGCGTCTTCTGTTCTGGAAAGTTGTGGTAGATGTTGTTGATGATCTGAGTGGCAACGTCTGTCTTGCCAGTACCAGGAGGGCCAACAATGACTGTCAGGCCTGGCTGTGTCCCCGAGATGATCGCCTCAATTTGGGTAGGCGTGAAGCGAACACTGTTGAGTTTTGGAGCATCAACAGGATAGGGACCATTATTTGGTGGTTTGTATGTCGAGACTTTGAGGGTCTCAATCTCCGCGATGAGGGCAGGCTCAGCATCCCGTCTTCGTTTCTTGGAAGGCTTTGATGGAGCCTCTTCCGCTGGCTTCTCAACTGTCTCGAGGACATATGGCGGGCCAAAGCTTCCAGAGACATCGTCGTCTGGTTCGACAATTTTGCCTGGCAAGCTTTCGACAAGATGCTGCCAGTCCAGGAAGGTGTCACGGAAGTTGACTTTTCTCAGCCGGTTTGCCAACTGTTTGTAGTTGGCACCGGCCGGATCACCATAGCCCAAGAATACCTCGTGCAACCAAGGAGCAAGAGGGACATCAGACAGTGTGAGATCCTGAATAGACTCAAGCACTGGCTTGAAGTTGTTTTCTCGGCCGCTTCTTCGGACAAGCAGGTTGATCCCCTCGTACACATCCTGCTTACCCTCAGTGTCGTCCTTGAAGGCCTTAGCGTCAAGGCGAAGCTGAAGTCTCCGGATGTCGCTGCGATTGTGACCATCAAAGTACGCCTGAGCGTCGCGGATTGCCCGCCCTCTGTCATCAAGCACCTGGATGACCTCAGCTGCGCGGACAGCCACCAACCCAAGCTTTTCTGCCTCCGTAACTGATGCCCCGCCGTTCGTGGCGAGCTTAGGTTTTGAAGCGTCCACCGCCAGAAGGAACAGCACATCATCAGGGCGCAGCGATTCCCACTCACGCCGGACATGTTGTGGAAGCTTTCTCAGGTCAATTGTAACCTCTGCTCGCACGGTTGATGGTTTATCATCGCCAACCAAAGGAGGCACAGCTTCCAGAATAGTAGGCTTGGTGATCTTCAAGGCCATCTTGGAGAAACCTGAGAACACTGTCTCGCCTGAGCGTTTCGCTTCCGGTTTTAGCCTGGAAAGAACACTTTCAATATCCTGACGGATCGCATAGAAGGCCTCGCACCGATACAAAATCATTGATCGCCACAAGAAATCGCCCACGGAAAGATATTGCAGATTCAGTTTTGGGAGCGCAAGGGGATGAGACCCATCGTAATGCTCAGTCCTCCCGAGGCCGACCTCAAAGAGGGACTCTTCGGTTGGTAAGAGGCTCAACTCACTTGCCACTTCCTGGAAAGTCTTTCTCCGCTCGAACTGCGACAGCAAGACTTCCAGGAGGAACCTTCTCCCTATGGGTACCCGGACAGAGTCTGGATACGCAGTGCGCAAACCTAGGAGCTTGCAAAGCGACTCAATCTCGGCATCGGCCAATACCGTAAGAAGGCCCTCGAGCTCGCTCCTCTTGTCGATGGCGCCGTAGTTGGACAGGGCCAACACCGTCAGCTTATCCTTGAAATGTTTGAGCGCAGTTCGCTGAAGCTTTGCAAGATCACCACAATGTCTGTCATATGCCTCCGTCTTGCTGAGCTGAGCACCCGTCTGCTCATCGATTGTGAAATATGTGTAGTGTGAAAATAACCTGCACAGATCTCGTAGCAAGCCGTTGGCCTCATCGTTATAGACTGGTGAGAGAACCAGAGCTGGCAAGACGTGAAGATCCTGCAAGAGTGTGTTGACATAGCGCCTGGTTGGAAGTTGACTTTGCAGATCGGTCAGGAACTCGACGAAACGCTCGCAATACAAAACTTGGTCTGGTTTGGCGTTGTCGGTATAAAGGAGGTTCAGGAAGTTGAGGACAGAGGTATACAACCAGGACCGCTCAAAACGTAAACGGGCTTTGGTAGCATCATCAGCCGCGTCATATCGCTTTGCAGATGCCCTCCAGGCCTTCCTCCATTGTGTGTTGGAATCAAGTATGGCATCCCGCTTGTCGTCTGTGGAAATATTATGCCATATGGAGATGGAAACTAGAGGCGCGCATTCTTTCCGTACAATGGTACAGTCGAGACTCGAAAAAGCATGAATGATGAAAAGAAGCACATGGGTCTTGATGGCCCATGAAAGAGAGCTGTCCACGGTCAGGGATAGCGCACGTCGAAAGAGGTCGGAGAAGTCAGCGGGGCGATCACTAAATATGTCTGATGCAAATTGATGTCAGTACTTCAAGGTTGTGTCAAGTTTTGGGAAAGGGAGAACTCACCCCAAGTGTCTAGCCTTTCCCTCCGCTTCACGTTCACTATCAAGATAATGAGAAGAACATGAAAGTTGGACGAGTCCTCGCCATACCCAGGCCACAAGTAGCTGTACCCATCATTGTCAGATCAACCGAGTTGCGATTCAAGATCAAGATCCCAACATACCTCTCCAATGCCTGCAAGCCCTCAAGGACCAAAAGTGATTTGAGGGGGAAGTTCTCCTTCTCCAGAGTGTCCCAGATCTCTCCCTTCAAGACATCATTGTTGACCTTGACCTCCGCTGGTTTCCTTGGCAGCCAGTGCTGCCGTGCAAGTGTCGCAAACTCGCTCTGGCCCTCCAGGTCCTCGACTGTTGGGCGACCCGACGCAGCGTTCGATCCGGAATTGGCGCTGCTCTTGACTCTTTTGGCGGGAGGCATTGTAGCTGCTGAGGGAGTCGTGGGCAGCAGGGCGAGGTGCAGGATCAAGAAGTTGTCGATGCGTCGCGCGGCCGCATGAATCTGGAAATTTATTTATCATAGCGACTGGGACGCGGCAAACCAGCTCCAAGCTCCCGTCCTCCAAGACAGGCATCCAGCCAGCCTTGTCCACTGTGCGTCAACCACTGTAGCCCACTGTCACCTGTTGGCGTCCAGCAGTGCCCCGCTGTTTTTGCCGCTAACCACTGGGGATCAGACCCACCTCCAAATTCCCATCCTGGACTTGCCTGCTGCATCAACATCCATCAGCCTTGCCTGTTCGCGATAATCTTCCATCCTGCACCTTCAATTGAACCCCAGCCTCTTTGCCATTCGAGACAACAGCACAACTCCCAGCTTCTCAATTGTCAGGAACATACATGGATGCTTGATCTTCAGATAACGCCACCGCCTCAATTCAACTACCCCTCACGATGCCGGCGACAATCGTTGACAGCCATAGCATACCGGCTGTCGCCAAAGCTGGCGAATTTCTTCGCCAGCTTTTAGAACATGCCGAAACCGTCAAGCGAACTTCGTCAATAGAACCACCACTTATCGAATCCCACTTTGATGATCTTCGCGGTCGAATGAACAGCGTATACGATGAGGAGCCTATGGACGATTCGAGCGAGGCGAAGACGGCGCGTTTCGCCATCATCGAGACCGCTGTGCGCGATACATTCAAATATTTGGTGGTGAGTCGGACGATACACACTTGAGTTCTCGAATGTATGCTCACACCATGTAGTCAAGAGCATCGATCGATTCACCCGAGTTCGTCAAAGTTTGGAACCTCTTCGACATCCTCTCTATCCTCTCCGACAGTGAGCTTTGCGACCCTGCCCTTCTGCTGTGGCTTGTGGAGGAATTACTCGATAGCCAGACAGTGGCCGGTTGCCGTAAGGTCTTTGACTTCCTCGAGTCGCGCCGCGAAAGGATCACAGCGAAGCACTTTAAGCAAAAACAGCTCGTCATTCTTCGAACCTGCAATGAGCTCTTACGGCGTCTGTCCAGGGCTCTGGACCCAGCATTCTCTGGTCGAGTCTTGATCTTCATGTTCCAAAGTTTTCCCCTGGGGGATAAAAGCTCGGTCAACTTGCGGGGAGAGTTCCATATTGAGAACGTCACCACTTTCGACCAGATCCCGGCAAAGACCGACGGGGATGAGGACAAGATGGATGTGGACACGGATGTCGGCACAACTGGTGACGGTTCACGGAGAGGCAGGTCCAACGATGTCGACACAAAAAAGAAGGCGCTGGACCCAGATGCTCTGTATCCAATTTTCTGGGGGTTGCAGGAGTTTTTCAACCAGCCAAAGCTCCTTTTCGAGGCCAGTCATTTTGCCTCGTTCAAGTCCGGGCTCGAGGCCACCATGGCTACCTTTTTGAGCATGAAATTTGAACAGCCACCCCGCGTCAAGGAAAGGCCAGACAGGCCAGTCGAGGAGCCGAAACACGCCCTCAAGCGAAAGCGAGAAGAGAGCAACGATGCTCTCTCTAGCGGCTTCAACCCCAAATACCTTACCAGCAGGGATTTGTTCAAGCTTGAGATCAGTGATCTGACATTCCGGCGGAATATTTTGATCCAGGCACTCATCATCATGGAGTTTCTGCTTGCTCTTTCACCAAAAGCAAAAGAGAAGCTGGCCACCGTAAAGGTGCCAAACAAGTCTGTCACTTACTCGGAAAAGACACTGAGTGAAGAAGACATCAAATGGGTTGTGGAGACGAAGGAGTCCATCAAATCATACCTCAAACTCGGCCCAGAAGGACCACACTTTTGTCGACTTGTCGAAACGGTACTTTCAAGAGATAAGAACTGGGTGCGGTGGAAAGTCGAGAATTGTCCTCCGATCGAGCTGCCGCAACTGTCGCCAGACGTCTTTGTCGAAGCCAGAACCAACGCCGGAAAACTCGCGACTACCAAGCGGCTACGACCTACCCCTATGGGCTCTCTCAATCTAGACTTCCTCGAGGATGATGACGAGGAAAGAGCTCTGAAGAAGCTCAAGGACTGCCACCGCTACAAAGTTCCTAGTCTCGACAGCTACAAAAAAGGAATAGCCGATGATGACTTCGAAATCGGAATGCCAACAAACAACGATTCCAAGACGGCAGCTATTGAAGGCAAGGCCAGTAAGGCTTGGCGGGCGCTGAGAATTGCGAGCAAGAGCAAGCTGGTTCTCTTTGACAAGATCGAAGATGACGACAAGATTGATGTCATCTTTGAAGAGCTACCTGCTGAGAAAGACGAGGATGATCAAGAAATCACGAATGGCGAAACCGCCTTCCCCGAGGATAGGAGGCCAATTGTGGTTGTGGACGCTGGTAAACATTCTCGGGCTGCTACAGGTCTTGCAAAGCAGCTCTATGCGCATCATCCGAAAACGTTTACCAAGGTGGCCGTCCATGTAACACGCAAACCGGCAGAGGGCGAAGTAAACGGGAAGGACTTTCATTTTGTTGATACCCAGGCTTTCAACATGATGCGGGACGGAGATCAGTTTCTCGAGTTCAGCGAGGAGGGTGATGACACTCACGGCACAAGTAGGAAGGTGGTGGATGCCATCGTCGACAACGATAGGGTTGCCGTGATGGAGATGACTTTTGAGGTAAGCTTCCAGCATGTCCTGAACACATGTTGCTGGCATGTGTACTAACATTTCATTACAGGCTGCGCAGCAGGTCAAGGACAATGGCTATGATGCCAGATTCATCTTCATCCAAGCTCCTGCTCCCGAGGTATGGGAGGGCCAACTCAAGGAGAACGGCCTGTCTGAAGAACAAGTGCAGCAAGCAATCAAGGCGGCTACAGAGGCGGCAGAACACGCCAAGTCGTCGCCAGGGTTTTACGAAGCGGTGGTGGATGCAGAGTATCAGGCCTTGGAGACGACGATTTTTGGCGCGGAGATTGGGGCAGATAGTATGGAGGCTGGGGCCCCGGTCGTGACAGACGAAGGCGATGGGAAGAAGGAGGAGGGTGATGGCGATGTTGCCATGGATGATGCGGTGCCCTCGTCGTAATTTTATCGCATCTAGCCGGTGTGGCTGCCTTGTCTTGTTACTAGCTGTCAAATGAATGATACCCCATAGCAACTATTACTTGTTTACTTCTGGACTCTCGGGTACCGGTGCCGCGGTGTTCAACCATCATCGCCCTTACCATCTGGACGGTGCATAGATACAGGCCTTGAGGGATGATAAACAGACCTATCGACCATCTTGAGACCCGGCCGACAATTCTGAGTCCAATGATTCTTGTTCAACCACTCTCGCTATTTTGAAGGCCGATTGACTGTCTTTTGGGTCTCGTCGACGACATGCAGGGTTGTGGTGCTCCTGCTGGTTGCTGTTTGGGGTCGGTGATGCTGATATGGTTGGAAGGCTCCACCATCGGGGACCGCGATCGCTAGGTGGTCATCATTTGATCCAGACTTCAACGCCAACGATCTTCTCTTACCTTTGCTGATCAATTCTAATCGTCACTCGCTCACTAACCCTGGGCGGCATCTCTTTCTTTTCTCAAACGTTGCACCCCGAGCCTTCCATTCATTCTTCAACCCAGTCTCCATCGCTATCGAGAGCACACAGCCGCACGATGGAACATCTTGTGCAAATCCTATAGCCAAGTTGCATACTCCACGACAGGACAACCATCAATTCTGGATTCCAAAATCCAACAAAATTCCAAAGCAATCAGGACCTTCTCAGAATTTGATCTGTCAATCTTCTTCGACATAAGCGGCTCAATTGGACAAGTTATCTTGTCACCCACGTGACACCACCGACCGCTCGTGGAACTTGTGTGAACGGCTTTCTGGTACGTGAGCAGTGATGATGATTATCATGTCAACGTTCACTCGCTAATCATCCGGGTAGGTAAATGGCCGATCACGACCCCGTCTGGAAGCCCAAGGAGCTTCTCGCATGCCCTTCATGTTCAAACCTCCTACGCGAGCCGACAATCTTCCCATGCGGAACCTCATTATGCAAGACTTGCCTACCGGAACCGCTTGAGCGGCCACGAAACATCACCTTTCCCGTGCTGGAGAACCGTCAAAAGGTCTACCGCTGCCTGTGCGGGAAAGACCACGCGGTGATGGACTGCGGGACTGACATCCTCGCCTCGAGCATCATGAGCACCGTTCACGGGGAACTCGAGCGCCAACCCGCCGCCGCCCCAGAAGAGGAAGAGTCCATCCTCGCCCGGCTGAGCAAAGTCCTCAGACCGGAGTTCGACTGCCCGATATGCTTTGAGCTGTTTGATGAGCCTGTCACGACACCGTGCGGGCATACGTATTGTCGTCCGTGTCTGAAGTCGATAACTACTCTTGGGGAGGATCTTTACTGTCCTGTTTGTCGTCAGGGTCTCACTTTGGATGGGACGCCGTTTTTGTCGGAATACCCGGAGAATCGCATTATTATGAAATTGATACCCGTCCTCTGGCCGGACGAGCTTGAAGCCCGGAAGGATATACCCCCTGCACCACCGCCTCGTCAGGACGAGATACCCATTTTTGCGCTGGCGACGGCGATGCCGACGATGAAGATGCCGTTCCGGATTTTTGAGCCGCGGTATAGGCTTATGATGAAGAGGGTGCTGAGGGGGAATAAGGAGTTTGGCATGACGATGGTTGATCCCCTGACGAGGAAGGAGAGCGATGTGGGGACTGTTTTGAGGGTGGAGACTCACCGGTTGCTTGACAATGGGGATTATCTGGTCAAGGTGGTGGGGGTGAGGCGGTTCAGGGTTTTGGAGAGGAGGGTGAGGGACGAGTATTGGATGGCGAATGTTGAGCCGTTTGGGGATGTGAGCTTTGAGGAGGAGGAGGCGATGGAGGCGATGGAGACTGGAAGACAGCAAGGGGAGGAGGATAAAGCTGATGGCGCTCCTTTTGAGGTGGAGGGACGTACCGCCATCGGCACTGAGGACACCGCTCCCACCCCCACGACAACCACCACGGACATGACTGTGGAATCACTTCATACCGCCTCCACCAGGGACCTCATGGCCTTTGCGTTTGGCAGGGCGATGAAACACCGAATTGACGACCCTCTCATGCCTAGCGACCCATCAAAATTCACGTGGTGGTTTGCTCACAAGCTTCGGGATCCACCAAAGAGACAGGACTTTTTGGTCGAAAGGAGCGTGAGAAGACGGTTGAAGATGTGTTGTGAGAAGTTCATCGAGCTTGAAAAGACGGCGATGACTTCTTGGTGAGTTTATTTTTTTTCCTTCCTCAGTATTTCTATCATCTTTTCAGGCCATCTTGACTGCCTATCCACCCCCAGAAGCCTATTGAATCTCTCTTGGCGCCCTTATATGTCTTTGACGTATTTCTTCACGTTTGTTGCTCCCCCCAACGAGGCAGGCAGGCTGCTACACAGACGAAACCCTTGGGAATGGATACGAAGCTTACGTTTTTTTTGTCCGTCTAGGGTATATTGGCTACACCGCGCTCTCAGGAGCTTTCCACTACCCATTTCAACTGCCTTGCTGATAATATTGTTGTGTCTGTATGTGTTCCTTCCAGTTTGGATTAGCCCGAGATCATAGATCTCTGTTAGGGAACGCACTGCTAACTAGGATTTGTGTTTGTAGTTGGGTGTCGTAAGGAGAAGGGATAGTATTGGATGCACGCTTTGGACTGTTTTGTAATATATTAGATGCGTTGTACAAATTATTTTTTTTGGCTGTATGGCCACTAAAAGCAAGGTGGTGAGAAATGGCTGTGGATAGATATAATCTAGGCTAGATATTTGGTTGAGCCTGTTCGGCGTGCTATCACCCTTCTTTTTCGGCTTGTTTGAATACCAACAGTTCAGCTCACATTTTCACCAGACTAGAACGACATCTCACAAACAGAATCGAGATTAAAATAGTGTTAAATATTCCTCCAAAATTCTCTCTTACATATCAAACCATGTCTCAGATAGACTTTTCTCTCCATAACCAACCAGCCATTCCCATCACCTAACACCCCCCCATCTCCCCCTCGCAGCCCCCTCCCCACTGAGCGCCAACCTCCTCCCAATATTCCCAAAGCAAACACAGCTACAAAACAACACACTCAACATCCACACCCCCGTCTCAACCACCTCCCTCTCCCCTACCAACTTGATCCCCCCCGACCCAGCCACATATCCAGCATTTGCACTCCCATTCCTCCTCATGCGCCCCGACCCCAACCCCCCCCCATCCCCATGCTGATAAAAGGACGGCGCGGGCATCAACCCCGGAAACACATCCTTCAACCCCAACCCAATCATGCCCACCGTCCCCACCAACCCAACAGACGCGCTCAGCAAAAACCCCGGCTTCGACCGGTCGATAAGATACCAAATAAACGGGTTGATCAACGCCAGCGTCAGAGACACCTGCATCGTCGACGTCCAAGACAGCTTCCTAATGGCAAAGACGATCCCCACAAACAGGCCGATCGATCGGATAACGAGCACATAGTCCGCCTCTTGCTGTCGCCCTTCCCGTTCGTTCTGCTGCCGCTGTTGTTGTGGGGATGACGGGAGGGGTTTGCCGGTCAGAGGCCCGTTCTTCTTCGCGGCGGGGATGAAAAACTGGTCAAACCAGGGGAGGAGGCATCCCAACAAAACGCCCGAGGCGCCCCAGAAGAGGAGGTATCGCCAGTCGAGGGGTTCGTCCGAGGTGGTGGGGGGTTGTTGGGGATCAAAGTTTTGCGCTCTGGGGAGGCGGGTGACGAGGACGCCGTAGCCTAGGCCGAGGGCGAAGAGTAAAGAGGCGCGGAGGGCCATGGAGAAGATGATGTATGCTTGGGAAGGGGGTTCGAGGTCGGCGGTGGGGGCTAAAGAGGGGAAGTACGAGGTTCGAATCGAGTTTTGGATGTGCTCTCTGTTGATGTGGCTGCTGCTGTCTCTTCGCTTCTTGATCAGCGTGAGGGTTCGCTCATCGATGTCCCCTGGGTCTGGGGACTGTAGAGTGCCAGGGGTTTGTCCGCCTGTGTTGTTGTCCCATGAGGGGGTATCGACGGCGTCTCCTTTTATGCCTGGTGTCAGAGACGGGGAGTAGATCCCTAGGAGTGTAGAACCGGTGAGGTTCATGAACGAGGTGGCGCGGCTGATGGTGCTAGGGTTTCTCGACGCCTGGCTGGGGTTGTTGTGAATGTCGAGGAAGGCAAGGTCGGAGGCCGTGATGCCTGGTGTTCGAGTTGCACTTGGGGGTGCCGAATCTTCTTCGGGAGGTGTGGGAGATGTGAAGGCCAGCCGGAAAGGTCTCCGGGGAATGGGACGGAGGATCTCCGGACCCTGACGCTCGGGTGATTCTTCCATGGTGGTTGGTGTGTCCTCTCTTCAAGCAGCTAGTGCGAGGTTGTTCTCTTGCAGTGGAAGCTTCCAAGCTCGTCCCAATCCAATTGGTTGAGATTCGCGTCCAGCTCGTGTAACCACAGCCCAATAGCCCAAGATTTCTTTTTCAATATGTTGCCAACCACTCTGCTTCTATTTCGTTCGGCGTTTGGATGACCCGTGGTCGTCAGGGTTGGGAGCTCGACAAAGCAAGGGAGGAATGAATAGTCTTCAATAAATGGGGGAAATGATCCAGATCCAGGCGTCCTGCCAACGTTGCAGGAAGCACCAAGACGCAGTAACAATTGATCATGCGCCAATGGGCAAAAGTGACAGCAGAAGTGTCTGTTTCATTTGGGTTGACAAGAGTTGGGACGATACCAGGCGTCCCGTAGATGTACGGAGCTAGAAAAGATGGGAGGAAGCAAGATGTGGTCAGGCCAGAGAGGTGCCAGATCAGGCAAGTGTTTAAGGGCAGGCGCGTGCGGAAACGCCAAACCGGAGCGAGTGCAGGGATTTCCATTCCAAGCCCGCTTGCACGCATCCCTCCCACAAAATGACCAGGGTGCCGACGGCACTGGACACACTGCGTCTCTTTTTAACTTTGTCGCTGATGCAACAGCAGAATTTGTTTGGTTTCTGCATCAAGTCAGTGGGTGCGTTGCACCGCTGTGCGTTCGTAAAACCAATAGTGTATAGAAATATGAAATATCAGCCTGAACACACCCTCTTCTCTTTGTGTAAGTGACGATCCCCCCGACCTGGAAGGGTCCATCAGCTCCGGAGAGCGACATGGAGAATTGATTGAAAAGCGGGGTGTCCTGGTTCCTGTTTTAGTGGGACAATTGAGCTTCTTCTCACTGGCTGTCCTTCACAGCATGTGATCAAGCACCAAACTCGTCCAAGCTTCAGGGTTGGTCTCCTGACTCTGACCCCAGGGTTCAACAGCGTCAACCGTCACGAAGTTCTCGTGGGCAGCGACTTAGCCCACGTTGTACCCCTCTCTTGACGTCGTCCAAGGAGCTATCCAGCCTCCTCAGTGCTCCTTCAGTGGGACAAATGACCATGACCAATCCGGGAAGCTGTATCATTGCCTGGCTCGGGTTGGTTGTCATTCTGCAAGCTGTCGATCTAGGAATTTTGTTGCTGCAACGCTGCACTGACAGCATCAGGCGATCAAGCCGAGCAGTCTGGCTCTGATCATTGGACGGCTTGCATTCTGCCGCATGAGTCGAAGTGACCCGAGACGAGATTAGACTGAGAGCCTCTTTGGTCTTGCCTCCTCAGAGTTGTAGTGATACGATGCCCCTCTCGCCAGATTTTGGACACGTCGTCGCGAGACGATTCACGTGAGAGAAGATCACTCCAGTTAGAAGTCCAGTAAAGTGCCAAAAACCAGTGTGCCCTACACTACACCATGTGCTGGCCGGCACCTTGATGGCTCCAGCGCCACTATCTACTACCAAGAAACACTTGATATCAGCGTCAAACTGTGGAGCTAGAATGGGTTGAGGTCTCATGAAGTAAAGAATTGAACAACATACTTACCTAAGAATGAGCCTCAGCTTGCCCAGCTTCCATTGCTGTCTGTCAAACCTGAATTCCAAGCTTTTGATCACTTACAAGCTTTGGCCAGAGCTAGTCGGCCAAGATGTGAGCGATAAGATAAGAAAAAAGTCTCCACTAAAAAAAGTTCGAGCAACGTCCATCCAATGCGACAACAAATCCATGTTGGAAAAAAGATCTTAGAAAGTGACACCAAAACAACAGTCTCTCTCACATCACCACCACCCACAGAACCAATGGCCCCCAAGAGAAAAAGAGAAGCTGCCGCCAATGGCGATGTCGCCGAAAAATCCAATGCGACCAAGAAAGTCAAAGCCCCCCGGGCCAAAGCCGCTGCTCCCCCCAAGTCGACCGCTTTCAAGCTGAACGGCGATGCCCCCGTCCACATCCAACTCATCGCCGGCTCCTACGACCGCATTCTCCACGGTATCACCGTCACCATCAAAACAACCGAAGTCACCTCTGAACCTCCAGCAGAGGCCGAATCCACCGACAAGAAGAAGAAGAAGTCCAAAAAGTCGAAAACCACCACCCCCATCACAACAACCGAGCAATCCGCCTCCTTCGCCGACACCTTCCTCTTCAACGCCCACAACTCCGCCATCCGCTGCCTCGCCATCTCCCCCCCCTCCGCCCCAGCCCCTAAACAAACCCAAAAGGTCCTCCTCGCAACCGGCTCAACAGACGAGCGCATCAACATCTACAACCTCTCCGCCCACCCCCCCTCCTCCCGCTCCATCTCCGACCCAGACACCCAGCTCCTCTCCTCTCTCGCCCCCCGCCCCATCCTCGAAAACAACAAGAACCGCGAGCTCGGCACTCTGCTGCATCACACAGGCAACATAACCCGCCTCTGCTTCCCCAACCGCTCCAAGCTCCTCTCCGCAGCAGAGGACTCCACCATCGGCGTGACCCGCACCCGCGACTGGGCCCTCCTCCACAACTTCAAATGCCCCATCCCCAAGGTTTTTGGTCGCCCATCAGGTGACACCGCCGGTGTGGGCGGGACCCCCCAGGGCGTCAACGACTTTGCGGTTCACCCCTCCAACAAGATCATGATTTCGGTCTCCAAGGGAGAGAAATGCATGCGTCTTTGGAACTTGGAGACGGGAAAGAAGTCGAGGGTGTTGAATTTTGAACGGACGATGCTGAATGAAGCGGGGGAGGGGAAGCACTCGACTGGTGAAGCGAGACGAATCATCTGGGGCAGCAGCAGCAGCAAGGGAGGGGAGGATGAGTTTGCGCTCGCGTTTGATAGGGATGTGGTTGTGTTTGGGATGGACTGCAGGCCGAGGTGCAGGGTGATGGGGGGGATCAACAGGACAAAGGTTCACGTGATCAAGTACGTCCGGCTTGGGGATGAGGAGGATGGTGCTTTGTTGGCGGTTTCGACCGAGGATGGGAGGGTGCTGTTTTTTGATACGGCGGAAGAAAACTGTCAGTCTGCGACTGAGGGGAAGACGCTTGCCACGGCGAGGCTTGTCGGTCAGCTGGGCGGGAAGGAGGCCGGTGTGACGGGCAGAGTGAAGGATTTTGTGGTTTTGCCTGTGGAAGACGAAAAGGGGGTTAGGTCGTGGTTTGTGGCTACGGCGGGGAGTGATGGGCTGGTTCGTGTTTGGAGGTTGGGCAGCGGTGAGCTCAAGGTTGAGGAGAAGAAGGAGGAGTCGACAAGACAAATAGGGAAGCTGCTGGGCGCGTATGGGACGCAAAACAGGATTACGTGCTTGGGGGGCTTCGTCATGATACCCAGGCCCGACGGGGCCGAGGAGAGCGAGTACGAGTTTGACGACGAGGAGGATGACGATGACGAGGAGGATAGCTATGATGAGTAGAGTGTCAGTCAGGGGTTTACACGGCGTTTTAGATGGGGAGTGGGTAGCCAGGCTCGTATAATATTCAAAAAGACAAATTGCCCATTTCATTGGGAGACAAGACAGGAACAACCAGAAAATACATGCAGACGTGCCCTTCGCCATGCTTTCTATGTTCTTCTTTGGATCATTGGTTTGTGTCTGATCACTTGTAATATAATATGTACATGAATCAGGTCAAAAACACCCCCTAAACTCCCCAGTCCAGTCCTCCGCTGACCTCTTATCCTTTATAGAGAGTTTAACTCAACCCGTTCTACTGATGTTTGAAAAACAATGCAGAGGATATAACGCATGCATTACAGGGCAAGGTCCGTCCCGTCTACCGAATGATGCCCGTGCCCGCCTTCTACCCTCAAAATATGTACCATGTTTTGATCATGAGAAACCAGCCCCAGTCCACTACAACATAAAACACAATGCGACCATGGCAGTGCTCTATAGTTACAAGACAAGTCTAGCAGTCCAGCAACAAACCACATGATTATTTACCAGGCGCAGGCGTGGCACTACCGCTCGCTTGCCTTTGGTGTTGAGCAGCTTGTTGCTGCTGCTGTTGCTGTTGTTGTTGCTGCTGTTGCTGAGCCTGCTGGGCAGCAAGTTGAGCAACTTGCTGGGCTTGTGCTTGTTGCACTGCCGATGCTTGGTGAGCCTGCGGGTTATGTGGCTGCTGTTGCTGGGCCTGCTGCTGGGCTTGTTGAGCCTGCTGTTGGGCTTGGATCTGGGCAGCTTGGGCCTGCTGCTGAGCCCGCAGCAATGATGCGTATTGATGCGGGCTCGTGGTTGCTGTCATGGCGTTCAGGCCTGGTTGGTGTCCCAGCTGCCCAGCCGCAGCGCTCATAGCGGCCTGCTGGTGAGCTTGGGCAAGCTGGTGATTCTGGGCGTTCTGGACGATGATCCTGCCCACTTGCTCCATGGCAAGGTTCCTGGCCTCCTGTTGCGTGAGGCCTGGACTCTTGTTCCGATAATGCACCTCCAACTCAGCGATGCGCTGCTGTACTGCAGGGTTAAGAGCCCCACCCGCCACTCTGGGGTTGAGCATGGGCATCGTCAGCCCAGCGCCTGGTGAAGTAGCCAAGCCACCTCCGTTAAAGGCCGCCATCATGGCCTGGGCGTTGGCATTGGCCATAAATGCTCCTTGGTTTAGACCGTTCACCACACTGCGCATGGGTGAGGGTGAATTCTGGGTTCCATTGACCTGGGGGTGCTGTTGAGGTTGCTGGCCAACCTGCTGAGGCTGTGGCTGCTGCTGAGGCTGCTGGGCCACTCCTTGTTGAGGCTGATGTTGCTGCTGCCCAACCTGCTGTTGCTGGTGGCCGTGAACCTGTTGGTGAGCTTGTTGAGCTGCCGCCTGTTGAGCCTGTTGAGCCGCCTGTCGCTGTTGCTGAGCAAGTCGAATGGCCGCCTGCTGCTGCTGTTGGATGGTTTGAGCCTGCAGCACGAGGTTGAGATCTGGCTGTGGTGTCGCCATTGGCATTCTCTGCTGTGCTTGGAGAGCGGCTTGAAGCTGAGCTTGAGGGATGCCGGCCATGGGAGGAACAAGTGCACCAAGACCATTCAAACGAGCCTGAACGGCAGGTGGCACTGCTCCGAGAGGTGCTTGCATCGGGACCCGTGCTTGCACTCTGTTCTGGGCCACTTGGGCTGGCACGTTCAGCCGGGCAGCGGCGGCGGCGGCCATCAGGGAATTGGCACCAGGCATTTGCCCAGCCTGTGCCGCGGCAAGAGCAGCAGGCGTGCCCGGTGCCGCGTGAGGCTGTGGTTTCTGCCATGTGATGTTAGTTCTGGTAAGACTTGGTGAAAGAGCCGGGATTGTGAAGCTTACCAGATTCTTTCCGAGGGCAACTGCTTGCCGCGCTGTGTATTGAGCCATCCTCTCAGCAAGTTTCTGGTCACGCTCATGCCTCATTATGCTATAATCACGCGGCGTCTTGGCCGGCGGAATCGGCTGCCTGGATACCTCATTCACCTTACGGCTGGCAACTTGACTGGCTTGTTGTTGAGCCTTCTGGATGGCCGTCTCCCGCCTCTTCGCCAGTTTCCTCATGGCATCAATCATGGCCAAATGCTTCTGGTTGCGGCGCCGTTCTACCCGCATCGTCGTGGTCGGCCTGCGCCTAGGAACCGGAGTGACTGCGCCATTTGGCCCAACTTGCTGCTGGGCCGTCTGGTTCTGCTGCAGGATAGCCCGCTGGGCATTGTCTATACGTAGCTGATATTGCTTAAAGTACGGCGTCTTGGCCAATTCAGTAGGCAGGCCTTCCAGATTGGTCCACCGCTCAAAGCATTCCCAAGGAGTCCGCCGCTCAGCGCCTGAAGAAAAGAGGGATTTTGTCGACATCACGCTGGAAATCAGAGACCAGTTATAGTTGTACTCGAGTGCTAGTGACTTGAGCTGGTTGTCTTCCGCAAAGGTCCATTGCGATGCCATCCTGCATTCAAAGAAGCTCTGAGAAGGCATGGGGTACTCGGTCGGGGGTCGGAATTGGTGACCCGCGTGCAAACGATCTCGAACAGCTTTCATTTCAGGGTTGAATAGCGCAACGGCCGAGTTTTCTGGCTGCGAGTGCGCATTGTTATCTGGCTGCGTGCCGAATATAACTTCATCGCCATCTTCTTTGTCGCTGTCTGAAAGATAGTCGAAGCGACGTCGCTTTCGCGGTGGGCCTTTGTCGGCCAGTACCATCTCGCCCTCGACAAACTTGCTCAGGGGCACAGCTGGTCTCTTCCATTTTGCATCCGGATCATATTCAGGCCCAACAAGGTCGAACTTGGGTACTTGGAGGGGTGATCCATACATGGGAAGGTTCTCGAGCAGGAGTTCAGCCGTCTTACTAGGCTGCAGTCCAAAAACAACCTCGTCATCCTGGAGCGCAAATATCATGGCGGGCGCCACCGTCTCGACCATGGCCTCCAAGTGCTCATCCTCATGTTCCGCCGGTGAATCCGAGTGATCCAATTCGGGAAGTGGCTCTTCTCCTCCTTCACCAGAATCAGTCATTTGAACATCCTGGCCCGGTGCTGTTGGTTTTGGTGGTACAACAGCATTGACCTGAAGCGCGCGGCGTTCCTCGGGGCTTGAGTAAACCCATTCTGCGCACGCATACGCAAGATTCCGAGCAACTGCCCTTTTCCACTTGCGCTCTTCTCGGAAATCTGTCCTCATCCACTTCATTTCCTGGAGCAAAACATCCTGGTGAGACGGGGGCCTGGTCGGCTCTGGACACCTCATAGGTTGTCTCAGGGACCACTTGTCATGCTGCTGTAGATGGTAAACCCTTCTCAGAATCTTGCACGCCTGGTGATCGAGTATCGACAGGTACTGGTCAGACGTGGAGACTGTCTTGTGGGCCTGGTTAAGAAGTTTCTCAATAGGCTTCATCCAGGTAGATGTGCGGGTGAACCCTTCAATGAAAAGCGGAGTGAAATAGTCATCCGAAGGTATATATCCAGGCCTCTGGCGATTGATCGCCAAAACACTGTCATCAACCGTCTTGTGTGTTTTCTTTGCCGGCTTGCCGAAAATAACTGTCGGGACACTTCTTCGCCGTCGATCGCGTTCCCTATTCGCGAGCAGCTTCAGTTGCGGCGCTGAGAGGTTCTTTTCCGAATCATTGTCTGCCTCCTCGGGGACCCGGGGTTCGGTGGCCTGGGGCGCTGGAGGCTCAATGGTAATGGTTGGAACTTCCCTGGCTGGGGTTGCCCGTTGTTGTGTGACAGCGACGTTTTCGTCCTTCGAAACCCCTACAGGTGTTGGCGTGGAGCTTGAAACCGGGGTAGGTGTAGCCTTGGTGACTGCTTCGAGAGCTGAGGGCCGCTGTGGGACTTCTGTCGGTTGTGTTGGAACAGAAACATCCAAGTCCATCGGCGCAACTGAGCTAGCTTCCCGCCTTTCGCTCACAGGTCCCGGAGTGGGTGATAGTCCATTCGCAAGAGGTGGTGTGCTCTGCATCGCAGTTTGCCCAACAACTTGAGCCGCATTTTGAACAGGTTTCGCTAATGCTTCGGCGGAAGATTTGCCGGCGGAACGGGCCTCTGCAGGGCTCAGGGCTTTATCTTCTGGCTCCTGAGGTGACGCTGAGCTACCCTCATGTGCAAGCTGTGCTGCAGCAGACTCCTGAAGAAGCTGGGCCTCAACACCACTCATTACTGCCGAATTCGACTCGTCCAACAAAGTTGCATCTGCCGTAGGATTGCTTGCGTTCCGTTCGCCTCCCGTATCTCCTGCTGTAACATCCTCTGGAGCCTTGACGCCATTCGTCTCGTCTGCTCTTTCCACATACGGTGGTCCTTCATTCTCGGGACTCGTGTTTGCCGAATCTGCCACAGCAGGAGTTTGTGCCGACAAGGCGGTGGAGCCAGGAGAGGATAGAGCATCTTGGTACCGTGACGAGTCTGCCGTTGCTGGGGCTGAACCTGAGTCTTTCGGGCTCGCAACACTGTCGACATCCATCGATCTGGGGGCATGTTCGAGAGGGACAGCATTCGTGGTGATGCGAGGTTTCGCTGACGCTGGCGCTGATGGATGACCAGGCTGCGCCAGAGAGGGTGTGATGATGGTACCATTCGTGGCGATATGGTTGCTTGTCGCGGTGGTTAGCGGTAAGGAGGACGATGCCTTCTCATGTAGGTCAGTATGTAAGCCATTCTGTCCAAGCGATCCTGCTTTCGAATTATCGGGCGCGGCCAGGGGTAACGGAGTCGAGGTTGTCGTCGTTGTCGAAGACTGTGGTAGGACCTGTTGGTCCTGCACCGTCAACGAAGACTTCGGGGTGCTGAGTTGAGCATCATTCGCTACGTGGGCGGCAGGCTCATTGGTCCAGGCATCCTTGATGGAAGAATGGGGCACATTCTCAATAGTTGCAGGTTGGGAGTGAGCTGGAAGAGTTCGTGCATCGAATAGGACTTTGCGGCGCGGGAACTTGGCGAGCTTTCCCAGTCGTCGGCCTCTATAAGTTCACCAGGTTAGAACAAGAGCCAGAGTGACGCGACGGCACGGTGTCACGTCGCTGAGGACATAAAACAGCCTAGAGTTGCAGATATGAGATGGTACGTACTGAGTGAAGTCAGTGTCAATCAAGAAAGATGTTTCGGCTGGTGCTGTCGGGGCCGCGTCGAGGTTGCTGAGGTCCAGGTTCGGAATGCCATCTTCGTCGGTTGCAACAGCATATAGTTCGCGCAGCTTGCGCTTCCGCGACTGCACAATTGAGCTACACCAGGTTAATACCAACTTTTGCATATCAAAATGATCGGAAAATTGAGCTCTATCGAATGCACCGCTACTTACCTCAAACCCTCCCGTTTTGATCGCAGCAGCTTCGCGCGGTCGGCGGGACCGACCTCAGTCATGTCATCAGCGACCGCGACATCCGTTTTTAATCAAACGGATGTGATTATGGACTTGAGCGAATTGAGCAGACCCAAAATGAGCGATAAGAAATGATGGAAATCACGGGCGTTGCGACTTTCAACACTGCGTCGATTGATTGAAATGGTCGCGAGGCAGAGGGTAAAATCTCTGTCGTGGGCCCAGTTTGGGGGGCTATCTAGATAATCTCAGAAGTCAAGAATGGGAATCGGGGCAAGCGGCTGGCGGGGGAATGATGCAGTAAGGGAATCGAAAAAATTGTTAAGCCGAGATGGCATCAGCGCCTGAAGAAAAGCTTGAACTCGCCGGTTTGGAGAGGGTGCTGACGACAGCTACTGGGGCTTGCATTATAGAGGGGAAAAGGCCTGGAAAAATCCACTAGATTGGGGCATCAACGCGGCAACAGCTTCTGAGTGAGTGAATAACACAGTGTGGATCCATCTTGCCACGGTAGCAAGGGTGTCTTGGCGAGAAAGGCACGTCTGCCACTCTGCAGGCGATGCCAAGGAAGGGGGGGCCGCGGCGGCTGAAAGAAACGCTGGAAGGGGATGAGAGAGTGAAGAGAGTATGAAGAACTGCTTCTTCCTGGAATAAGAATCCAGATGCTGCAGATAAAGAGGACTTGCTGAATATCCCGTCATGCTGTACCAGAGCCTCGAGCCTCGAGGGAGCCATGATCATGTCTGGCCGCCTTGCCACCAGCCTGCCTTGGAGGCTCATGAACGTCCCTGCTCAGGGCTATCGACGGCTGATCTCGGCAGGTTGGGATGGTGTCGATGTTGAAGCATGAGGTGTTGGAGGGCTGTAGTAACGAAAACAGAAGAAAATCTGTGTCATGGGAAAAAGCAGCCGATCCGGTTGTGAAACCCAAAGTGTGGAGTGAGGAAAGTGTCAGCATCCTGAAGCTTGTTGGATGACATTCATGGATGTCTTTGCGGATAATAGGCTTTCTAAGCCATTCTGCCTGACCGATCAGGCATAAAGTACTACACGATGCCGCCCTCGGCACAGTCCCAATAGCAACCCTTACACATTGGCATTTGTAGGACCCACTTAAATGTTGGCGCATTTGTGCTCTAGTACCTCGACATCATCCACCTCTTCTTGACTTCACATTCAACTTCCCAGTCACACAACCCCCTTGCCTTGCGCAACATCAAAATGCCTTCACCACCTCCAAAGATTGCCATCTCTCTGGGAGGCAGCGGCAGCGGCTCTCAAATCAAAAAGCGCACCCGTCCCACCTTCGGCAAACGACACCGCGCCAGCGCAAATGACCAAAACTACGACGATTCCGACTCTGACAATTCCCAGAGCGACAATGGCCGCTCCGGCAGCAAGCGCAACGGTCGCGCCGAGACCATCCTGACCTATGGCGACGACGAGTTTACTTCTTCCTCATTCAGGTCTCGGAAGGACAGTCACAGGGGCAGCGACAGAGAAAGGGACAGTCGCAGAGACAGAGACGGCCACAGAGAAAGAGAAAGAGAAAGAGAAAGAGAAAGATCCAGAGACAGGGAAAGATCCTCTCACAACCGGCGGCGACGACGCTCCCCATCTTCCTCCCAAACCACCGACCAGCAAGACTCCAAAAAGCCCGTCCAGTGGGGCCTCACCATCAACCCCAAATCCACCACCTCCAGATCCTCCCCCCTCAAGAGAAGCCCCTCTCCGGATCAGGCTCCAAAGTCCCCCAAATCTCTCAATGACGAAGCTCTCGAGTCCCTTCTTGGGGCATCATCTCAGCCCAAGAAGCGCAAGCTCAATCTCGAATCAGAAGACCCAGACCGCGAACCCCAAGCAGAGGACTACGAGGCCGTGCCTATCGACGACTTTGGCGCGGCTTTGCTGCGCAACTTTGGCTGGAACGGCCAAATGCAGGGCAAGGTCAAAGAGGTGAAACGACATGCTGATCTCGCAGGCTTGGGCGCAAGAAACTTGAAAGCAGGCGAGGAGACGGGGACTTGGGACCCGAAGGCGGGAATGCACAAAAAGGATACGAGGCCGGTTCGTCTCAATGATTACCGCAAAGAAGAGGAAAAAAAGCGGCAGCGGCGTGAGGATCAACGCGGGCATAACAGTTACAGACGTGAGCTAGAGCGGGAAAGGGAGCAGGAACGTGAGCGAGGCCGAGACAGATGAAAAAGAACAGGGGCAGTTCCCCGTGGGAACGTCTATAAAATATGTCTAGGTCGGACTTTTGGTCATGATCCTCTTCCAAGTCCCAGGTCACTCATATCATCATCATAATGTATCTCGTTATTGTTTGTATGTCGTAGCTAATACATTCAGCAGGTACATGCTTCTACTGCGTGCTCTTTTGATCCCAGCTCCTCGGCTACATTTCGCCACACGAAAAGAAAAAAGGGTATACTAAATAACACAATCATCCTCAAATACCGAAACGGGCATGTTAAACTTGGTCTCATTACAACAGCTTCGATGTCCCCCGGGCGCTCTGCCCTCGCCGTCGCACCATGTCTCTTCTCTCACTGCACCAATCATTGAGCCTTGCTCGAAACCGCATGTACTGAAAAAACACTATTCTGCGACGCGGTATTGGTCAACCGAGTGTTCTTCTCGCGATCTAGCTGCTCATATTGAGCAGCCGTGGCATTGTTGAACTGTCTTGCCGAAACACCGTGCTGGAACAAAATATCCAGAGAGCGAGCCGAGAGGCCGTTAGTCTCAGGGATGCGGAACCAAGTGTAGGTAGCACTAATGAGGCAAAGGACTGCGTAGACGAAGCCCGTCCGCGATCCGAGTCCCCAGCCGCCTTCACTAGGCGCGCTCAACATCTTGGGTGTCAAGAAGTGGTTGATCAAGTTGGATCCCAGGTATGCGCCGCGAGCTGCTGAGAGGGTGACAGCGCGGTAGCGAATAGACGGTATTTCAGATACAATTGAGTAGCAGATCGGGCCGACAGTAAGGTCGTACACCATGGTGTAGACGGTCAACACTCCACCAGCTGCCCATCCAGAGACGTTAGCTGGGGCGTAGGAAGCACCACCGCATGCCACCAGGAGTAACGCCATCACAAGGAGGCCGTAGAAGTAAATGGATCGCCGACCCATGTACGCCATCAACCACCAGGAGGCCAGTGTTCCAAGCAGTCCTGCAGCGGGCAAAGCCATGTTGACAGACAAAGACTGGCTGGCGTCCAACCCGGAATTCTCGAAAAGCTTGGGACCCCATGCAATGATGCTGGAGCCGCACATGGCCTGGATAGTCCACGCAATGCAGGCGATCTCGGTTCTCCGGGCGTCAGAGCCTTTGAGCATGAGCTTGATTCTCTCCCACTTGCCAAGCTGGGCGATCTCAGCGTCCTTCATATGTTCCTGCTGAATGGTGTGCTGCATCAGGGCAAGCTTCTCTTCGGCCATGCTCGGATCTCCTTTGCGAACTAGCTTAACGATCGCCTGCCGGCCACGGGCTATCTCACCCTTTTGGATGTACCAGTATGGAGACTCGGGGGCTAACCAAATACCAATGGCGAGCAGGAATGTGAAGATCCATTGAAGACCGAAAGGGATCCTGAAGGCCCATTCAGTGCGGAAAGCCACCGAGAAGCCCTTGATGGCTCCTGCTGACAGCAGCTGGCCAATAACCCAGCAAAGATTGTTCCACGTAGTCAAGATGGGACGAAGCTGAATAGTGGACACCTCGGAGGCGTAGGCAGGGCTGACGACCTGGAAGACACCCCATGGGATACCCTGGAGGAAGAACCCGACGCACAATATCATGATGTTGGGCGCGAAGAAAGGCATGGCGATGAGAGTGGCTGAGAAAATAAGCATCAGGAGTGTCGTCCACTTGTAACCGAACCATTTGGTACACGGCGTTGTAACAAAGATCCCGATGATGGAGCCAATCTGCGCCGTGAGCGGCAGAAGAACCTTCCAAATGTATTCAACCTAGAAATGAAACATCACATTAGTACACACCACATTGGCCAAACCACGGGGGCTTCTCCTAGGAAGCAAGCGACTCTTACCTCATATTTCCCATCGGCTGTTAGAACGCCGTACTTGCGGTTGAAGGGTTCCAGGGTAAAGAGGTATGTCATCAGGGCAAGACCGTAACCCTCCATTATGATGGTTCCGGAAAAGCCGATCGAATACATGATCAAGCGCCTGTCTGCCTTGAGGGCCTCGCCAAAAGTCATCTCTCTTTCACGCTGCTCAGCGGACTCGGCAAGCGTCACATTATAGAGCTCGACTTGGGCTGATTGTTCGGCATCATTGGCGTTTTTGGGCAAGCCACTCCCCAGCCCTGACTTTTGCTTGGACATGGTTGTCGATTGTGGTGTTGCTGTGGGTGTAGACGGTGACAAGTCGCAGGTTGTATGGTATTGGGGCTTTGAAGTGAGGACTCAGCGAAGATAAACGACAGACTGTTTGGTCGAGCGGTACTGAGGTCAAAACTAGGAGCGGGAATAGGAGGGGAGATACAATAGGTAAACGGAGTTGAGGGGAGATAGAACTCAAAGTCAGAGACCGTCCTCTCAAGTTCTGGTGCTGATCAACCGCTGCGGGGGATTGGTTGATGATTCGACTGGGGGTGGCTGTTGGGGAAGGAGCGCGACTTCGTTCTTATACAAGGCCGGCGGCCGCAGCAGGGCAGATACGATGACGATGACGATTGGACAGGGCGGAGAAACGGAAGGTTCGAGGGTGTCCTGCTTGGATGACATGAGTGGCCATGTCATGAGGTGCCTGCCGTCTGGTTGAGTCCGGTCAAGCTTGAGACCGGTTTGCCCTTGGGGAACAGATGGCTCCTTCCTTGGGAGTCGCCCGGACGTGGGGTTAGGTTCTCGGTAACCTGGAACGGGGCCGAAAGGTTCTGCGCACCTGGGAGGCGGTTATTGGCTTCTGCTGAAGACTTCAGACGCGCCGTTGACACTGGCTAGGTAGTGGTGAAAGGGGCTCGGGGTCCAAGGAGGAGTCGGGTTCCTCCTTGGATTCCGCCTTTCTGATGACCGGGCCGAACCTTAGCCACTTAGCTCAGTGCTTCTTTCGACATCACACGACTCACGAGATACATCGTGAAGATCCCTGTCGATCCTCGTGGGAGCGCCTCTTCAACTTAATCCCCTCATTCCTGGCGCTAGCAACTGTTGGGCTAACTAAAACGGATGCTGAACCGGCCATGAGACTTATGGCCGATAGTTACCAGAACTGAGAATGGCCTCTATATTTTTAGTAACTACGAGTAGGAGTCTCAGCAGTGAGAGGTAGGTGTTTTACCGTGAAGTGGGCTATTAGTATGATGAAGATCCAACACTCTTGGGGCCGTAGTTGCTCTCCAGAGATGCCAGGTATCCGGTGGACGTCAAGAGATGCCCAAGGGGTGGTGACTTTCATAGCAATGGATCATGCGTCACCGTTCCCGGCTTACGGGGTGTCTATCCCTCGACGCCTCTGAACTTAGTTTTCGTCTACTGCGGGTGGCTTTCTGCTAGGTACCATGGTCAGTTCCTTGGTGGCTTAAGTTACCAACTGCAAGGTGGTCAGGTGGTGTATTATCCTTTGCCGATTATTTCAAAGGCACGACAATCGCGGTGATACTGGGTAATGGCTTAGAAATATTCCATCTCGGCTCCATGCCGGCTCCTTGGTCGGACAACGGTCAGATAATGGGCTCAGAATTGTGCCAACCGACGCATTTCCGTCCTTTTCAATTTCACAGCTCCCTAAGGCCATGGCCGTTATTATATTACCCAGTTACCACTACACGTTGAGAGTGTTTCTAGGTTTTGGAGCACCCTATAACACATGTATAATCCTGGATCATAGCTCACCTGTTTCCCGTGGGTCTATGGAGTAGCAGGTTTGAAGTATTACTTGAACCATAAGATTTGGTTAACATCTTGTAACGGGAATTTTGATCACTATCCAAGTCCCAACTCAAGCTTGCAAAAGAGACATTTCAGCTACATAAACACAAGACTGTCAACTTGGGACACGTCCAATTCTTAGTTACAGAGTGATCACTACGGTACCTGTTTTGAAACCCATCCAGGGTCGTCCAATATTGAGAGACATTCATGATTGGCTTCCAGATGCTGTTGACATAGATGCCTGCTACTGGATATGAGCAAGGAGGGCCCCAAACGGCTCAAGCAAGCTTTGATCCGAATGTTTGGCGGAACTTCTGTGCGATGTCAGTGTTGCTCTGCTTTCCCTTGCCCATCTAGTGGTGTATCACATGTGAAAGGCTATAAAGAAAACAGTTGATTGCACTTTTAATTGGCCAGGGCTGGCACGACATCCATTGGACATGTCAGCAAAGAGCTGATAGTCCATATCCACCTGCTATAAACCATATACACACATAGACAGCTGTAGTCCATGGCACTTATAGCTCATGAATATGTAGTCTAACAGCACATAGTGAAAATCACTGCCGCGAACGTGTAAAGTTCCCAGATAGGCGCACGGCCTGTCCCAATTGGTGTTTCAGTGCATGCCTCCAAGATGGGATTGTTGAGATTGTTGAGCAGAAGCAGATGACGTGGAGATTTTGATGCACCTCACCTCAACGGGGAACAGACCGCAAGACAGGGTGGTGGAAGCAACCTGGTCAAGGTGGTGGTGAATTTAAGAAACGGTTACCAAACCGGGGCCAAGAAGCTGAAAATGCTTGTTCGCTCTGGCCAGAGCTTTGGCCAACCAGGATGAAGGAGATGAGCTGGACAGGAGAGGGCTTGATGCCAGGGGTGAAAACAGAACAGCTGCGGGCGAGATTGCTGAGATTTGTAGATTTGCTTGCCGTGCCAAGACACAGTGGGAACACCCCAGGAAACACCCCACAGCGTCTGCCAGCTCGCTTCTCACCGCCAAAAGGTCCAGGGGACTGGGGTCTGGTGGACTGGGCACCTCCTTTCTCCTGGCCTGTCAAAAACTACAAACCAAGCTGTGTGTTGTGGACAAAGCTCCCACAACTTCTCTCCCCCTCGAACTTCCTTCCTCCCTCCCTGCCCGCAGAACAGTCACCAGTCCACCCGTCCAACTGCAAGCATTTGGACTCCGGACTGCAACTGTTGCAGCTGTTGCAAACATGTCGAAACCAGACGCTGCCAACGGCCATGGCACCGCCCTCAACTTTAAGTTCGTTGAGACGCCCAAGGCCGGTCCTTTCACCTTTGAGAAGTCGGAGGACTGTGGTGTCCGCACCACCTCGGTGAGTAGTTCTGGAGACCTGTTGGCCTGTTCATCCGATCCAATTGGCCCTCCAATTGGCTTGGGATGAACCCAATTCACAGCTATCTAACGTGTTCGTATCCGTCTCCAGTACCCGACCATCAAGAATGCCCCTCTGCCCGCCGATGCCGCTGGCACAGATGCCTTCTCCAACGCCGCCCTCTTTTCTCTCCTGATCGGTGTCCCCTGGTACTTCTCATGGAAGGTTGGTGGCGGCCTGAAGACAACCATCTTCTTCGCCCTCATCACCTCCCTGCCCATCATCTCTGGTTTCTGGCTGGCCACCTCAACCCTTGCCCCCCGCAAGAATGAGAAGGCCAAGTTCCCCGGCCGCCCTGTCGAGCACTACCTCACCTTCAAGAAGCCCGAGGATAAGGCCAAGTATGCTGGCAAGAACAAGATCCCCATGGAGACCTTCCATGAGATGTACTTTGACGGCGAGGTTGACTTCAACGGTGACTGCCTTGAGGTTTTGGAGTACCGCCACGACTGGGCCAGCTTCCGCTTCACTCTCAGCTTGGTCAAGTTCTTCTTCACTGGCATGATTCCCGAGGTCATTATGCACACTCGCTCTCAGGGTATGATTGCTACTATCGGCTTGGTCTTCAGACTTTCGCTAACATGCCCGACCTATCAGATGAGGAGCAGGTCCGAGACCACTACGACCGCGGTGATGACTTTTACGGCTGGTTCCTCGGCCCGCGTATGATCTACACTTCTGGTATCATTGCCGACATCAACAAGGAGGAGTCTTTGGAGCAGCTCCAGGACAACAAGCTTGCTGTTGTTTGCGAAAAGATTGAGCTCAAGAAGGACGAGAAGCTTCTCGACATCGGCTGCGGCTGGGGCACTCTTGCCCGCTTCGCCAGTGTCAACTATGGCGCCAAGACCACCGGTATCACTCTCGGCCGCAACCAGACTGCTTGGGGCAACAAGGCTTTGCGCAATGCTGGCATTCCCGAGGACCAGAGCAAGATTCTGTGCATGGACTACCGTGATATCCCCGTCCCTGAGGGTGGCTACAGCAAGATTACCTGCTTGGAGATGGCCGAGCACGTTGGTGTCCGCCACTTCCACGGTTTCCTCAAGCAGGTTCACAACATGCTCGACGACGATGGTATCTTCTTCTTGCAGATTGCTGGTCTCCGTAAGCACTGGCAGTTTGAGGATCTCATCTGGGGTCTTTTCATGAACAAGTACATCTTCCCCGGCGCCGATGCCTCTACCCCTCTCGGCTGGTTTGTTGACCGCTGCGAGGGCGCTGGCTTCGAGGTCAAGAGCGTTGATACCATTGGTGTTCACTACTCTGGTACTCTCTGGAGATGGTACAGGAACTGGATGGCCAACCAGGACAAGGTTGTTGCCAAGTACGGCAAGAGATGGTTCCGCGTAAGTTTATGACTACTCCTAGCTTCCCGAGTCTGAATGCATCTTGCTAACTTTTGAAATCCTAGATCTGGGAGTTCTTCCTTGCCTACTCTACCATCATCTCTCGCCAGGGTTCCGCCACTTGCTACCAGATCGTTCTCCACAAGAACGACAACGGCTTCCACCGCATCGAGGGCACTCCTTCTCAGCTTGGTCTCCACGGCGCTCTGGCCAATACCAAGGCTGACCTGACCGCCTGGGCTGCTCGTGAGGCTTCCGAGTTTCCCCAGGTGCCTGCCAACTAAGTCGGGTGTGTTGACGGGAGGTAATGACACATCATGACTTTCTTTTTTTGCGGTAGCGATGCGATTAGCGATTGCATTTTCACGTTTCGTTGGTCACTCTTGGTCATCGGCTATCAAAAAGAAACAGGGTTATATAGGGTTTTCCAAAAAGGAGGGGGGCGATAGGTGCGATCGTGTATGATGAAAAAGGGAGTTGATAATCATATAGGGATAGATCATGGGAAATACCCTGGTGGATGGGTTCAGGGGTTTAGGGCTGGCTGGTGTTTTGGATGCTGTATGTAGTATCCGTTGCTGCCGAACAGGTTTTAGACAAAATGGATATTATTACGGCATAGTGTTGTTTTCTGGAGCTCGTGTGACGCATAAGAAGAGTCAGCTTTCAGGTGATGTTGACACCTTGCTCTCCTAAAAGACAAGAACTCCACACTGGTGTTTTGCCACTGATTTCACCACGTGTGGAAAAAGAGGGATGGATATCCTGGTTGAGCTGTGCTCGACTGATAAAGGATTCATATGCAATTGAGGGGATTCCAAAGACACACACGATATCGAAACTATGATATGAAGTTAAAGGGACTGTGGGGGTCCTGTGTGTTCATGTCGAGGGGGGAGCCTGTAGTAGGTAGCCTTTGCATTTCCACATAGTAGAGCAGACTTTCTGATTGTAGTAGTCCCTTCTCCACCAAGTAACTGGTATCATCATCAACCTAGGTATATACAAATATCTTACCACTTTCCCCCCCTTTCCTTAACGGATAGGCAGGTTCCCCTTCACTCCTCAAACCCAATCGGCACCAACGCGGCAGCCACATCCCCCACCCCCCTCTCCGTCGCCAAAAGGTTGTACTGGCTCGCCGCGTTTCTCGTGTCTAACACCTCGACCCTCATGCCCATCTCGCTGATCGCCTGTCGCGTCTTTGGGCTGATGGGCCTGTTGTATTTACCCACTCCTAGGATCAGGAGATCTATCCCATTCAACCGTTAGCACCTCTCCCTTACTTTTTTCCAGTATGTCTGAGAGACGTACCAGGCCTAGGCCAAACAACACTCAACACCCCCAAACTCTCGGGGTCAATCTCCCACTGCCACTTGCTGTTGATCATCTTTTTTCTTGTTCCTTTCCCGTCTTTGGTAAGCCATGGTTTCCACTCAAACGCCTCCCCGCCTATGAGCAAGGCCCCGCTGCCGTTGGTGATTTGCACCCCAGAGTTGAGGGAGAAGCCGTCGTGGTGGCAGACGTCGATGGAGGTGGACGGGACGGGGGTGTTGCCTAGCACGTCAAGGCTGGAGAAGTCGGTAGTCGGGGAGGAGGTCGGGACTGGCTCGTTGTTGTGCGCTAGGGGGGCGCCGCCTTTGGAGAAGGTGCGGGAGGGGGAGGAGAAGAAGCAAGCGGCGGATATCCTGGGAGTTGTTGTGAAGGAACTGAGGAGGGATCGTCTGGAGGTAGTGATGCGACGGAGAGTGGTGAACCTTCGCGCGGGGGGGGAAAGGGGTATGGAGGGTGAGAACGTCGCCATTGTGGTCTGTTAAAGTAAGTTTTATGACATGCGCATCGATTTGGAGCTGGCGCGGGGTAGTGGTGGTGCTGTTGTACGCTCTGCCGTTGGAGGTTGCAGAGACGTTTTGACTTGGAGGAGCTCTCCTCGATTGGAAATAATTTGGGCGGAGCTCGACGTCACTTGCAGGGGTCTTGAAAGCGTGGGTTGGGCAACACAGGAAAAGAAAGACAAGACACTTTGGCGTTGGAGAAGACGGGAGACAGCTTGCAATCATTGAACATTTTCGATTCCTTTGCCATCTCCCAACGCCCTCTGTCCCGTTCTCCATGAAAGGCACAGATTAATCAGAAACCTCAAAAGACCCTCAAAGTCTCCTCATAACACCAAAAAAACATTGGGCGAACTTTGTGCTGAATTCCGTCTCGTCGTCTAGCGGCTCAGCAATGGGGCGCTGAGAACCTCCCGCAGCTATGGGGGAATCACGCAAATACCATATCCCACTACTCCCCATGAAAAAAGCAGCCTGAAGTCCATTTCCATTTGCGAACCTCATTCCTGAGTCGAAAGCAGCCCTAACAACAGAGACAGCCAAAACCCGGGCTGTACGTGTACGGCATGCCGCCCTTTTCCCGTGAACACCGAAGCAATGAGACCATCAAACTAGCACCGTCCGCCCAGACCTGACCCGAGTAAAAGATTGTCGCATTTATTTCTTCTTGTCGGCGGCGGTCTGCTCCTTCAGCACCTTCTTGACGATCTTCTGCTCCTCAATGAGGAAAGCACGGACGATACGGTCACGGACGCAGTTGCCGCATCTTGAGCCACCGTACGCGCGCTGGACGGTCTTCTTGGGCTTGGAGATCTGGGCATACTCCTTGGGGCGGAGGGCGGGGATCTGTAAATCAGTCCTGTCAGTATTTCGTCCGTCTTTGCTACGAGATCCCCTGCAACACAAACGAATCCGCCCTTAAATTCCCCTTCGTCGGTTTCGTGGGCTGTCGGCGGGCCTCGGGTGGTGTGTTGAAAAGCAAACTGAGGTATGAAGTCGAAATGCAGCACAGGAGTTGCGTTTGTTGGAGATGCTCAAGTCGGGGTCAAATCGTTACGGGCGTCGTTCGTCATGCGAAGTTTGTATCGAATAATTCAAAAGGTCGATGGAATCGTGGTTTGCCGCTCTACCCAATTTCCCTTTCTCGAACCATTCCTTTCCCCATTCGTGTAGCACTAAAGATTCGAACAAAACTTACACCAGGGAGTTTGATGCCGCAGTCGCCACACTTGGGGGCAGTGCCGCGCTTCTTGATGTGAAGAACACGGAGCTCACCACCGGGAGTCTTGACAACCCGCGTCCGGTTGGACGAGGTGTTGTAGCTGCAAAGAGAAGCTCGAGTCAGCCAAATTATTCTTCCCCGATTTCCAGGTCCACGGTCGGGACAAGACGAATTGATTCGGGGCAACTCACGGGTTCCGGCGACGGTAGGTGACTCTGTTGTTGGCCATTGCTGCGGTGATGTCGCTGTCGTGATGTTTCCGTCGACTCGGTCACGGTGTGCTTGGTGGATGAATTTTGAGGGACAGTTTGGAAATTTCTGTGTGGGCGCAAATCCAGGCCCCACCAATTCCCCGGCTTCGAGGGTTGGCAGTTGGCAGCTTGATGCAACGGCTGCCCACGCACTGGCCAAGCCACGAAAGCTGACATAACCGTGTGGCTAGTGCGGGGCTGTCATCTATCTTATCAGCACCAACAACCACTTGGGCTCAACCTCCAACTTCACTATCATCTCCGTTGCTCACAAGTGAATCGTGGGGAGCTCTAGAAACAAGACTGAATAACTATTCCCCAAACATGATATTCCTTACTGGACCAGCCAACTCCAAACTCCAATATGGCATATTAAAAACCCGCTTCCATACATGTTATTCCGTCTTCATCCTCTTCCGATCAGGATCACCCCAAAAAGGATCATCCACTGCTCGCCATTGTTTGATGCCCTTGGGATCTCTTTTTTGACTGGCGTTAACTCTGTTCCATATAGCCTTGGTCTCCGGGCTGCCCAAGGCATCGCGGAAGCTGCCCAGCTCTTTGGTTGTAGAATCAACAGACTGCATAAAGGCGGCATACATGGCCTCGGCTAGATGTTATGGGTGACTATGGTCAGAATACGAAAAGGAGGGTTGAGCAGGGGTTGGAGGGGGGCATACGGGAGGGTTGTTTGGTATTCAGCGGCTCCAGCATGCGCGGAAGCGCCGAGCGAAGCCGTCGAAGCTGTATCCGACGTTAGAATATGCCCCCGGATCACAACGAGTAAGTTGACCAGTGTGCATAACTTGCCTGGAGATGCAGCTGGTTCAAGTGATAGAGTGCATCCTCCAGCTTCTCCTCCTCCTGCTGCGCGCTGTCTTTGGCTGGCTGGGCCTGGGTTGGATGATTGCTGGCCATTTCTGCTATTTCCAGGGTGCCGTCTCTCGTTTCACCGACAGTGATGGATGCAAGGCACAGACCGACGGTGAGTTGAAGCTCTTGAGAGCTCACTTTGATGAGTGGTGGGAGCGAGATGAGGGGGCCGCAACGGCTGCCAGAGTATTATGTATCCGAAGATGAATGTTTACATGAGGCAGGCATTCATCCAGAATCCCCTATCACGGAGCAATCAACCAGAGATGGATCAATAGAAGACGGCGGGGGAGACGATGCAGCATGGTTTGCTGCGAGGCTGACAGACCTCACTCATGCTGCCGCTGTTGGCTCGGCTGCTACCAAGAGCCAGCAAAGCTTGGCAAACAAGCTTTTTGCCTCCCTCTTCAGGGACACGCACAGCACAGGGAGTCTGGCTGTGGCTGAAAATGCATTTGCCTACCTTATTATGGTGGATGGTCCGAGCGCCCTAAAGGAATCGGCCTGGTGGAAGTCCAGCTCTTGCTTCCATTTTCTGGAGAGAAGCAAGCAACCCTTTTGACAAGAAAACTTTCAATATTCAGCTCCATCGCCAGGGAACCCGCGGCTGGCAAGCACAAAAAGTCGCACGTTACGCCGCCGCCGCTTGTTGCTGCTTTGTCGCTGGCAGATCGGCAGCCTTGATCAAAACCTGAATACACACGGTGCGTGTCGTGTCTTCATCGCACACATCTTTTCAGCGCCCAGAGCAGGTCGACCAGAACCTGAGAATCTTTTGCTGTTCATTTTTTCTCGTACGCACGGTACAGCATCCATCAAAGAGTACGTACCTGCATCTACGCACGCACCTCACACCCGACACCTGACGCGCACCTTTTCGTTGCGGAGGGTCGGGCGCCTTCTTTTTCTCTGCCTCGCAGCTCGCAGCACGCCGCACAGTATTTCCACTGGCTGTTCCACAACGACCGAGGCGGTCCTCCAGAAAATCGTTCCAATCACCATGGAGTCCCAGGGAGCTCCAGGAGCTTCGCAGCAGCCACGGAGCCGCAAGCGCCAGCGCACCTCCAGGGTGCCGGAAGCCGGAAATACTGCCTCTCCAGCACTCACCCCTGTCAGCCAGCTCCCCCAGGGCTGGGGGGCTGCCATGGCAAACAACAACCACCCCCAGGCCGTGCGCAGCCATGTCATTGACACCGTGCCAATTCAGTCCAGCTTCTCGTCACAGCAGCTCGACAGATCCCATGAGCCAGACGGCTTGATGAACAGCTACAGCAACCAACATCATAATGCCCATTCCCAGTACCCCGATCCCCAACCCACCCTCGCCTCCGCCCCGCATCCCGACACGTCTGGTCTGAGCAGTCTGAGCAACCTAGCCGGCGAACAGCACCAGCATCACGGCCAGCACCAACAACAGCACCCTCAGCACCCTCACCAGCAGCACGCCCACCACCATCACCCTTCCCAGCAGGCGCAACAGCAGCAGCAGCAGCAGCAGCAGCAGCAGTCGCAACAGCAATCCCAACCCCAACAACAACAACCGACCCAGCACCAACACCAACAGCAGCAGCAACAGCAGCAGCGCCCTAGTATCAGCGTGAACCCATCGGCGGCCAAGCCTGACAGCCGCGCTCTCTTCCAGCAGCAATACGGCGGTGTTAAGCACACCTCTGGTGATTCCCCTCCCGCAAACGTGGCGAACCCAACCTCCGCCGGTCCTTCCTACTCGAATCTGCCGGTCTGGCACGGCACGCCCACTCCCACCGGCTCGTCGCAACCCGCGCCTCAGCTTGGCTCGGCCTCCTCGATGCCACCGCAGTCGCCGGTACCAGGCATTCCTGGCGGAGGTGGCCTGGGCCCGCCTCCAGAAAGCATATATCAGACTTTCGACGAGCTGCTTGCCGCGGTACAGCGCCATGCGAAGGAGCAAGGTTATTCCATTGTGAAGCTACGCGCCAGCAACTACCGCGATGGTAAGCCGACGCGCTACGACCTTGTATGCGATCGCGGCGGAGTCAAGTACAACAGCACGGCCAAGAAGCGCAACCCAAGCACACGCAAGGTTGATTGCCCATGGCGGGCCAAGGCCGTGTGCGAGGTCAACTTGGGCAATCAGTGGAGGTTCGTTGTCCAGGAGGTCCGGCATAACCATGAGGCGCGTGTTGCTGCGGCTCAACCGGGACAAGAAAACACACCTGTCGCGCAAAGTATCCGCAGCCTCAATCATAAAATCGACCGCATCTCCCATGAGATGAGCCAGGGTTTCAGTCGATTGGAACAGGTCGTTGTGCAGCGCTTGGACAACATGGAGAAGCGATTAGAAGCTCTTGAGACAGGTCGACCAGCAATGCTCGGAAACGGCGGTGTACCGTCCATGGGAACACCAAGCATGCCAACTGCTAATATGGGCGGCGGCAATATGGGCAATGCCCCGATGACGAACGGAGGCATGCAGCCGCTTGTGGATAGTAGGATGGGGGCACTGGAAAGCCGCTTGACTCAGATCGAAATGATGGAAGAAGATCCATCACGCCTCTCGCTCATGGTCAACACCTAGGATGGAACAGAGCCAAGTCAAGTGTGCGATCGTTCTGCTACGCCTACAGACCATTAGAAGATGTTGGAAGCAGCCATCTGCGAGTCGGTTATCATACCAACACATGTTCTTCGGAACCACGCGACAAATCCCACATCAGGACTGTCGCCATGTACTCCTGACCTGATCTAGGTTGTATTTGCCGTTTGCTAGGACGAGCCACAACCAAACGGTCTGAACGGAGGTCGCACCAACATCTGTATCATATCGACGCTGGCACGCAAGGAGTCGGGTGTAGAAGCCCCTGTACTCACTCACCGTTGGAGTAAAAGAGGATGAGAAAAGGCGCTGTGGCATCTTGTCCGTCACATGGCCGACTTATTTCAGTTATATTAGTGTGTAGCAGAAGTTTCTGCTTATTTTCCTTTTGTTCTGTGGCTCTTGGGGTTCAACCTGCTTACTCTGGCTTCTCTCGCCCGGGCAAGCATGAGTAAAATGTGTAAATACATTCTGTGGTTTCAGGTGTGCATTTCCTGGTCTTCTCTTTTCTGCGTTTTTAACTATATCCCGGGGAACAGGGTGTGATGAGGCGTCGTGGTTGGGCTTCAGGGGAAGGGCAAGGCATGGGTTGGTTTTGACATGTTTCTTTGCGGCGTTGTGACGACCCTGTGGTTGGGTCTGGGGGTTTATATCTCTACGGCTTCCATACCTTGCATGCCGTCTTCGGTATTTGTGCGCGATTTGCTTTTTTCTGTTTTCTTGGTCTGCTTGGCTGGTGGTTGCCATGCAGACTGTGTGTTTTTTTATTATTTTAACAACGGAGTACTTGGTATTGTTACTCATTACTCTCCTGTGGGGTGGGGTGGGGGGGGAAGGGGAGGACTTATTTGGCTCATCATTATTACAGTTGGGCGATGCCAGGGCGAGAGGTCATCTTGGAGTATATGGTTAGGGCGACACGTCAACTGCGAAGACAACCGACACAAGCAGGACCAAGGCACCCAGCACTGAGATATATTCCCATGTCGATCCGTTGACGACCCAGTTCAGGTTCGACGAATCTGTCTGAATGGGACGCACCTTTGGGGGTTTGGGACAAGACACAAGCCAGGCAAAGGCCAGAAAAGGAGATTGCGAGAGGGAAGTAAATCAGGGGGGCCACCAAACACAAAGACCAACAAACATACAAAAACTATAGTTTGTACGATGGAATAAACCCTTAAGTGTGGTGTATATATCAATATCAAGCATTTGAATGCGAGTTATTATGGGTCTTTTTTACTAATAGTGACTGGAGTGATGTCTTGAGGGCAACGCTCAGGATGTTAAGTGTTCAAGGGAGAAGGAAGGGCACAACAGGTCGGGGGAGGCATTGTTGAAAAGCGCTGACGAAAAAACTCAATTCACATCATCCAGGTGTATAAAGCTATGCTATGCGTGCCGTCTCTCATCACCCACCCCCAAACCTTTGGTATCAACAACTCGCCCTTCTTGTATCTAAACGTTGCACACTTCGATCCACCCTACCCCCCTTTCCCCCCTCGCCCTCCTACTCTTCCCTGATAATAATATGAAAGTTTCATCACCACAAGATAAAACGCCTTGTTGACAAAGACAGGGAAAAATCATCACAACAAAAGTAAAATGAAAGAAGCAAGACAGTTGAGTAACAGATAACAAAATAAAGGGAATACGATTTCAAAGAAATAATCAAGTTCTCTACCAAAACCCTCCTCCTCCTCTTGAGCTTCCTCCTAGCCAAAGGTGGGATATCAACAATCAACAACCTCCTCTTTTCACCCCCCATTCATTCCCTTCAAAAGTTAACATCCCAAAAAAGAACGCCTCTTTCTCCGTGTTGGCTTTTTGAAAAAGTAAAATCCAATTCCCCTGGAAGTAAACAAAAAGAAAAAAAAAAGTCTTATGCAAAAAGAAAAAGGAAAATGTCGTGGGAATATGCTGATGAGAATATGTTCATATACGTGTTGTTGTAAGCGAAGGAAGAGCAGCAAGCAGCAAGGCAGAAAGACAAGATATTTTGCTTTTTGTGGTGTAGAATTTTTGTGCCATCATCGTTCCATTCATTACTTCGTATTTTTAGAGGGGCTGGGTAGGTGTAAGGGGGGGCTCAGTTGCCGGGGTATATAAAATACGAATAATTTCGAATATCCAAGAAACAAACAAAACAAAAAAAGATTTTGCGCGTCGCGAACAAGAGTTGTATGTATTATTGCAGTTCAACCCAGACCTGGCAAATGGTTAGCATGACTGTGAAAAGTTGTTGAGGGTAAAAAAGAAAGAAGAAAAAAAACATACCTCCATCTTCCCCGTCTCCGACCTCGCCTTCCTGGCATTCTGCCTCACACCGCTCATCACCATCTCCAGATCATCCTGGTCCACCATCGTGATCAGCTCGGGCGAGTCCTCGTCCTTGAACTTGATCAAGAACTGGCCCCTGGGCGGGATGTTGAACTTCTCCCTGATCTTGGCCGCAAAGTCGGGGAACTCGACCGCCGGCCCGACCATGATGTACCGCACGTCGTTGGCGTGCACCTTGACCCTGATCGTCCTCAGCGCGTCCCTCCTCGAGGACCCCCGCTTGGATCCCCCAGAGACAGAACCGGGACCTGGCCTCCTGGGCGCCATCATCTCAAAGTCGCCCTCGTCAAAGGAGCCGTCGTCGTAGTCGCTGCCTTCTTCGTCTTCTTCCTCGATGTAGCGGTCTCGTGGCTGGTTGCCGCCGCGGTTGCTCCGTTGGGAGCGGCTGTTTCTGGAGCCGCCGCCGCCTTGGTACATGTCGTAGAGGTCGTCGTTGTACGTGTCCTCTTCTTCTTCTCTTCTTCTCCTGGAGGAGGGGGGGTCGCGCTGGGAGTAGCCGCGGGATGGGGGGGCAGCGGCCGAGGCGGAGCGGCTTGGCCGGCGCTGCTGTTCGCGTGGTCCCTCGTCTGGGGAGGCCTTTTCGTAGCGGTCGCTTGGGCGGGACTTTTCGAGGTTGAGGCGGCTGGGGACGGGCTTTGGTCCGTTGCGGACCGAGGCGGCGCGGCTTGGTTGCGTTGGCTTGTCGTTCTCGGGTGGTGGGGTGGGAGGGAAGACATTGCGGCTGTTTGGTGGTTCGGATTGCTGTCTTCTGGACTGGAGGCCTGGTTTGACGAGGTTGCTGGCGGCGAAGGAGAGGGCTTCTTGTGGCCTGTCGTCCTTGACCTCGATTGGGCCGGTCTGTTTTGGCCTGTGTGTTAGTGTCTGGGAGTGACATGGTGCTGGAGAAGGGAACACATACAGATTGCTTCATTTCAGCACCGGCAAATCCGGTAAAGGCATTGGCTCTGTCCGAGGCAGCAACTAATCTGGCCTTCCCGAGGTAGTCCTTTTGCTGCAAATTTCGCACCTTGGCCTCATTGGGCCTGTAGACAACACCAACAGGAATCGAGAACACTGTATAGCCCTGCAAAAACAATGTTAGACACAAAACAACAGTACAGCTGAAACAGATCCTGATCTCACCTTCGCCTCATCCCTGATGGCATCGTTGATTACATTGTGGTCCTCCACCACCTTCTCCTTGACGGCGTACTGCAAATCTTGCATACCAGCTTCCATTTGCTCCAGGTAGATGTAGCAGAGACCACGGTTGAACAAGACCTCGCAAGAGTAGAGCTTGAAGATCAACCCGAGTTGCCCATAGTCGATCAGCGTGTTGCCGCGGAGGTAAAGAAGTGTGTCGTTGAAGTTCGCCAAGGCCTCCTCGAAATCACCCAGCAAAAAGTTGGAAACACCTTGTTGAAAGTAAGCGACGGCGAGGTACCGGTCGAGTTTGACAGCGCGTTGGTAGCATTCGACCTGTGGTGTTTTGTATTAGCATCTATTGTTTTTGATGGGGGTTTCCCCCTGAACCAAAGAGAACAGAGAAAAGGTTGTTGGGGGGGGGGGGGGCCAACATACAGCTTGCTCGTGCTGGCCGAGTGTCGCATTGATCACGCCCATGTTGAACAGAATCTTGGAGGTATCCGAGATCCTCTCAAAGGCCTGGAGGGCTTCGTCGAACTCATTGTTGTCGTAGTACTTGAGGGCCTCGACCCAAGTTTCTATTTCCTATAGTCGGGCGTATAAGCTGAGCTGTTCTCCACACAACCTGGGCGCGTCCGCAGCTGGGATGTCGTCTTACCTGTTTTAAAGACATGGCTGCTCTAGTATGGAAGCTGCAAAGAAAGGGCTATCAAAGCCGGTTTGACCTTGCGACACTCGAGAGAAGCCGTCGCTCGGAAATAGTTTTTCGGTATGCGAATGTTGCTGAAACTTGGGCGGTTGTGCGTCGAGCGGTCGACGGGCGTTGAGGGGTTGTGTGGCTATTAAAGCGTAGGATTTGGGCAGGCAAAGAGATGGAGAGGGACAGGGGTCGGATGCACTAGCTCGGGCTGGCGGCAACCAGGGGGTTGGCTGCTCGAGTCAAGCCCAGCCAGCGTCTGGTCTTCCGTCTTTCTTTTTGTTGTTGTAATTCCAAAAAGCCCGAGTTCGTTGATGAATCCAGCCTTTAATATCTCTACCGTCCCGGTATAATTATGACCCCGATCACAGCCTGTGACCCGATAGCAGAAGAGTTGTTGACAGCTAGCGGCCACTTGGCGTGTGATAAGTCTGCTGTTCTGCTTTTTCTCCTCACAAGACGACCCAAGATGCCACGGGCGACAAAAAAAAGAGAGGTGGACTCCTCCGCTGAGACTGTCCTGCAGCTTATTGGTGTTGCTGTCGTCCCACTTTCTCTGTCTCTCGTCTTCGTGTTCCTCCGCCCTACTGCGGTGTGTGTTCGTCGGAGAGTGTTCCTTGTAATCTATGATCGTGGAGCCGTCAATCTAGACTGCGGCGCGTGCAGCCCTCGGTATGTCGGTTGTGCGAATGGGGTTCTTTTCCCTGCTGAGCTAGCTCTGTTCCTGGCGATCGTGTCGATATAGTTATAGTGGATGCAGCAGGCCATGTGCTACCGACGACAACTGCCACAGCGTATAGGCGTCGAATCCAGACTCTCGGGTCGAGAGAAGCGAGTGGTAGGCCGGCGGCGAGCGAGGATTAGGATGTTGACGGTAACTATTAAGGAAAAGTATTAATTACGTTAGATAGTTCAAACTGGCATACCAAGAGCCAGAAAGATGCAAAGGTTGAGGTAAAGATTAGGAGCAAGGTGGGAATGACGGGGAAAAGAGCGATCGATATTCGGCCTGAATTGGACAGCAGCCAGCACCGGCGAGCAGGTAGAGGGCGGGAAGGCCTCTTTTTCGGACACCGTCCGCCAGAAGCGAGGAATCAATTCGTGGGCTTGTTTGGAGACGGCCAAACTGGGGGAGCTGATCATGCAGGCCCCCCGAGAAACTTGGCTTGCCAGGTCCGGGCTGGCTTTACAAAACGTGAATGAGGCCTGGCTTGTGGAGGAGGTTTCTGAAGCCCACTGTTACAGACGACAGGGTTCCCCCTCTCAACCTTCGAGCACTGTCTCTCCCCTGTGGAGCTATCATCCCAGGGGGCACTGGTCGAGAGGCACGCAAGGAGAAACATCCGAGACTGGTCGAAAGAAGGAATAGGGGCAGGGGAAATGTCTTGTTTGGGATTGCCCAATTCTTTGGATACACGGGATGATTCTACGTCCCGTCTGTAGTGAAAATCCTGAGGCTCTCCCTGTCCGATCCCTCCGGCGATAGGGCCTAAAGAGGGCCCGGTGGTGGGAACAGGAACAACGAATATACCAGTCTGCATTGGCAGGATGGTCCATCGAACGTTTTCATCAGTGTCGTCGAACCACCTCCGGAAGCGTCCTGCTATCACTGGAAGACTCCGAGTGAAAGGTGCAGAGCATGGTGTCAGGGATCGAACGGTCCCCTGTCGAGGCTCACCGGATTGGCAGGGTGCGGAACGTCACTGGCGGCGGCGCCATTTGCAGCCATGCGTCAAGGTCACTGTGCCTGAGCCGCTTCTTCAGCTCGCCGACGACGCCGGTCGTCCGGCCCATGGTCTGCTGTCACTGAATGTCATCCAGTATCAGTATCAGACATGGCGAACATAAGACTGGCCTCGGAATGCCTCATGGGATGAAAGATGGCCGGGATATCAAGCAACACAACGACAGCTCAGCCATCCGATATCTGTCACCGGGTGTGGGTGTCCTTTTGGCCGTCTATGACCGGCAAATAGGAGCTTTCCCGGGACGGGAGGCAGAATGCGATGACAACCTCTCTTGAAATTGTGCATGAGAAAAAAGCTCGTGAACCAGTCGTCGAGAGTCTTGGCTGGGCGGTTGACTGTGTCTGTGAGACTCTTAGGGGTCAATGCAATGCCATTGTCTGTCACAGAGTCTTTGGCACCCCTGCGAATCACAGGTTGGCGTCCCTCATGCACCAAGTGTTCCAGAGCACCCTGGACGACCGTTGATTGGGCCAGCCCCACACCAACGCAACCCCTGCGTTGCAGGGCGGTTAATTCAACCTCCACACTCTACACTCGGCCCCCCACACAAGTCTCAACTTCATCTTGAATCTTGAAGACCGAACACCGCTGTGTAACACTCCAACCAGTCACTCACCCAGTTCTGGGCTGGCTGGAAATCCCTTGAAGACTGTATACAGAACACGATCTGTATGTCGGCTTGCCGATCCAAAGACCTGCCCTATGATCGTAGAGCCCGATACTCCCTCGACAGCAAGCATCATGTGTTCAATCAAGCCGTTGCCGGCTCCTAAGGGCACGCTTCCTCCGACAGTTGGATATCGTGTTGCAATAAGCGCTCTGGGAATACATCTGATGAATCGACCTTTTCCATCTTCATGTCAGTTTTAGTGGTGGTGCCATCACACGGCCAACATCGAGCCTTTCTCAGTCGATATTCTATTCTTGATACCAAGAACCTGCACAGGTCTGCTTGAACAGCAAGATTTGTGACCATGTACTGGTGACATATGCATAACTCGGCTCTGTGATAGTGACGGTGACGTACACAATGATGGACGGCCCTCCAATGGTGCCATCGCAGGTTTATTTATGGTGTCGTTCACGGCTGGGCGCGGGAGGGCCATCTCATCTCGTTCGCTGTGTGCGAATCAAAGCTCAAGAGGCTCTGGAGTCGAAGCCGGGGACAGAACGCTAACGAATACGTACCAAGCACTCGGTTACCACGCCATGTGGAGGTAACGGAGAAAACCAGCGGCCACTCAGGTGCGGTTGCGTTGAGAAGGGAGATGGTGAGGCCGAAAAGGGAACAGGACGCCGGCAGTGGAGCAGGATACAGTGTCAGACACAACCCAAAGACAATTTCAAATAGAAGATTGCGAAAAAGAAGGGCCGGAAGCATGTGCTAGATGCCGGTGATAATTTGTGTGACCTCAACAACTCCTTTTCCCAGCATGTGGTGTGGGTTGTGTTGTACTTCGTGCTCGCTATGATGTTGGAGATGGATCTGATGGGCTGTCGTCTCTGGCAGTGATCACTAACAATTTTTGCAGTTCAAAATTCTCGGCCCCTCCCGTCTTTGCTGCCGATCGACAGGGTCCGAGCGCAAAGAACTGTGGATCTTCCCAGGATGGCACTGAACATTGCTGAACAGGCGAAACTCGCTTCAACTTCAGGTTCCCGGCAGTTCAACTTCACATCTGATGTTTGGTCGCAACCCACAGACTTTTTTCTTCTCTTTCCGTCCAGCTTTGAGGTGCGCGATATCACATAACAATATTTTTATCTTTTCCCACGTCATCAAGCTTAAGTTCTGGATAGGTATTTCCATCAGTTTTTTTTCCATCAGTCATCCAGGGGCACAGATCTCTAGATGCAGGCCGGCGGCTGTATGGACAGCTGCAATGGAGACCCACGTCGTGGACAAAAGAATTGGCACTGCAAAAGTAAGGTACCACATACTATTTTCTCCCATGCCTTAAAAGAAACTCAATAGGCCTCAAAAGATAGTTAATAGGCTTTGAAATATAATGAGAGGCCTATTTGCTTTTTAAACGGGCGTAGGTTGACAATGATTACACACTTTACCAGCTTCCAGTACCAGTCATTTCGTCCACGACGTGAGACCTAGACTGCCGGCTGCTGTGGTATTCGACCTGACACTCAAAGGTGGTGGTACTATCGTCGACCATATGCACTCCTCCTATAGGTGCCCCAAATCCAGGCAACTGTTGAAACTCCCTGCTACAGAGCATACCTTAGGAGTTGTTTGCACTTGGCTACACACAAGGATTCCTTCTCGGTTTTTTGGCCCCATCTCACCTCCCCCCTTCTCCGTCTCATGTTTTTTGACACACACTCTCTCTTCCGGCTTCCGGCGGCGTGGGGGCTGGCCTTCGGGACCAATCCCGTCGACCCAGCAGGTGTGTGTTTCCTCTCGTGCATGATCTACGTTAAGAGAGTCCGAACATCCTCCCGGTGATCCCACCACCCTTCCACACACGCACACACAATAATCCTGAGATTTCACAAGGAAAGAAAACCAGAAGGGGGGAAGGAGATGATCACCCTCCTATGGTTCTGTCTAGATGCGGAGGGTAAGTCCGCGCGCATCGGAAAATCGACACAATCCCATTGTATCACCATGGGAATTTTGCGTGTTTGATGAAACCAGGCCGCCTCCTTGTGGCGGCCACCTCAGGTCTCACCACTATCGCCTATCAACCCTGACCTGTCTTTATCCAGCCTCCAGGACCAGAAGAGACGACATTCGTCATAGCAAAGGATCCCCGTTTTCGTTCAAAAAGTAAGCTTAATTGTTTTACAACAAGATCCATATCTCTTGGCAGAAATATCACTCCCCCCCCTTTCGAAACAAGCCCCCCCCTCCTTCCCATCCAAGGGCCTTCTCAATCACAGCATCCCTTTTGATACCTCATCCTTCCTTTCCTCCCACAAGGTCTTCCCCGTGCAGGAGCAAACAGTCTTATCATTATCCCAAACCCCGGCACTCCTCGCGATGATCCCAACCACGGTGTTCTCATCATTGGTCAGGGGCTTCCCCTCGTCGCTCTCGTCATTGGGCGAGATAACCAGAGCGTGGCCGATGACCTCCCACACCTGGAAGGGGTGGTTGAGGAAGACGGTTCCCCGTCCGTCTGATCCTATCTCTACCGTACCCAGGATTCCACGAGGGGTGGTGGGTTTTGTTTCGCTGTCAGCAGTTGTTGTGGTGGTGGTCCCGCTCCAGATGGGGCCCGCAGAGGTGACCCCGTCCTGGAGGTTTCCGTAGGCGCGGATGGTGGCCCGGTATTTTCCTGGTGAGAGGCCGCGGATGGTGAGGTCGACGACTGTTTCTGTGGGGCTTACTTGGACCATCCTGGCGAGGCCGCGGACGAGGCGTTGGTTGATCCAGCTGCCGGCTGGCTTGCTGGCTGAGGCGGAGGCGGCGGCTTCTTGGACGGAGCGGCGGTAGTAGGTTTCCAGGATGCTTACTGCCGCACCTGGAAAGATGTGCGTGTGAGAAACTTGAGGTGGGGAGGGATAGGTATGAGAAGAAAGGGGGGGGCTTACTGTTTGAAGCTCCTGAACCGCGGAGGATGGCATCACGTCCGGTGGCTTGAATGGCATCGACGATGGCTGATGGCGGTGCTATGCAGAGGGAGAATGTGTGAGTTTTCTGATTTGAGGACACGGTTTATGAAGGGACTCACCGGTTCCTTCAATTGTCACCAGCTGCTCCTTGACGTCTGGTTCAACCTTTGTGATGCCGGATACTTTGAACAAGGCTTGCGAAATGTCTTTGGCGCAACTTTCACAATGCATGGGCACTGCGAAGAGAGTCTGAAGAGCCAGATATTGTGGTTAGCCTTGTTCCTGAGTGAGGCTAAGGCAAGCCCTAGAAGATCCCATGATCTCAACTTGGCAGTCTGAGACGTACCTGAAAAGGGGTTGTAACGGCCATTTTTAAAGAAGATGCGGTTGCCGCTGAGACTATTGGTGAGTTAGGACTTTTATTTCCTGGGAATATTGGCGACTGGGATCGCTGCTGTTGCTGTTGTTGCAGATGGAGAAGCTGCCGTCGATATGTGTATGCGCCTGCAGATGCTAAGAGGGCGATGCCACTGAGACTGTATGCAATGGGTTTTGTGAAGCTGAATTTGGGGATAGGAGGCATCAACCAGCCAACCAACTAACAAGCCTTGATTCAGACAGATAGACGAGATGACTCGATGAGCAAGATGTTCGTTGGATAGAAGCAATGTCAACTTCTGCTTGATGATAGAATATGAGAATGTGGAGATGGCACGGTCAAATGGATCTAATGTGAATCTTTCAGGGACTTGCTTTGAAATCCAACTTTTCTCTTAAATAATAATTCCGTTATGTCTTCGCCGCCTTCCATCAGCTCATCGATCGCGGGGCAGTTTCAAGGCTCACCAACCGCGGGGCAGTAGGCGGCATGGGTTCCAGCTGTTTCTGGGGATCCACCTTTCGCTCTCTCTTAACCGTTGTAGCCCGTGCACACGCATTTCCACGCCTCTCGGTATGCTCGGTAAAGGTCACCACTCACCGACGGTGAGGAAGCTGGACAATTTTTTGGGCCCCATTGACCAGACCCTTCCGACAATCGCGACTCCAACCAGCTCAATTGACACCCCTCCCGCCAAACTCACCTCCGCCATATTTTGATACCCCTTGCGGAAAGAGAGGTTCAATTGAGACCAAAAAGGTGGTTCCCGTTTCTTGGTGCGACAGTTTAATGAGGGACTCGTTCCCAGGGGCTTGATTGCTTCACTTTTCTCAAAGAACCCCAACACAAACCCGCCACAATGTCTCAAACTATAGGCTCTGTAATGCTGCCTCCCCCGCTTGAGTATTCTTGAGCTTCAGACTAACATCGCTGCCTTTCAACAGACCCGCCTTGCCTACTCAAGAGTATGGCACCACATCTCCGCCTCGGCCCCCCACCCAACCCTCTCAACCGTCAAGTCCCCCCCGGAAGCCGTCACCCCCCCCTCGCTCGGCCGTCTCGCCTCCCGTATCGCCATGATCCTCATGGGCAAGCACAAGCCCATCTGGGACCCCTCCACTGACTGCGGCGACTATGTCGTCGTCACCAACTGCGCGGCGCTGTACACCACCGGTCACAAGAAGTGGAGGAAGACATACTACCGCCACAACACCAGACCGGGTTCGCTGAGGACGATTACGATGGATGTGCTTATGGATAAGTTTGGCGGTGCCGAGGTGTTGAGGAAGGCGGTTAGTGGCATGCTGCCCAAGAACAGGTTGAGGGACAAGAGGCTGGCGAGGTTGAAGGCTTTCGAGGGGAATGCCCATCCGTATAAGGAGAATATTATCAGGTTTGGGGGGAAGAAGGTTGGCCAGACTGGGTGGGAGGATATTGTGAAGGCGGTTAGGGAGGGCGATAAGGCTACGATCCCGTCATGAAGGGGTTAAGGCGCGGTGATGGGTTGTAACAATAGAGTATAAAATCATGGAATGGAACTGGGTTTGGTATACGTGACGTTGAAGGCTACTGATGGCTGGTTTTTCTGAAATTCAGATATCTGTATTTGCACGGTATGGGATTGCCAGGGGGCGTAAAGCTGAGATTATGGGTGGTCAAAATCTTGTCTGTACATACATTATTTTGGGTTTGAATGTAGTTCTTGGAAACCATAACTGCTCGGGATCCCAATTCATATGTTTCTGAAGTGGTGCTTGGGTTTAGCTGAGACAGAAGAATAAACTATCAAATCGAGAATGGTTATGTTGTCTACGTGAAGCCTTCTTGTATACATGATACTCGCAGCATCTCTTCTACAGTTATACCACATTGACAGAGCGGCAGTGATTCACTCTTCTACCACACCTAGAGATTAGACTCCTCGGAATCATGTGTGCATCAACTCAAAGGTGATATGAATTGCTGATATCTCAAAATGCTAATAAATAGCAACGCCATCTAAAATGCAATAGACCAAAACCAAAAACTAAAAAGTCAAACCCCCCTGTCCCAGATGCTTGCCTGTCGCTGCTATGTCCCCAAAAAATATGTTGACCAGGGTAACGCCATGCTCATGATCCTCGTACAACAGCTTCTAACTTGTCTTGCGAAAAAAGCAGTAGAACTCAAAATCCAAAACAGTTTAAGAAAAAAAAAAGTGTGAGGTGCTTAGGAGCGAGTGACCTCGCACTTGATGAGGCCATTGGGGCCAGACTGGGGAGCGTACACCTCGGCGTCCTTGCCGGTGTTCTTGTAGCCCTTGTGCCAGCTGAGGTCTGTGTCATGTTTTGTTAGAAAATCGCTTTTCTTGAGAAGAAGAATGATAGAAAAAGAAAACATACCAATCTCAAAGTAGTGCTTGTTGGGCAAAGAGTAGCCAACAACCTCCACCTCGGCCGCCTTCTCCAAGATCTCCTCGCACATCTTGTACATGGTGTTCTGGACCGAGGCGGACTCGTCCTCGGCGAACGTCTTGAGGGTGATGTTGCGGGCCGCCTCGAAAGCCTGGTCGAACCTCTCAACGCCCTTCTCCACGTCGGCGACGGTGGCAAAGGTCTTCCAGTTCCAGGTGGCATCAACGTCGGTAGACAGGATACGGTCCCAAGTCTCGCCGAGGGTGGTGTACTCGTCCCGGACGAAGCCGTGGAAGGCAGAGCCGGTGGACTTAAGGACGGAGAGACCCTGGATGGCGGACTTGAGCTCAATGCCAGCCTCGCGGGAGACGCGAGCTTCCACGTTGCGGGTCTCGTTGCCGTCGCGGTAGAAGCTGTGGGGGTGGGGTTTGCCGTCGATGTTGATGCGAGTCCATCTGTGAACGATCACCTTGATGTTGGCGGCGTTGATGTGGGGGTACTTGTCGAGGAAGTGCTGGCCGAGGTGGGCGGCGTAAAGCTCAGGGGGGTTGACGGGGTGCTCCTTGGCCTTGATGTAAATGGTGTTCTTGATAGAATCGGTAGCCACAACAACGCTGTTGTCGGCCTCGGTGTAACTGAAAAGAGGGTTAGTCTTTGTTGGAACAGCTTTCAGGGATTATACATACGAAGTCTCAATCTGGCCCTCGAGAAGGCAGCAGACGGTCATCTCAGTGACGGACTGAGTGCCGGTAGCCTCATCCTTGTGCACCTTGTAGACACGGACATTGTCCTTTCCATAGCGAGCAGCAGCAAGACGAGCCATTTCGACGATTGCGTGTGTGTGGTTGGTGTTTGTGTGCTGAGGGTATTTGCAAAGCTTTTTAGAATATGAGAAGCTGATGAACGGCTTCGGAGGGGACTAATGCAAGAGAGAGAGCAAAGTGGATTTGAGTTCAAATTACAAGACAAGGAAGAAGCTGTTTGTGTAGACAGAAGACGAGAGGTTGGAGAGAGTGGACGACGGTGAGTCTTTATACAAACCTTAAAGGTCCCAACCAACGAACGGATGTGGACAGCTGCGAGGAAGCACGACACCACCCACCCCCGCGGGCAAAGGAACGTCAGCACAAGCAGGCGTGCCGAAGATGCAGATCGGACGGCGCCTCGCGGCGTTCTGGTCCCGCCCGTGTAAGCAGCAAGCCGGCAACAGGGACAAGTGGATTCGCCGGAGTCCGCCGACTGCCAACCCCCAACGCCCAGGGCTCTCCCCCGCGCAGAGCTCCCGGAGGCTTGCGACACCGGCCGATCGTTCAATCTTCGGCTTCTATTCCCTGTAACCTCTCTTCAACATCCCCAGAATCTGGTCTGATCTCTCTGACCCCTTGCAGTAGCCTTGCCTTGCTAGCCATGTCTTGTCACTTCTGACGGAGGACTTACAAAGCTGAAGACTGCCCTCCCGCCGTTCGAGTTCCGACGACGACGACGACGATGAGACAGCCTGGAACCTGGAACCTGAAAGCCCCCACTCTCTCTGACCTCTCCCGGCACAGTCCGGATTGCGGGGTTCGACGCCCCTCCATACGCCACGCACCGTTGACAACAGGTTATCATCGGCATCGTGCGACGAAAGGATGGCTAACAAGACTTGGGGATGGTGCGGCTGCTCAGCTAATTGAGACCTCCAAAGCATAAAGCTCGCCTTGAGCGCTTGTCGTCACACAGATGATCGCTAGAATCCCACCTCGCACAGCATGGGCAAGATAAGGCGGCCGTTAGCTTTGCGGATGGTCCATCTTATCAGTGATTGAAGCTGATAAGAACAGCTCTGCCCTCATCCAACACTCTGATATGAGCTGTTGACCCAGGCAATAGTAAGCATAGCTGTGACTCGAGAGATTCAACACTGGCGTCCCCTCTCATTGCACATGTTCAAGAACTGATCAAGTGAAAACTGAAAATGCAGGAGCAGAACCTCCAGGACGCTGGCAAGAGACCCTAACCCTCATCGGTGACACTTGCACCCAAACACAAACACATTGCGACCATAGTAACGTGGCATAGCACGCTAGATGGTTCGCGGGGAGACGCCGAGGAAGTGGTGTGCTTATACATGCCAGGAAATTTGTGTTTTGACAGTAAACAAAGTTCGTAGTACTTGTAACTGCTGTTCACCATCTTCAATGTTGGAATACAGAGCCGTGGGAGTCTAGGGCAAGCACTGTGCGCACCGACCACCACCTTCGTGATCCATCCCTCAGATCCCGGCTGCACAACGACTGGAGAAGTGGATCATCGCCAGGAACTTGGCTCCTTCCTCCGCCCCGACTCCCTGAGAGTACCCGCATGATAGTTTGATACGGACGTACGGTGCCGTAACAAGCAGTTGAAAGGCGCACGCGACTGGACCGCGCCCACGGTACATTGCAATGACCATCTACGTCACATAGGTAGCCCTCACCCGCACCCAACTCTTTTGGGGGAACTGTCGATAACCTCGAGAACGCCGAGAATCCATGCGCCGGCCAAGGGGCAACCACCAATTGGCCCCGGCGAACGTTGCGAATCGAATGCAAATTCCGACCGAAGACACGACGAGAGCGTCGAGAGCGTCGAGTGTGGAGGGCAAATGGCCGGGCCATCCACCATGCTGAGCGCCTCGGCGACGCCCACGCAAAAGTCCTATGTATCGCAGCAACAGTCGCCGTTACGCCAGCAGCAAGGACAACAGCAAGGACAGCAGCAGCAGCAGACACAACAGCAACAACAGCAACAACAGCAACAACAGCAACAACAGCAACAACAGCAACAACAGCAACAACAGCAACAACAGCAACAACAGCAACAACAGCAACAACAGCAACAACAGCAACAACAGCAACAACAGCAACAACAGCAACAACAGCAACAGCAAGTGGGCAGCTATGCATCCACTATTTCAAACCCTCGACCTAGCCTCGACCGCGGCGATGGATTGCAACCTCCAGGCGCCAACGCTGGCAGGAATCTCTCGGCCTCTGCCGTTACCTTTGCGTCCAGGGGTGGCTCGTTGAACCCGTCACCCATGCCGGGGAGCTTCAGCTCTGAGCTCCGGAGCCAGCTTAATCTTTCCCGCGCCGGTTCGCGAGCCGACATGTTTGCGCTGGAGAAACTGGACGAGGACGATAACCGGACACAAGAGCGCAACATTGCCTACCTTCGAGATGCCCTGAGCCGAGAGTTGAAGATAAAGGAAGGGAGCGAGAATATGCTGGAGGCACTGAACAGCAAAAAGGCAAAACAAACGAAGGAGCAGCGTCAGAGGGTCGAAGCCGAGCTTCTTTCGTCAAGTAAACGGATCAAGGATTTGCGACAGAGGATCACGGATGCTCAACAAAGGACAAAAGCGGGACCAACAACACCTACGAGGTCCAGGATCGATGTCACGATAGCGGCTGGAAGTGGTTTGCGGTCACCGCCTAGTCTTTCCAGGAGCGGGGCTGGATCTGACATTGATGAGCCGACTGAGTCTCCAACATTTGCGCTTGCCGAAACTCTGCAAGCCCTTGAGGTGGCCGGCATGACACCAGATTACTATGTCTCCAGAGCCAATAGTCTCGTTGACTTGTTCAGGAGGCATCCAACTCTCAAGTATGATCTGGTCTGGTCTGTATTCGGGCTTCGAATGCAAGCGCTCCTCATGAGTGAAAGTCGCGAGGTGGTTGCTGCTGGTTACCGGATGACTCGATACGCCATCTCTGATATTACTTCACTCCAGAATATCCGTACCCTTAACACGGATTACCTAGTCACATGGTAAGCCCAAGCTATTGTACCGCCTTGACTTTGCATAGGAAGAGGATGCTAATGTGTGGTATCAGGTCTTTGGCAAAAGACCGAAAGTCTGATGTTGAACGAGAGCAGGCACTCAAGTTTGTTCGCGCTTTTCTTGATGTCAAGGATGGTGTGAGGGAAATCTCACGGGCCGTAGTCAGGGCCATTGCTGCCGTGGCAGAGGAGCCAGAAGAAAGGCTACGGCCGATTTGTCTGGAGACGCTGGCGGAAATTCTGGTTCGCGACCCTCGTCTCCTCATAGCCTCGGGGGGGCTGGCCCCGTTACACGAAGCTCTTGCGGACGGGTCATACAAAGCCTCAGAAAGTTTGACCGCAGCGTTTCTTTACCTCCTCGATGCGCCAGAGCGGCGTCAATATCTCCGCCCTGGGAATGAGTTGGAGGTTCTTTTCACGGCATTTACAGACGAGCTGTCATCCAATGAGCGCATTCTCAAGCAAAGCGCCAAAGCTATTTCGTCAGCCCTCAAATCATGGTCTGGTTTAATGAGCCTGTCCATGTACAACTTCCGTGCGATCAGGTCCATGATCAACAGCATGGTCGCACAAAAAGGATCTATCAGAGAGACCATCATGGATCTGATATTTTCCCTGTTGCGAATCAAATCCCCAGCGTGGGCAACTTCGTTTCTTGCCGGAAGACGTCTCACCACCTATGGCCGGGTCACAAACCTCAAAACAACCACCACCACCACCACCACCACCAAAGCCGCCCATGGTGAATACGAAGACGACGGAGGCGAGCAAAATTTCGTCGAACACTATACGGCACTGTTGCTTGCCATATTTATCAAGTCCGGAGTGGTGCCAGGCCTCCTGAAAATGACACAAGACAATGAAAACCCAACTCTAAAACGAAAATCAACGTTACTTCTAGGGGAAGTTTTGAAGTTGGCAAGTCACCTGCTTCCACGCTCGTGGAGCAGTGAGATACAGCTGCTTCCTGAATTGTTTATCACCGCTGCCCGGCTGGGGGACGAGAATCGATTCACGGCCTCTGGAGTCATCTTTCAGATCAGCAGCGTGAGCAGAACGTTGTACAGATCCTCTCCCTCGTCCTTCCTCCCTTCTCCAAGCAACAATATCGATCTCAGCATCTTAGATGAGCACCCCAAAAGCAATACGGCAGCGGTCAACTGTGACGATGCCACGTTCAGAGTGCTTCTCCTTGATTCGGTGGTGCTGAATAGTTCTAACTACAATAAGTGGAATTGGGATGTAATACTTAAGCTGATTGAGGGACCGCTGGTGAATGGAAAGAGGCTTGAAGAGGCCGTGAAAGCATCCAAATTCTTGAAACGAATCATGAGCTTTTATCGTCCCTTCAAGTACAGGTTCTCTGCCCTCAAGAGCTCGCGAAGCACGCAAAAGTATGTGCGGGTTGGCTGTGCGCTGATGCATACTCTGCTGCAGAGCCCCGAAGGCGTGAGGTATCTGACAGATAACAAACTGCTGCGGCAGATTGCCGAGTGCCTGGCGCAGTGCGACCCAACGAGTGGATTAACAGCTCAGGATCCCATGTTCTCCCGGGACGGCCTCACAGATACGTTGAGTGGCGGATACTTCCCTATGCTTGGTGTTCTGAGCGGGGACCCCAAGGGCATTCAGATGTTAGACCGGTGGCGCATCTTCAACATGCTTTACCGAATCGTCGATCTCAAGCAGCGGCCAGACATCATCAAGCTCATGATCTCCAACTTTGACTATTCAATTCAGGGTCATTCTCGGATTATTTTGTCCAAGTCCTTGACAGCAGGGACCAAGGACATCAGAATTCATGCTACGAATGCGCTGCGGAAGTACGCAACACGTCCGCGGTTGGACGCCCAAGGCCATGAGCCTGTTGACTCGAAATGGGCCATCCAACTTTTGGTCACTCAGCTTTATGACCCAGAAGTGGAGGTCTGCCAAACGGCGGTCAAAATTCTCGAAAAGGCGTGCAATACTCAAAACCACTTGAAATACATTGTCGAGTGTCGGCCGGCACTAGATCAC